AAGTAAATGTTTACTGCACCATTACAAGTAAAAAAAGGCATAATCAATCAATTGCATTGCCGAGGGGCCTTTTGACGAATGCATGGCCTTTTGAGTGGTGCATATATGCACACGCGAGACTAATACTCATTCTCTCACATGTGGGGTCACTCAAGCCTAACATGTGGACGACATTAGATGATTATTGAGCGTAAAATGTGAATAGTTTGCTATGATACAATGTTATCATGTGAGAATTTAACCTAAAATTAATTGGTAATCACCGAAGAAGTCCAAGATCAATTAAACTAGGTATATTTACTCAAATGGTTCCCCAAATTTATACCCTAGTTGCATTTTGGTCCTTGAACTAAATTATTCAGTCAAATGATCCATCAACTCTCTATTATTCGGCAAATTGATCCATCGTGACATTATGTCAATATTACCGTTAAATCTGAGGGCAAATTGGTCCTTTTGTACGTTAAAAATAAATAAATATTGAAAAATGAAATAAAAAGCTTTTAATCTCTCTCTCTCTCTCTCTCTCTCTCTCTCTCTCTCTCTGTGTGCAGGGTGGGTTGCGATATGGAACAAACGATACATATACATATAGTTGGTTTTAGTGGGACAAACATGATCAATGAGTCAGATTTCTATGCACTTTAAGTATTTTATGGAGAGGATGATTTGATGGAGGTTGCTGTGGTGTTGAAACTAGTCAAATCTCTATAAGATTGCTAATTTAGGCAAAAGGGTAAATAATGAGTGTACCTTAAAAAGCATCTCTGTCTCTTAAACATCTCCGTTAAGGGGTCTTGATGTTGACTTGAAGTGTTTGTGGTTTTGTGGGTGCAGGAGAGGGTTGGCTAAATGGCTTTTGCATCTAGAGGGGTGAGAAGAAATATGGGAAGTAAAGGGGAGGAGGGGTCTGTTGCCAAGGGGGTCGAATGGGACAGAGAGAGAGACTGGAGGAGGAGTTTGTGGGGGAATGGGGGAGAAGAAATCAGAGAACTCCTTATCAATTGCGATTCATTTCAATATGAACTGAACAACAATTAAACAGATTCAATTGACTAGAATAAAAAAAAAGTACGGAACAAAGCTAGGTTTGGGTATGAGGGTTTTTCTTCAAATTTTTTTATAAAAATTTTGTATTAATTTTAATCCTATTTTTATTTTTTAAATTACTAAATGTCATATTTACCCTAAAATTTAGTTAAATCTAGCAGAAAATTAGAAGGTGCGACCAATTTACAGAATAATAAAGAGTTGATGGACCATTTGAGAGAATAATTTAATTGAGGGACCAAAATGCAACTCGGGTATAAATTTAAGGACCATTTGAGTAAATAACCCATTAAACTAATAATGCAAGGATTCCATTTTTGACGTGAAAGCACTCTAGCTAACATGAACATTAGGTTTGAAATGCACCATTACAAAGTAAAAAAAAGAAACATATAGTTAATCAATTGCATTGCCAATGTGCCTATTGACGAATGCATGGTCTTTTGAGTGGTGCATAGATATACATATATGCACACGCAAGTTGTTCTTCCTTTATGAATATAGCTGTTAGTGTCAAAGCAAATATTTGTTGAAGTAGGCTGAGGTATTTTTTATATTAAATTATTATCCATAGGCTTTTAGGTAGTACTTGATTGGGACATAAAGTTTGTTTGTACCAAACATGAGAAAGCCATCTTGCACCATCAGATGATTCACCTTCATTACCCTCACAAATTAAACCTTCTGTCTTCATTGTTCCATCGATCTCAAACTCTCAAGCTTGTTTGTCCTTGTTTATCCAAGTGCTTTTCAGAAAGCATGTTCTTCATAAAGTGTTTTTATGACTCATAAACACTTAAATTTTTTTGCCAAACATTGTCAAAAGCACACTTTTAGCCGTTTCAGAAGCACTCCCAAACATGCCGTTGTTTTCGTATAAACTTTAATTTTCTTTTTTTTTAAGTTTTCAAGTTACATGTTATTACCTGGATGGTATGCATATGGGAAATATAGACATAATATGTGAAATATTTTCTTCAACTTGATGATCTTTTCAACACTATTAAAGCATCAGCATATGTTTTCCACTTTTTTAAAAAGATGACACAAGCGATTTATTGACAAATGGACTAAAACAAATACGTTTATATCAAGCTTTTTGCCAGCATGATTGCAACAGTTGTACATATTTATTTCAGTAGAAGGGAATCTGGTGAAGGAGATGGTCTTTACTGCATATGATTGAATATTTGTAGCTCTCAGCATCTCTCTCCAGGATTATGTCTCTATCTCTTTTCCGCTAATACAGGTTTGAATTTGGTGGCCACAATATATATATTTTGGTGTGTGTGTGTTTGAGTCCTTTCTTTAATTCCACCAATTACAGGGAAAAACATGTCAATTCAAGCCCCAAAAAATGCATAAAATAAAATAAAAAGATTCTCTTCTTTCAAGTTATATCTAGGCAATCTGATAGAGAAATCTCCATCAACAAAAGATGTCTCTCAGCATTGTTTCGCCAAAGTAGCAACATTCTTGACCATATTATGGGATTAAAATCTAAAGTGTGTGTAGTGGAAGACTTGGATAATATTCCATTTATTTTATGGACCTAATTGAAAAAGGATAGGCTGGCAGGTGGTTTTGCCTAATTCGAAACAAATATTCTAAGGAAAATAAGCACATATCTATCTACAAGAATGAATATCTCCATTCAAGCCCACATAATTGGAAGACTTAAAGTAGCAATTGCCTGTTTTCCTGTATGTGTCCCAGCTACCTAGCTACCTAGCTACCTAGCTATAGCCTATAGCTAGCCTATAGGGTTAATATGGGAAATATCATCCTGTTTTTTTATAGTCGACCTAATGCAAAATAACAAAAAGAGGAAACATTCTGAATCTTTTCCAACGACTTAGAGCAAAGGGAAAATTAGATAAGTGCCCTACATATCTAGACAGACTGGTGAGTGAAAGGCATATCTAAGATTTTGAAAAGAACCCATTCACCTATTTTTGCTTTAATTGTTCTACATGTTCTATATTTTCTTGTTTCACTTTCCACCATTCCACACGCATATTCTCTTCAAATAAAGTTGAACATTATTTATAGGGGAGAAATGGTCCCACAAAACTTTTGAGCATCCAATAATCAAACTTGAATATGGTGCCTTTGTCAAGGTGGTCAATGTACATATTCCGAAACAATGGAGGTTTCCCACCTAATAGGAGCACTCATCAATTAATGTATTTGGTATATATCAACTCAATCGAATTTATTTAGTTCTTAGGAGCCTTCCTTCCTATTGAAAAAAAACAAAGCCCACATGAGAAATAGGGTCCAGTCCAGTAAAAAACGGTCTTGACTTGTAGATTAAAGATCTCAGGTTCGAACTCCCATGGCATCTTGGTTGTTTGTCTGTGAGAAACCCCCTTCCTATAATTTAGACTATCACTTGTACTAAAAAAATTCATTTTAGCTATGAGTGTCCTTCTCTACATTTTGTCTTGCACATTAATAAAATTTTAATTACCTTTTATTCTTGTAATGAGAGCTCAGTAAGACGTGTTAATCTAGATAGTTATATAACCTAATACACATATCTGCAATGGCAGATCTAAGAATTTTATTTCTTAGGGGCAAGACAACATTACTAGTAATAGTGAAGATAAATTGACTCTTAATGTAAAAAAAAAACACATCATATAAATATATCCACGCACCAATCAATAACACAAAATCTACACCTTCTATCTAATTCCTCTATTGCATGACATAAAGAGAATAATGAGAAGAGTGAATCCAGAGAACTAAAAGAATAACATAAGTAGAGGGTTAGAGGTTGCCCCTCCTACCTTGCCTTAGTCTTCTTTGAGTTTGCCTCCATCCAACAAAAAATTTCATGGAAACTTGGCACATTTGATAGGTAAACAACATTATTGAGTGAAGGCAACCTTCACACACACACACACACACACACACACACACACACACACACACACTCTCTCTCTCTCTCTCTCTCTCTATTTTGGACACCTAGAGGTACCATAATGCAATAGGATATCGAATCCCAATTCATATAAAAGTAGGAACCCTAGCTCTTGTACATGACTTGAAACACTTGTACTAGGCAGCTAGTTGGATGGTGTTTGAACTCTGGATCCTTATCGAAACCTAGATAACTTCTAAGATGATTAGAAGACCACTTTAGTTGGTTGAGTTCAATTCTAAGTCTTACATTCTCCAACTTGGTCAAATAATCATCAAGGTTTTGACATTGATCTCTTTATGGCCATGCACTACAACAAAAATCGCAATAGACGATGAGAATCTACCATCGTGAAATCGACTGCCATCTTTTGATGCATAAAACCACAACGGTAAATTACTGACGTTGTTACAACACACTACGTCATCTCTAAACAAAAACCGACGTCTACTTAATATAAAAATAGCAAAAAGGCCAACTTCGACAAGCTTAGATGTCGCTTTTAGAAACCTTGCGCCGTCTAAAACAAATAACATGTCACAACTTACCCATGTACCGATGTAACACAGAGTAACCACAACCCTAAATATTAACTTCCCATCATGTAGAATATCTTCCACGATGGTACATTAAAATAAATCGTCGTGGTTGACAAATATTCCACGACGCGTATGATCCATACTGATGTGCAAAAAAGTAGTAACGTCTGTAAATGTGGAAAGAAAGTAGTTATTACTACATACGACAATCCTATTGTTTCATAACCGACGTCTAATTAATATAAAAATAGGGCTTGGTGGTCTCTTGCTTATCAGACCCTTCAAAGAATTAATCACATGAACTGTTGCACCACTATCTATCCACCATGTATAAGTTGTGACTTCAATAGCATTAGATTCAAATAAAACACAAATATGATCACTATTACCTTTTCCCTTTCTCTTTTCCAACCATCGTTCATACCGTATGCAGCCCAAATTTCCGTTGACATCATGCACAATATTAACTTGGTTATGACCTTTTACCTTTTTGATATGCTGCTTTTCGTGTGCATACAAATCCCTATCATATCATTCAAGGTCCATATTTCATTTTGAGCAATATATGTGCTTTTCAGATGTCTAAAGCTACTAGGCAGAGAATTGATTTCAAAATGCACCATTATAGCCTCATCTACATTGACATTCAGTGTCCTCAACTTGTTTCCAATGTCGAGCATGTTCATAATATGCACCATGACACAACCTTCTCCATCATACTTCATATGTGTCAGTTGGCTTATCAAACTCTCAATCTTAGCTTTCTTAGATTCTTGAAATTTTTCTCCAATTACTTCAAGGAAAGCCTTGGCATTATCAGATGAAGGAATGATGCCTCTCACAAAAGGAGAAATTGACCTCATAATGAGAATAGCCATCCTATTAGCCTTGTTCTATTTGGCATATCTAGCCTTGACCTCAATTGAGGCATCATCAGTTGGTTCCTCTAGTGTATCTTCCTTCCAAACTATCTCATAATCCAGCAATTCAAGAGCAATTTCAAATCCTCTCTCCATTTGCTATAGTTGGAGCTAGTGAGTGTTTTGATAGAGTTATGATTAACTGTAACATATATGAGAATATAAACTTTAATCTCTATCTCCATGTCTTTAATTAAACATAATCAATTTACACCTATAGGTAGAGAATTGATCATGTTTGAGTGCTAGAGCATGTATTTTGCATAGATTTCTTTAACAAGAAAACTCCTACGTTTGTGGACTGGAGAAGTTCCCTTGCTAAATCCACACAGTTCACCTTCTACACCATTCCATTATAGGTGATTTCATACCAAACCACTCACATCTATGGACAGTGAGTCGTTTGATATGTCTTCACTTATAATGCAATTTGATCATAACTTTGAATGTAGAATCTTACAACAGATGAGTTGATATGGCTCACTCATCTATCATAAGAAGATCTGCAAACATTGAACTAATAGCTTTATCATCCTTAATTTATGTCTTGATCATGTATAATCATTAATCGATGCATATATGTGTGTTGCATAAAACTATCAGATATAAGATCATATAACTAAGACTCTGATACCACATGTTAATCTAGATAGTTATTTAACCTAATACACATACCTGGATCAGCCCATTGAATCGAAGTAGGTATAGAAGCTCTTCTCCTTGATGCCGATACTCTCTCTCTCTCTCTCTCTCTATATATATTCTTGATATATATACATATATATATATATATATTCTAGATGGGGTGAATCTTTATGAGTTGTTGTGTATCGGTCTAGGAGGGAGCAATTTATTTATATGCATCTCTCAAAGTGCCTTGCCCATCAAGAAAACACCTAGAGGTACCTTAATATAATAGGCTATCGAATCCCAATTCATGTAGAAGTAGGAACCCCTAGCTCTTGTACATGACTTTCTGCATTGCATGCAATGTTTTTTAATTAGTTGATGATGTTTTTTTTATAACTCCTTTTCTTTTCATTCTCCATGGATTTTTGTGGGATCAACTTCATATTTTTGGGGCTCATGTAGTTTAGAAATATTTTGCTGCTCAGATCTTGCGTTCAATTGGATGAACTAAGGAAATAGAATTGGACAAACTATTCTCCTAGTTGATAATCTAATTCATAGTCTTGAGGGTATCTAATTACGGATTTTAATGTGAAATCCACATAAATTTTGATTCTAATGTGTTCATCAAAGCATGAAAAGTCAAGAATTTAAAAAAAAAATTCAATAGTCCCACTCCTCACAAGTAAACATGCCATTCTATCAACAAGAACATATCCACATAAATTCTATTAGAATTAGAAATGGTGCACAAAAACACCCAAAAATGACTCGTCATGAGGAGGATGTCACCGAAATAGTAGTTGAATTAGTTATTTAGTAGCATGCAAAATGGAATGTTGCCTTGATAGTTGCAATCTCTCTTTTCAGTGAGTTAATTGACATTAATCTTTTTGTTTAGTACAAGTGATTGGGTGAGGGGGGTTTACACAAATATTCCTTAGGTGCCTGAAACTTTTAAACCTCTATCCATATGTATGGAGGTGGAAGAGCTCAACCAACTGAGCTATACCCCACTGACATTAAGTCTTAATTGTAAAGGAACTTGATGGTACATACATGCAAAACTTTTTGCACACAAGAATAAACTCATTGCATACAAAAAAATTTTAGACTATAATTACGTGAATCTAGCTACCAAAAGCTTCACACACACACACATATATATAATTACTATCTTACGACCAATTAAAGCTTGTGACGAGGAATTCCAATGGGATTTCTCCTTGTTTGAACCATATTTGTTAGTTCAAACAGTTAACCTTGGAATAGAATTATAGGCCCGTGTGTCTCATACTTCAATAGAAAGCACTTCTATTCATAAGTGCTTTTGTTAGAAGCGAATCACACAAAAAACTTGAAAAATGCTTCAAATGCAAAGTTCTTTTCAGTTATAACTCAGAAAAATTGAGGCGAATAGTAGATATTTGCTCAACCTTGTTCCAAAAGTGAAAAATGGTGATTGGTATTAGTACAAAGGAAGCTATCCTCGACTTAACATACACAGGAAACATAACTCATTCCTGAGGCTAAGCACATTTACTCATTCACTATCTTCTTCATATTATTATTATTACATTGACCACCAAGTTGCGATTCACACTTGGTATGAGCATATGGGGCTAAATTTTTACGGAAATACAAGGCGAGCTTAAGGGTTGTTATCATGTGAAGAATCCACTACAAAACTTCCGCACTTCAGCTCGTCTTGATTGCTTTTCTGGCATATTTGTCAACAATTGCTCTACCAAACGTTAGAGTTTCTATGGATGGCTTTTCATAATGTTCTTCACGTGGCTGATTCCATCAATGGAACTCAGGGACTTCAATAATTCATTCACCAAATCAAGTGCTTCTACTTGTCGGAAATCTGACTTTGAACTTCCGCATTTCTCCAAAAGGAAGTCAAAAAGATTGTGCCCTATCCATGGCCTTCTTCTAAATATTTCTTTAAAAAATTCAAATTTGATTTGAGACTTACTACTGAAATATTACACTAAAACACCCTGGAAAACATAAAAAACCCTCTGTAGCTTAGACTTTGGAAAGAGCATAAAAGAAAGAGAGAAAGTAGCCCAATATCCTAGAAGAATTAGCCCGTCACCTTAACCAAAATAGCCTAACACTTGATGAAGCTGGCCCATTCCCTTAATACACTAACCTATCACCTTAGGAAGGCCCAAATAGCCCAAGTGGCTTAGAAAATATCTAAAAATCTCCAGCACATGGTTTGAAACGAAACCACGATAGAAAACCAAGAGATGTTTATACGCTCAAGCTGCTGGGAGACTCCAGCACATGGCCAAAGACAAACCCAACGCAAGCTATCAGAAAAACCAAGGTATACTTGAGCAAAACACCCTTCAAACCAGCGTATATGCCCATTCCCCCCCCACTAGATCTAGCCATGGAAGAGAGAAGAAAAGAAGGAAACGAGATGGCCAAAAATGGGAGTCCCTCACTGAAACAGCTGTGGGAAAAGCCTAGAGCTCCCAAAACCTTGTTTTTGTGCAATTGGGCAGAGAGAATTTCACCAAATAGGATGAGTCAAAGGAAGAGAAGAGAAAGGAGATGAAAAACTTGGCCAAATTGGATAGAAACCATTAAGATTTTTTTTGGGAAGAAGGAGCTTCCAACGCCTATAAAAAGAGGCATTTCCTACCCATCATCTCAATCCACGTCTAGAGAGCAAGCTTTATCTCTCATCCCTGAAACTCTGCAATTTCGAGCACCATTCCTCTATTTTATCCTATCTTCTCTTCTGGTAAGTCATTCCAGAGCTTGACAAAGCCTTTGTCAAGCTGCTGGAAAATTACCCAAAACACCCACTATTTCACCACTAGCCACAACCACATCTAGAGAGCAAACTTCCCCTCTCATCTTAAAAACTTAGCAATTTTGTGCTCTGTAAAGAGAATCATGATGCAGATCATGATTCCAAACAATCAGCCCATTCCATGCACTCAGTCGATCCCATTAAATCAGCATTGACAGACTCCCCATCACAAGATCAGCTTCATCCCAGCTAGGAATTAGTTTACAATTGATTTTGTAATATATGAGATTAATTATACTTACCTTATATTACTTACCTTCTGTAAATAAACTTGAGAAAGTCTAACCCATGTACAATATATATACAGCTGATAATACAAGAACATATCATCTTGGTCAGTGCAATTATTCTTCACTTATGTCTCTCATCTCTCTTCCTCTTCAATTTATTTTCTTATATGGTATCAGAGCTCTTCGGACCTAACCCTCAAAATATCGATCCTACCCAAACCAATGGCCACCACACCTAAATCTAGAGAATCAAGCAATATTGATATGTCAAAACTGATTTCTGAAATGTCAAAACTTTCCTCACCTCCATTCTCATCTCATCCCTTGCCCATTTCTTTCAATATCTCATCGTTGTTCCCAGTTCCTATGGATCGCACCAACTACTTGAGTTGGAAATCCCAATTTGAAGATGTATTGGAGATGCACGGCCTTGCAACAGTCGTCAAGAACAACACAAACCCACCCAAAGTGCAAGAAGATGGATCTGTGCACCCAGAGTTAGCTAAGGATAAACTGGTCCTGAGTTGAATCAAAGCGACTTCCTCTTCTTCAATCAAGACACTTCTCATCCCTTGTACCACTGCTCATCAGGCCTGGACCATGCTGGCCAAGCGCCTCTCACCTCTTGCTAGTACTCGTGTATGGATTCTTCGAGACCAAATTCGCACTCTCAGAAAGGACACCAACACAACAGTTACTGATTATCTCAATTATGCCAAATCACTCTTTGATTCCCTCACACAAGCTGGTGCAACAATGGACGATGATGAACTCATAAGTTATGTTCTGGATGGTCTTGGTCTTGAATACAAAGAGTTAGCCACAACACTTCACTTGCATCCAGATATTGATTTCGATAAATTCTATGATCTAGCTTTAAGGGAAGAACATTTACAGAAAAGAATGTCTCTCACCGCTGCTTCAGGGGTTGCTATGGCTGCTGATTGGAGGTCCACTGAGCGCAACTCTAGTCCAAACTCCACTGGTCACAATCCAACTCATTCCTACGGTTCTGGGAGAGGACGCGGGCGTGGCAGAAACTGGAATCAAGGGCACAATGGACGTGGATAAGGGAGAGCAAATCCTTGGGAATCAACCCAAGGGAATTGGGTTCCAGATCGCCGTACTCAATCTCACGACCAGCAACATGCTTCCGTTGTTCCTTCTTTTGCAACTCTTACTGATGGACGCCCTCCACTTCTTCCAACGCCACATGGAAATTCCCCAAATACCCAACGGGCTGATGTCATATGTTTTAGATGTGATAAGCCAGGCCACATAGCTCGTTTCTGCCCAGATCGAAGACCTCATGCATACATGGCAACAAATACCTCAACTCCATCTCAATCTACTTATGATGTGGCGAATCTCAATTGGTGCTTTGATTCTGGTGCTACCCACCACATGACAGCGGACCCAACTTCTCTACCACATGCCCAACCTTACACAGGTACTAATACAATTGTTGTTGGAAATGGGAATCAGTTAGCAATCACACATATTGGCCACTGACAATTAACTGGGTTGCATAAGTCCTTAGAACTTAATGAAGTATTGTGTGTGCCTGCAATCCAGAAAAATTTGATATCTATTTGACGTGTCTGTCGTGATAATGATTGTTTCTTTGAGTTGGATGTTAATGGTTTTTGTGTCAAGGACAACAAGACGGGGACGGTACTCCTTACTGGCAGTAGTTCTGATGGCCTTTATCATATTCAGACAGCCTCGTATATTGCTCATCAGATTGCATTCTATGGAGAGCGCACCACACAGGACGTGTGGCATGCACGACTTGGACATCCATCTCATTCTGTTTTTTCTACATTGTTGAATAAGTACCATTTACCACTTGATGGTACACTTCTAAGAAAATAAACATTGCCATATTTGTCCATTGGGAAAATCATGTCGATTGCCTTTTGAATACAAAAAGTTTCATGCTCAATCTCTATTAGCACTTTTATACCTTGATTTGTGGGGCCCTGCACCTGTTTCCTCAAATTTTGGATATCGTTATTATTTGTCCATTGTCGATGATAACACTCGGTTCACTTGGTTATATCATTTGGCTAAGAAATCAGATGTTCTTACAACATTTATTCCCTTCAAAAAAATGGTGGAAAATCTATTTAGCTCCAAAATCCAACAGTTACAAATTGATGGTTGCGGTGAATTTATAAGCAGATTATTCCTGAATTTTTTAAGTGATCATGGCATCTCGCATCAGATCTCTTGTCCATACACTCCCCAACAAAATGGGGTGGTGGAAAGGAAACATCGTCACATTGTTGCAATGGGCCTCTGCTTGCTAGCCCAATCTCGTTTGCCCTCTAGCTTTCGGGTTGAAGCCTTCTCAACTGCGGTTTTTCTGATCAATCGCTTACCAACTCCTCAGCTTGACAACTTATCTCCTTATGAGAAATTACTTCATCGTCCACCGGATTATAAATTTCTCAAAAGTTTTGGGTGTGCCTGCTTTCCTCACATGGTGCCATACAACAAGCATAAGCTATCTTTTAAATCTATTCCATGTGTGTTTATTGGTTATGATGATCACTATAAAGGTTATCGTTGTCTTGATCCCTTTTCAGGTCGCATTTATATATCCCGGAACGTGACTTTTGATGAGACTAGTTTTCCTTACAAGCAGCCCCAGAATACATCTTCATTGCCCTTTGGTGGACTTCACTTTCTCCCTCATACCATTCAGCCCACACCTACAACCCAATCTGATCTAGGGCCCAGCACCTACTCCCCACAAATTCAACTTCCAGATTCCTTAGCAAATAATACTCCCCGAAGCCCATCACCGTCCACTACCTCTTCTAGCCCGCCTGGCTTGTTCTCACACAATACAACACCCCAAGCGATTTCCTCTCCATCTAACCCACACACCCCTTCACTTGCGAGTCCTTCCTCATCGCCATCACCAAAATCCACGAACCCACCCTCTGAATCGGCTTCTCCATCACCAAAATCTACAAACCCTCCATCACCAAAATCCACGAACCCATCACCGTTCACTACCTCATCACACATGTTTTTCACGAACCCACCCTCTGGATCAACTCCTCCTTCTTCACCTATTGACCCATCTATTCTTCCCAATTCTCTAGATACACCAAACCCTCCACAAAAATTCAAGTCTCTCAACTCCATCGTTCATTTCGGTCCTGGAACAAAACCACTCTACTCTAAGACCAGCCCTCATCCCTTACCTCATGCTTTACTTGCCGAGTGTTCTGATCCCATGTCCATTGAACCTACGAGTTTCACCCAGGCTTCCCAATCCACCCACTGGCGAGCTGCAATGAAGGATGAATATGATGCCCTCATGAGAAATCAGACATGGTCCTTAGTTCCTGCAACCTCATCTATGAATATTGTGGGATGCAAGTGGGTCTTCAAAGTTAAACGGAAAGCAGATGGCTCGATTGATCGATATAAGGCTCGCCTTGTTGCCAAGGGATTTAATCAAAAAGAAGGCTTTGATTATGAAGAAACATTTAGTCCGGTCGTCAAACCAGCCACTATTCGCACTATTTTATCTATTGTTGTTTCTTATAATTGGTTGCTTCAGCAACTTGATGTTTGCAATGCTTTCTTGAATGGGTATTTGCAAGAAGAGGTGTACATGAAACAACCCCCTGGCTTTCATGATTCCTCTCGACCTTAATTTGTTTGTCGCCTTCATAAGGCTCTTTATGGCCTCAAACAGGCACCCCGAGCTTGGTTCCAACGCCTTAGTACCTTTCTTCTTGCTCAGCGGTTTGTTCACAGCCGCTCTGATGCCTTCTTATTTATTCGCCGCTCTTCTTCTTGCACGATGTATGTTCTCATATATGGGGACAATATCATTGTTACTGGGTCTAAACCCAAGAGTGTCCATCAGTTTATTGATACATTATGTTCCACTTTCGACAGCAGAAGAATGGGTGAGCTCAATTTTTTCCTAGGCATGGAAATTAATCAGTTTTCTGACACTCTGTTTCTCTCTCAAACAAGGTATGCGGTTGATTTATTGAAACGGTTTAATATGACTGAGTGCAAATCATGTCCTACACCATTGCCCTCTGACACTCGGTTGTCTTGTATGGATGGTGATCCCTTGCCTGATCCATCCACCTATCGCAGTATGGTGGGTGGCCTACAGTATCTTACCTTGTCACGACCTGATATTTCTTTTGCCGTCAACCACGTGTGTCAGTTTATGCACAACCCTCGCACTTCCCATATTCAGGTTGTCAAGCGCATTCTCCGGTATATTAAAGGCACGCTTGAGAAAGGGCTCATTTTTCACAAGTCTAATGATTTCACTTTACGGAGCTTCTTGGATGCTGATTGGGCTGGTTCCGTTGATGATCGACGCTCTACCACTGGTGCTTGTATCTTTCTCGGTCCTAATCTTCTCACATGGACTGCCAAGAAACAGTCTACTGTTTCTCGCTCTAGCACTGAAGCCGAATATCGAGCTCTTGCCAACACTGCCGCTGAAATCCGATGGTTTGGTTACTTGTTTCGTGAACTTGGCATTCCCCTTCATTCTGCACCATGCATATATGTTGATAATATTTCTGCAATCTATATGGCTGCCAATCCTATTTTCCATGCTCGCACACGACACATTGAGATTGACTATCACTTTGTCTGTGAACTCGTTGCTCGGAAAGTGCTTCATACTCTTTATGTTCCCTCCTCTCATCAACTTGCTGACATATTCACTAAAGGTCTTAATCGTGATCGGTTTTCTCTTCTTAAATCCAAGCTTAATCTTCGCGTTGCTCCGTTGCGCTTGCGGGAGGGTAAAGAGAATCATGATGCAGATCATGATTCCAAACAATCAGCCCATTCCATGCACTCAGTCGATCCCACTAAATCAGCATTGACAGACTCCCCATCACAAGATCAGCTTCATCCCAGCTAGGAATTAGTTTACAATTGATTTTGTAATATATGAGATTAATTATACTTACCTTCTGTAAATAGACTTGAGAAAGTCTAACCCGTGTACAATATATATACAGCTGATAATACAAGAACAGATCATCTTGGTCTGTGCAATTATTCTTCACTTATGTCTCTCATCTCTCTTCCTCTTCAGTTTATTTTCTTATACTCTATTCATCATTCTCCTCCCATTTTTCTCTCTTGGCAGACTGTTCCAATACTTGACAGCACTTTTGTCGAGCTACCGGAAAATCACTTAAGCCACCTATTGCCCTCTCATTGTCTCTCCCTCTTCTCAGCCAAACCCTCCCTTCCCCCTTGCCTTAAAACCTCTGTTTCTCATAGGAAATCACAGCTCTCTCTCTTTCATGCTAAACTCATGAGTGCTCAGCTCCCATGCCACAAGTTTCTCATGACAAACCAAGAATTTATCTGTAAGCGACTGTTAGTTTTGTTGGTGAAGATAACTAGGTGCTTCCTAAGGCTTAGCTACCCTTTCGAAGCATTCTTGGGGTCTAATTCTTGAACTCAGACTCAAGGGGCAATTTCACCCATTTGGCTCTTTACAGCAGCCCAAGCCTATCAATAGCTACCGGAACGAAAAAGCCCCTACAGTAACCAACCGAGGTAAATCCTAATGTTCGTTTGTAAATGTGTCACCTAATAGGCCAGCCCTAACCCTAGCACTAAAACCCTAACCTTCTTGGGCTTTCGTTAATTAAAGTATCTTGGGCCTAAAAACTTAGAATAAGCTTAAGTAAACCATTATACTCAGCCTTATTCACAAATGTATCATAATCTATATATCTATATATATAAAGCAAAAGGCAGAGAATGGTGAAACATTCAAAATACCAGAAAATGCCCTGAGTTAATTCAAGCATTAAGAATTAAAATTATTAATTAAATGAGGATAATATGGTAAATTCACACTTTTTCATATTTAAAAAATTTAAAATTAAAAGAAAAAATCAGATAATGAATCCTATTTTTATGGAACACAACTACCTATTATCTTTTTTAATTTTAAAATAAATTTAAATTATAAAATTAAATTAAAAAAGCCTCTCACAGGCGCGAAAGCGGGTGCAGAAAAGCTAGTATAACATAAATTATAAGGAGAAAATTGAATTAAACATGTCAGGCTTACAGCAGAATTCCCTATATATCCTGTCCAATCTGTTCACTACTTTCTGCACTGGGTGGTTCAATAAATGCCTGAGTCAAGTTTGAGTACACCAAACAAAACCTGTGGTTTACCTGTGCAATCGAGTCAACCAGAGGCAAGTAATTTAATTACAGAATTAGAAGGAACAACTACAGTCAAGTATCAGTGGCAGTGCATGATTATTAATCAGAGAAAAATTGCCAACCTAGATATAAAAAAAATTCACAACATTGTAACATCAAATCAATGACAATGATCATAGAAGTGGGCTAGCATTTCAGGCATAGCATAAATGTAAAATCATTTAAAAGCCAGAAGCCCAAAATCACACCAGCTCAATAGAAGTTCGCATAGGAGCTGACGACTGAGGCAGCAATGAAAGCAATGTATCCACAAAAACATCCATTATTACTGCAGGTGCATCATCAGCATCCAAGCCATCTTCTCCAGGAGAATCAAGGAGATCAGGGAAAGCTTTCGTACAGCATATAATAATTTCAGAGACTGCGTGTAAGTATTCCTTTGGTCAAAGGAGCATTTGCAAAAGCAACTGGATGAGCATCTTAATGCATGCAAGTTGCAACCTATTTGCATCACCACTAAGCCCACAATTCCTTTCCTGCCATCTAAGAATTTAAGAATTTGTATGTCATGTCAAAGAGCATACAAAAGAAGATATAACAACCAAGCAACCGAAAGACTGAACTAAAAGTAATTAACAGGCTTTCATCTGAAACTTCAGTTCAAAGTAGTTCAACAGAACATGTCTTAGAAGGCTAGAAGACACAATTTACAAGACCACAGAACAAGGGATCAGTAAGTTGTCTTACTAAGGCTTGCATCAGAATCAAACCTAAACTAAAATGAATGAAATTTTTTGGCCTTTATTAGGAAAATAAACCATTGGAAACATCCTCCCCTGATTCTAACCCTCACTCATTTCAAAGTTTTTTGTTAAATTGTGGTCTGATTCAACTTCATCCAATCTAATATTTGAAACAGACCTTGAAATTCAAAATGGATTGGGACGCTCATAAACCTGAAAAGACCACAGTAAGTACCGCTCTTGAAAGTGAAGTTTCCATTGCTTGCAATTTTTTCAGTGTCTTCTTCCTCCGTTTCCAAAGGCCGAAAGAGAGAATTTGAAGGAATATTGCACAAAGTGCTAAGAAACCGGATAAAGTATGAGCCAACATCATTCGGCTCAAGGAAATTTGGCAAAGCACGAGGCCCCTCTCCTGTCTGAGCATTTGCCAACTATAAATGGAGCTACTCAATACAAATCCTGCAAAGAGCACTCAAGGTGGCTGCTTTCGGACACCTAAAATTCTCTTGTAAGTCAGAGGATGTCAGTTCAGTGCCAAGAGATGCAGTGAACAATCCCTGAACTGCTAGAAACTTCAAAATTTAATTTTGAACCCGAAACTTTGCTTCTGTATCCAGCTTCAAATTTTCAATATACTGGGGAGGGATTCCACAATCCATGTTATTAAAAAAAAAATCAGAATTTCCCATGGTTCCATGTGAATCCTTGTCTTCAACAGAACCTATTCTGAATTGTCATCTGTTGTTTGGCTCTAATCTGAAGGTTCCTCAGAAGCATGACTTTCATCCCCGAACATGTTCAACAAGTTCTGAATAAACAGCATGCAACCAGATTCAGTTCTGAAATCTGCCATTAAATCCTTGACTGTTTTTGTTAGTGTAATGCAATCAAATTTACCATTGCTGTGCTTCTGTAAAGCCACAATGACAGAGACCCTTCTCGCATCATTGTTCCCAACCCAATCAGATAAATTTTAAGAAAATGTTGCACCACTTTATAGAGCCAAGAATCCTTCGTAGAAAGTACATCAATCAAGCACTGAACAAGTTTGGCAGACAGACTCAACGGAATAAAAGATGCAGGCAGGCAAGGAAGGAGAAGAAGCAGAACATCAAAGGCCAATGGGAGAAGGGATCCCTCAATAATCACCTCGCAGAAGCACTGGAAGTTCTTTGCAATCTCTTCGACAGAAAAGCTAGACTTCCAATTCTTTTTATGCTTCTTTAAGGAATTTGAAACAGACATTGCATCTTCAGCCTGCAAAACTCTATCAGGTAAAAGAATGTTTACCAGAACAGGCCACACATTGTGTACACGAGGCTGACAAAAAGTTAATTCCTGCCATTAAAAAAAAACAATGATCAGGACTTGTTTTTGTTAAAAAGTTATAATTTCCCCAATAGTGATATCTACACCATGCGCGTGTACGGATCAAAGCAACAAAACCCACACCTCCTTCAAGCAATTAGGAAGAGAAGCCAGATGGTCAGCAGCAAAAAGTTTTGTTGGGACTGAATAGATCTGGCAAAAGTTTCCCAAATCTTGCACTGTCAGCAGAAACTTTTTCTCTGATTTTCAGAGCCAGAAGCAATGCATCTGGATTTCCAACTTCAATAGCTCCTTCAAAACACTCATGAAGTCCATGGTTCAGCAAGACTTCTGAGTGCAACTGCAAAAATAGAATACTCAAAACTAAAAGTATTAGGACATGATGATGACTTAATGACCTATCTATTTAAAATCCAATCTAATCTGTTAAACAAAATTAAAGGGAAGGAGCCAAAACTAAGCAATGGAATCTCTGCACATAGAAAGACACATTCCAGAAGGAGAAAAGTTTCAATCCCTCAAAATGGTGGCATGATACAAGTGCAACAATTTTTCACTGGAAATTTTGCATACAGAGATTTATTCTCTCTGACTATATTATTATTTTTGGGTGAGATAGGGGCCAAAAAGGCCAGAACAAAAAGAACTAAACAACCACTACTCTAGGCTCTCTCTGACTATATTTGAATAAAGAATGGTTTCCTTTTTCTGGGAAGCCTTCTAGTTCTTATCATTTACAAGAGTTGAACTTTATTAAGCTACAAGCATAAAAGTCCAGTTAGAGAGGACAAAGAACAGAGATTCACAATCAAGCTGTACAATCTAGACTTCATAACATAGAGCACACCAGTTGAAATGAAACCAGTGCTGCAGATGCTGTCTAAATTCTACAATATTAACCAATCCTCGTACCAAAGCATGATTTATAGTCAAGTACCAAATTTTGGGTACAAAATTGTCTTCAAGTGTGTACAAAACTGTCTTGAGAAGGTGTTGTACAAAGAAAGGCCATATTTAGTGGTGAATATTTTAATAAAACAACGCAGGTGCTGTTATAAATAATGCAACTAACATATAAAGTCTGCAATTGTGAGTGAAAGAAAATGAGGACGACCTTCAACACCAATAATGATAAGAAATAAAAAGACACAATTTTAATTGCTTCTTCTCTCTTCCAAAATAATTGGATATAAAGAAACAGTAGACTAGTCTACAAACATGTGCCATAAACAACATGGCACTCAGTGATTAAGTGCCCAAGTCCAAGAGGAATTAATCAAGATAATCACATTTAACGAGCATTATTCGGAAAAAAATAATTCATTTTTAATTATGTATTGTATGAATAAATTGTACAATTATATATGGCTATTCTTTTACGACCTTAATAAAACTGAACACGACCTTATAGAGTAATGTTGAATCATACCACACGATTAACTAAATGAGTAGGGTCCCGTAGTTGCATGAGTTTTTATCAAAAATAGCCAAAATTTAACTCCCAAATTCATAAATGTCAGTTTTTAAAAATACTTTCAAATATAGCCAAAAACTCACTTAAATTGATCCAAATGCCCTCTAAATTATAACTCAATTACACCTAAAAGTTAAAACCCAAAATAGCAGGAGCACAAAAATAAGATTGGCTTCGTCAACTTAATCATTATAAAAATGACAATGTAATTACCAAAAAGAAGAAGAAAAGTAACAACCAATGTTTTCATAAAGCCAAGCAATAAAAATCACCTCTGCAACTATGGCTCTATTCGTGGGTTTGGGAGTTTTTTACAATGAAAAAAGTTAAAGTCAGTTTCTTGACATAATAATTTTTAATTGAGAAAAAAAGTTACTTTTTTGCAAAATTCGTATCATAAATACTGCTAGTCTGCATATGATATGGGGGTTAAACTTTCTTGCAAACCATCATATGTGTTGCTGCCTTCCCTCAGCACAAGAGGTCTAGAAAAATTGCAAGGCCCTCGCTGTTCATAGACTATCTTCCCACAACACAAACTTGCCTATATTAACTTTGCTTTCCATTAAGGGTGATTTGCGAGGGGCAATGTCCTTGTGTTTGAGGGTAGGCTGGGTGGAGAGTGAGGCTTGTGCTCAGTAGCTTACAGCTTGGAAGAGCATGCTTTTTGGTTAGGTTTTATTTTAGAGGGCATTTGGGTCAATTTAAGTGAGTTTTTGGCTATATTTGAAAGTTTTTAAAAAAACTGACATTTATGAATTTGAGGGTTAAATTTTGGCTATTTTTGATAAAAACTCTAAAATGTTTTGGTAGCTTCTCATTATATCAAGGCTGTTCTACACAAATGGAGGTGATGCCATTTGGTGTTAGCATCAAATGGCATTCATTTTCTCTGGAAATGGCCACAGGACCTTAATTCTAGTGGAGTGGTAAAGAATGACATGCTTTATAATTCTTTCCTATTAGATTTCTCCTCTCTTTCCTTTCGAATTGAAACCGAAGCGACAGTTGGTCATTTGATTCTAATGATATTGATTGAACGCAGGCAACTCCCAAGGTTCACCCTAATTTATGGAAACCAAGGAGTGGCTTAGAGCTGATGAACAATGACCTTCCCAGCACCAACCCTGAAGACTCTATGTCTTGCTTTGATTTGTCCAAGAATGAAAAATATCTTATATCAGCAACAGGAGGGGTGATCTCCATTTTTGACATGACAACATTTAAGGTAAACCCAACACATAGTATTCTTGAAATTTTCTTTTCCCAGCCAAAACTTCCCAAATCTTGTTTGTCAATATGCTTAGGTTCTGTTTGCAAATTTCTCATGCTCTAACTCATTGTACTCATAAAAATCTGTTGCGTAAAAACGCATACGATGAAGAAAGTCAGGCCACCGCCACCTGCAGCAACATGTCTTGCTTTTCACTCCCGAGATGATGGTATAGTTGCTATTGGCATGGACAATTCCACCATTGTAATATACAATCTCCACTCAGACAAGGAAATTTGTTTGTTCTTGTAATAAAACAAATCATGCTCGATGTTGTGATGAAGCAAACCCGAAAAGTTTGTCATTGCCTTGATTTAAATATTTTGCAGGTTACAAGGAAGCTTGAGGGTCACTCCAAAAGAGTCACTAGCCTTGCCTTCTCGAACACTCTGAATGTACTAGTTTCTTCTGGTGCTGATGCATATTGGAAACTACAATATTACTTTCAGACATGGCTTCTACTCTAATGTGACTTCTGTTATTTAACGACGTCGTTTTGGCCCTGCAGATTTTTGTGTGGGAAAAACAGAGAAGCAAATTGTTGCAGATTCCAGATGGGAAGGAGTTGAGATCATTGTCAGATACTTACATCCAAATTCACCAGAATGAGCTGCATCTCCTTGCCATAAACAAGACTCACCTTGCAGTATATGAAGTGAAAGCTCTAGCATGTGTTTAGGAGGAGGGGAGGCTACCCCATCCCAAGGTCAAGGCATACCAAGGCCTCTTTGGGGAACCATTTGGCTTTTTAATTCTTCACATCGGGATTAAAAACAAAAGGCACCCAAAAAGGGATCAGGCCACTCAATGATTCACCATGAATTTTTTTTTCATACAAAGATGTAGTCACCGCCCCTTCACAAGTATATGTTACTAACCTATACAAATTGTGTATCAATTTTTACTTTGCCTTGCATTGCAAATGCTCAAAAAGATCCTGCATATTTTACAATTGATTTCAAGAAAGATAAGGTTCTTTTTGAAAATTCTGCAAGCTAAGTATTCTTCAACTGGTCACACTATCTCTAGGAGGTTTTCCCTTTGGAATGACCTCCGGTAGTTGCAACATCACAAATGTAAAACAGAGATGATAGGCCTGCCACCTTTTTGGCTATGACCTGCAATCATCTCCTTTCGCTTTTATATGTGTTGTTGCATAAGGAACCTGTTGTGTCAAACTTTTCACATGGACACTCTACCATCCTCGCCAAAACAAAACTAAGCATGGCACATCATTGTGCTGTGGTGTTTTTGTGTGCCTTGCAAATTCTCCTTTGCATAGAGAAAACGAACCATGAACGTAACCAACAGAGGGGATAAAAGATCAAGAGTCCTGAAAATTCCAAGAAACGGATCTCCTTGTAGAAAGGTCCTACTGCTGAAGCTGCAAAATGCATACATCATGTGATTAATAACTTGCATATCAGATGTAGATATCAAACAATTTGGCATGCAAAGCAAGGCAAAAAGTAAATGAAATCAGCAAAAGACAATGTCCATGGATGCATCTAACAAAACATTAGCTTATTTGTTTTGGTTGTCAAATGGCTGCAGTATTCCTAAGTTATTACATACATTTGGCTCTTTACAGATCAGGTCAGTATTAAAATTCCATTACTGATTTCAGTTCATCATCATATCACATTAGTCCCACCAGTTTTAACTCAAAGTTTATTCTCAAGTCTCCATTAAGGTTGCACCAACTATCAGTTTGTATATTTGTTTATCCAAAAGGATCCCAAAATCTGCTTCAAATATTTGAATATGAACTGTATGCCATACGACTAATTGCATTGAAAAGCCAATCAAAGGATTTAGAAGAAATAACCAGATTCAAAATTAAATCTTGCTAAACCTCAAACAGTATTTCTTTGGTCTATAGGATTAACTTCTCGTAACCGGCATTAGTAAAGCGGGGCAATTTCTACTCTTATCAAACTCATGAGATCAGAAGTCACATAAACTGACTACCAACACCTCAACTACAGAGGGACCTATTTTCAATTAAGAAAAACCTATATTGCCAAAAGACAAAATTTTGAATAAAGATGCTTAATATTTTATTGACACAGCAAAGAATCATAATTTCTTATAAACTCTAACGCTATTTTGAGATGGTCTGAAACTTTTACTTTGGAATTCAACAAATTAGTGACTTCAATTGATTCAAACAACTAGATAATCCTAAGTTATCCAAATTTCAATATTAATGAGAAAAGGAATTATGTGAAGGATTTTCTTTCGTTTTTTCATGTCAGTAGGTTGTTGTCTGGAATATGGAAACACTGCAAACTGAAAGCACACCAGAGGGCACTCCTTGATAATTACTGATGTTCGATTTAGACCAAATTCAATTCAGTTGGCAACTTCTTCATTTGACACAAGGACCTGTCTCTTTTGACTTCTGCTTTCATTATTTTATAGCTTCTACTTCTGTAAAAATGCTCCCTGATTTGCTTCAATTATATTTAATATTTCTTAGGATGTCTAGAAATAGAAACATATCCCTGGCATGAGACTAGCTTTCTTTCTTTACTGATAGGACCCATAAATTGCCTTCAGCAGGAAAGCTGAAAGGTGATCAACTTAAAAACAGCTGCAAACATGCAACAAGCTAGGCAGTATACACTTTCAGTAAGCATAAGCAAATCTCACGTTAATTCCTTTAAAAACTAGACAAAACAACAACTATATAACAAAAGCTCATCCTAAGAACAACAAACACCACACACACACAGAGCAAATATCAAATTCCAAGAGACTGAATAAGCATTGCTTATTTTTGGATAGCGAAAACAACATATAATGCAAAAGAAAAGCACAAAACAAGCACAAAAAGTACTAATCAGATGAGTTAACCCTCCAATCAACAGGCCGCCATGCCTTTTCTTTTGTTGTCATTTAAAAACATAGGAAATTTGGATAGTTGAGATTGCCTTGAAAAAATTAATCTGAAAAGAAAAAAAAATCTAGACTGTTGAGATTATGTTGAAGGAAAAAACTGAAACTAGTATTAACTTAGCATAACATAATACACACACTCATTATCATCACCTTCTTCAATCCTTACCTGGACTAGTGCCAATGAAGGCATTCTCTAACTGGAAGGTGTTCCTTCTTCGAGGTATAGGCTGGCCACAAGATGTCCAAATTTTCCTTCTCAAACCCTAAATCTAACCCGAGCTGTCTCCCCTCTCTCTCTCGCTCAGACATAACCCGCGATCTATCTGCTTCTTCAATCCTCATCTCTCTCTCTCTCTCTCTCTCTCTCTCACACATAGCATCATCATCATCTCATTTTTCTGAGTCAGACTCGCCCAGACACACCCAGACACGCCCAGGTCGCCTAGGTGGGCGCCCAGCGCCTAGGTGCCGTCTAGGCCGATTTTTGGAACACTAATTGGTTAAATGAGCAGGCAGTCTGAAACAAAATGCCTTGATAACAATGTTGAAGCCGTAGCTTATCATGTGAATCTAAAATCATCAAAACAGGAGAAATAAAAGAGCCACCATGAAAACCCTTTGGGCGGCCGCCTAAGCGCCGCCTAGGCCAATTTTTCAAACACTGGCTGGTTAAATGAGCAGGCACTCTGAAACAAAATGCCTTGATAACAATGTTGAAGCCATAGCTTAACATGTGAATCTAAAATCATCAAAACAGGAGAAATAAAATAGCCATCATAAAAACCCTCTGGGTAGCCGCCTAGGCGGCCGCCTAGCGCCTAGGCCGATTTTTCAAACACTGGCTGGTTAAATGAGCAGGCACTCTGAAACAAAATGGCTTGATAACAATGTTGAAGCCGTAGCTTAACATGTTTGGTCAGCAGTGTCCTTCTGCCTAGGTTGATTTTTCGAACATTGCCTGAATTACATCAATGCTTTAACAGTTTATTAGCCATACCTACTTATGCTGTGTTTCTGAGACAGCATGGTGATCAGTGGCAGAAAGACTACCCTCTTTAGCCAATCTAGGAGACTTTTGAAGCTTCTCTCTTTTACAACGGCGCCATGCTGTTTGCAAAACACAAGCTGCCCTTGGTTCCCATTGCTGCAAACCAAAGCTGTTACTGGCGGACCTATTAAGCTGCACCTCCCCTCGCCGGAAAATCTCTTGCAGCTGCAACTGAGGCTGCCTGAGGCGCAGTTCTTGTGAAGAAGATGACCACTGCGCCCTGGTTTTCTTTCTGATAATACCAAAATGAAACGACGCCGTTTTGAATTTGGGGAATGAAATCCTCTTAATGAAACGGTGTGTTTTGTGACTTGAAAACATTTCATTTTAACCTTATTAATGAAATCCTTTTATTGAATTCCTATTATATCCCCATGAATTCAAGCCCAAATTGGACTTGCTGAGTTGATATCCCCGTGACATTCGATTCAAAGCCTGGTTGGTTTTGTGATTGTATCAAAATTTATATATGGCATTACTTTCTTTAGTTGATATTGCCGGATTAGTTTTTTTTCTTTTTTTGCCAACTTCTTTAGTTTAATAATATGTTATTAAGTAATATCTTAGCCCTTTTTTAATTACTTTGATTAGTAATATCATAGACCGATGCCGGCCAACATTCATCAGGAGAAGTCTCATCCGGCAAATGTTTGCCAGCTTAGGTCTCTGCCGACAAAATCATTCGTCGAGAGAGGTTTTTTTATTTTATTTGAAATTAGTTTCTTTACTCTCTTTTTTTGCCAACTATTTTTGTTTAATATATGTAATTAAGTAAGATCTTAGCCTTTTTTAATTACTTTAATTTATTATTATATTTTAATTATTATTATTTAGTTAATATTTAAATATTTTAATGATTTCATAAATTACTCAAATATTCGAATATATTTAAGGAAATATGACACTATAAATCCATATTTTTGCTACACATAAATCCATATTTTTATTGTTGGTGATATATTAAAAGAGTATAGCCGCACAATTATACATTATAAATATTCTATTTTAAAGGTCTAGCCGCATGGCTATAGTATTTAAAAGAATATTCTGAACTTATAGCCGTGCAGCTATACGCTTCAAAAGTATAAAATTAGTTTCTTTACTTTTGTTTTATGGCAACCTTCTTTAATTTAATTTATGTAATTAAATCAAGAGTAATGCTACACCTACCACATGTTTATTCCACATTTCTATACCATATGATGTGACACGTCCATATTATATGCCACATCAATTAAATCAATGAAGTGTATTTTAATTAAGGCAATTAGAAAAACAAATACTTGAATAAATCATAAAAGAAAAGAAAATATTAAATAATTTTAATTGATGTGGCTATCCACCTCAGCCGCCACATAAGATGGTATAAAGATGTGGTATACAAATGTGGTAAGAGTAGCATTATTCTTAAATAAAATGTTAGTCTTTTTTAATTACTTTAATTAGGTATTACATTTTAATTATTGTTTCTTTAGTGAATATTTAAATATTTTACTGATTTAAATAATTAGTTAATAAATAGTAATTAATTATTTAAAAGTATAAAATTAGTTTATTTATTTTTGTTTTTTTGGCGACCTTCTTTAATTTAGTTTATGTTATTAAGTAAAATCTTAGTTTTTTTTTAAATTATTTTAATTAGTGGTAGTCTATTTTCCAGTGATTTCAATGGGAGAGGAATTAAAGGGAGTTGACTTAGGCTTTGCATTCCCTTCAGTGGTCTCAAGCTAGCAAGGTAGCCATTCGATTTATTCTTGCATAGAGGAAGCTTAGTGGCCTGAGCTGTTGCTTCACAGTTTAGCCGCGTGACTATACTCCCAAAATAGAATATTTTAAAAGTCCAACCGCGCGGCTATACCCTTTAAGTAGCATAATATGAATCTCCCAAAAATTGAATTACTACAAAGACCTTTATAGTAATATATTTAAATATTCACTAAAGAAATAATAATTAATACATAATTACTAATTAAAAAAAGGCTAAGATATTACTTAACCACATGTATTAAATTAAAGAAGTTGGCCAACAAACAAAAGTAAAGAAACTAAACAAAAACAAAAACACCCCTCCCGACGAAATGTCGTCGGCAAATATCTATCCCAGCGAAATTTACCATATTACCTCTCCTAACGAAATGTCGTCAGCAGAGGTAACTTTAGTCGGGAGAGGTCTAATTTGACAAATATTTGCCGGTGTTGACCTATGCCAACGAAATTTCGTCGGGAGATGTGTTTTCTCAATTTTTTATTTACAGGGTATAGCCGGGCGACTATACTTTGAAATATTCTTTTTTGGGGTACTTTCGTTCGGCTGTACGGTTAAAATATTATATTTAAGGTGTATCGTCGCGCGGCTATACTATTTAAAGGTATAGAATAGTAAATAGAATATTTAAAGGTATAGCCGTGCGGCCATAGGCATTAAATATACAATATTTAAAGAGTATAGCCGCACGGCTATACGTTTAAAAAAAAATTCCCAGATTTTCCTTTGTTAATAAGAGTAGTTTATAGCATTATCCATTACTATTATTAGGCCATTACCCAAGTCTCTATTATCCCCTTTTGATTTTTTACTTATTACACATATAAAGAATTGAGTAATGCACTTACCACATTATTATCCCACATTTCAGTACCACATGATGTGGCATATCCATATCATATGCCACATCAATTAAATGAATGAAGTGTATTTTAATAAATAAAATTAGAAAAACAGAAACTAGTATTTTACATGATGTGGTATGTACACATCAGCTGCCACATCATGTGGTATAAAAAATGTGGTAAGACTAGTATTATTCTAAAGAATTTAGCATTTTCCCATTTAATATTGGTATTATACAAGTAAGTAAACTTAATGCTTACCGAGAGTAGTTTCTGGGTTTAACCCTGCAATATTTCTGGCAACATCAATAGGATCAACGTTTGCAAGACTGCATACAGGGGAAAGCAAATTATTAGAATACCCTTAGACCGGAATCATCCATCCTCTGATAAAAATATGCATATAATCCTTTAACCCAACTACCAGGACTAGAACCAAATATTTACACAGAGAATGCATCTAACATAGTCCCTGAATATGGGCTATGTTTCTTCAACCACCATAACTCCAACCAACACACAGAATACAGATTGCTTTAAAAAATAAACACAAAGAAAATTTGAAAGCATAAGCAAAAGCATGCCATGTCCTAAAATCCTATGTGCTGTATCAAATACAAAATGCTTCTCTACCTGTCTTTAACAGATGAATGCATACCTTCTTCAAGAACCATGCCACTGAAATAAACTCATGAACACAGACAATCTCATTGTTTCAATCAGGTAGGTCCTGAAATAAACTCATGAGCAGTTAAGTTGGTCTTATCTTTACCCATGGTTTCAGAAATATGCTGGTCTCGTCTTTACCATAAAGATATCAAATATAAGTTTTTGTGATTTCAGACAGTTAAAGGTCAGAAATTTGGGCATCCTAATTTTAAATAGGAGACACCAACTAGCTATTGTTCTACTGGTACTTCTCTCTACTTTGTTGGAAGAGGTCCCAAATTTTAATCCCTTCCCCCAGATCAGAAAATAAATTTTTTTAAAAAATAGGAAACACTTCTCGCTAATTGCAGATAAAAAAGTGTTCAAATTAGCATTTTAATTCCATATTTATCCACATAATACTGGACCAAAGGAAGATAAACTTGAAACGTACATGCTCTCCACCAAACATTCGGTTAATCTTTTCTTTGAGGGATGCAGCCTGCATTGTGGCATAGACAACATTAATTAGAAAACACTATATTCACCCAATCCCTTCCCCCCACAAGACACTAGTTACGAATGGGCCAACCCCACCTCTGCCAATTTCCCAGGTTTCAGGCGTGGCACGTTGCCGTGAGTAGTCCAACAGTATCCCGTCAAACTCACTATTAAGTGTTATGTTTTAGGTGAACATGGAGATGCTACTAAGGTTGAATCCCATACTCAAACTCATACAGATCCAACTATGGAGATCTAACAAAACATGTTACCATTGAAATTGAATGAAAATATGGAAAAATGGGTATAACTAGCCAACCAATGGATCTCCCTGTCCCCATCCATTTCATGTTTACGCATTCTTTAAACTCATGTCCTGAAGATAACACATAAAACAACAAAAGTGGATACTCAAGGAATGTAAACAAGTAACTGAGGATCACCCTCATTGCTTTCCAAGTGTTCCTGTTGCAGAAAGTAGGATCAGATTAGGCTTCATATGCCTAGTAATTGAAACATAAATTAAAACCAAAATATATGGTAAACCTGAACTGAATCTCAACCAATGATTCAGCAATTTCTTGGCCGAAGATGAGGGTTTTTCCTCTTCTACAGCAGCTGTATTATCTTGCATCTCTCTGGGAGTTTTTTATTTACTCTTTTTGCCCATCTTATGGATCCAAAAGCTGCATTTCACCCAGATTACATTACTCAGAATTGACAAAAATGTATTTGCAGAGATGCCTGAACCCGCCAGGAAAAAAGAAATCCAAAAAAAAACGCCATTCAAGTTTTCGAAAAATCGGCTGCCTAGGCGGGCTAGGCGGGTTCTTTTTTTATTTTATTTATAAATAGTATAGCCGCGCGGCCGTACGTTTTAAATAATATATTCAATGGGTATAGCCGATCGGCTGAACTCCTTAAATAATATATTTAAAGAGTATAGCCGAGCGGCTGCACCCCCAAAAAAAATTGGAGAGCTGCCAGCCTGTGGAATCCGAGGGCATTGTCCCAGCTTGAAAAAAAGCCATTGGTGTGTGATCTCTAGATAATAGAGGCCTGAACATAATAAGATCTCGTCTCTATATAAGAAATCGGAAGGTAGCAGGAGGAACCCTATGAGGGTTCATGAAATGCATATTTACTTGAGTTAAACATTACAGTCAATTTGATGAGAATTAAATTGCTTAATTAATGTCTCAAAGGAGAATACATCTTCAAGCATCTTACTTTGCCGCGGCAGATGCATAACTTACGCTGATGTCCCTCATAGTTTTGCACTGACTCGACTGCTCATATAGGAGAAAATTGATCTTTATGCTCGTTGAACAGTTCTTCAACATCTGAATCCATTGAAATATGATTGAAATAAAGGGATGAAAAAATAATCAAAACCAATATTCTAGATGCAGTTAACTGAAGAGCTGGAGTCAAACTCATGTGCAATGAAAAAGAACCATTTTGCACTCTAGGTAAACTAAGTTTAATTCTTCAAAAAATGACCCTCACATTTTTCCTCTCAACCTGATTTGATGTCTCCAATATGTCAATATGAAATAGAAATAACGAGGATATCTTTAGAACCTTCGTTCTCATGAACTCAATAAATAGCATCACCGTCAAAATCCAAAAGAAAAAAGCACATAAATTCAGAATTACCAACGGATAATGAAATATTGTTAATTAAATTTAGTGATAATCTGAATGTTTAATCAATTAAAGGCAAGAGAACAAAGGAAATTTTTCCATACTGTAAGATTAGTGCTGACTGCTACCATTCCATATGCTTTGCAACTGCATCAGGCCTGAAATTGTTACGCTCAATCATGAGAAAGAGAGGGGCAGGCAGATCTTCAAAACTTACATTTTATCTGACAAACTCAATGATTAACTACAAAGACATAATAAACCTTCACTCCATCATACCATGTTGAGGACTAAATTATTCAATTATAAAATTACTAAGCTATTCCAAATATGATTCATTCCCGCCCACTCCCAAGCTCATTCACGGTTGTTTAAATTAACCCAAAGATTATTAAGCAAAAATCCTGAACTGAAACAACGTGTTCATATACTTGAAGAAGTGCTAGCAGTGCACTAACCCAAGAGAAGATGAAATCCATTCCCTAAGGGTTCAAACATTCAACATAGTTTCAGCCGTTGTAAAGGTCTTCGAAACTACCACAACTGCAAATATCAGAAATGGAATACTGCCACTCCTTATGGGCCATGTTAGTGGATTTTTACAGAATGCATCTGATCCCTTAACCCAACTTCCAAGACTACAACCAAATATTTACACAGAGAATGCATCTAACATAGTCTCTGAATATGGGCTATGTTTCTTCAACCACCACAACTACAACCAAACACACAGAATACAGATTGCTTTCAAAAATAAAAAAAAACAAAGAAAATTTGAAAGCATAAGCAAAAGCATGCCATGTCCTAAAATCCTATGTGCCGTATCAAATACAAAATGCTTCTCTACATGTCTTTAACAGATGAATGCATCCCTCCTTCAAGAACTATGCCACTGAAATAAACTCATGAACACAGACAATCTCATTGTTCCAATCAGGTAGGTCCTCAAATGAAGGAGCTAAAAGAAAGCTAATCCGCAATGTTTGACAGCAGTAGTGGGAAATCACTTCAAAAGCCTCAAGACATGGATTCATACCATTAGCATCTTACCGGCTCTTAATTCATTGATATAGAGAACTGGAAAATAATCACTTAAAAATTGATACGTAAGTACTTACAAATGCAGTTGCCTTCCCCTTGCTGTTTCGATAGCCTCTGGATCTGCAAAATGTAATCAAACCAGTGTTCCAAAGAAAGCTTAATCATTTTCACAAGGAAACTCACACTAAATAGTAAACAAGACTGCAAAATATATGCATGGAAAGAATCATCTAAACCTGTTTGAAGAGGACCTGAGAAGCTGCCACCGATACCAACAGCTATATTATCTTGCATCTCTCTGGAAGTTTTTGATTTACTCTTTTTCCCCATCTTATGGTACTGAGAATTGCCAAAATGTACTTGCAGAGATGCTAGACCCTCCAGGACTAAAGAAATCTGAAAAAAAAAACTCCATTCAAGTTTTGAAAAATCGGCCGCCTAGGCGGGCTAGGCGGTTCTTTTTTAAAAATAAATAAATAAATAGTATAGCCGCGCGGCTATACTATATTTAAGTTTCATAATTGCAATAGACCCGCCAGGAAAAAAGAAATCTTTAAAAAAAATGCAATTCAAGTTTTCGAAAAATCGGCCGCCTAGGCGCTTTCATTTTATTAAAAAATATATATATATTTTATTTTTATAAATAAAATAAATAGTATAGCCGATCGGCTATACTAGTCTCATAATTGCAATTCTGTCTGAAAGTACTCTATCTTTCAGAAAAAGAAAAATAAATAATTCAATATGAGGTCTCTCAATTCTGAGACTGATTTATAGTTTTTCTCTGCCTATGCATTGGGAGCATATCAACATGAGAATATCTAATATTTAAGTTTCAAATTTCGCCATTAAAATGTTTTGGTAGGTTCTCATTATATCAAGGCTGTTCTACACAAATGGAGGTGATGCCATTTGGTGTTAGCATCAAATGGCATTCATTTTCTCTGGAAATGGCCACAGCCACAGGACCTTAATTCTAGTGGAGTGGTAAAGAATGACATGCTTTATAATTCTTTCCTATTAGATTTCTCCTCTCTTTCCTTTCGAATTGAAACCGAAGCGACAGTCATTTGATTCTAATGATATTGATTGAACGCAGGCAACTCCCAAGGTTCACCCTAATTTATGGAAACCAAGGAGTGGCTTAGAGCTGATGAACAATGACCTTCCCAGCACCAACCCTGAAGACTCTATGTCTTGCTTTGATTTGTCCAAGAATGAAAAATATCTTATATCAGCAACAGGAGGGGTGATCTCCATTTTTGACATGACAACATTTAAGGTAAACCCAACACATAGTATTCTTGAAATTTTCTTTTCCCAACCAAAACTTCCCAAATCTTGTTTGTCAATATGCTTAGGTTCTGTTTGCAAATTTCTCATGCTCTAACTCATTGTACTCATAAAAATCTGTTGCGTAAAAACGCATACGATGAAGAAAGTCAGGCCACCGCCACCTGCAGCAACATGTCTTGCTTTTCACTCCCGAGATGATGGTATAGTTGCTATTGGCATGGACAATTCCACCATTGTAATATACAATCTCCACTCAGACAAGGAAATTTGTTTGTTCTTGTAAAAAAAACAAATCATGCTCGATGTTGTGATGAAGCAAACCCGAAAAGTTTGTCATTGCCTTGATTTAAATATTTTGCAGGTTACAAGGAAGCTTGAGGGTCACTCCAAAAGAGTCACTAGCCTTGCCTTCTCGAACACTCTGAATGTACTAGTTTCTTCTGGTGCTGGTACATATTGGAAACTACAATATTACTTCCAGACATGGCTTCTACTCTAATGTGACTTCTGTTATTTAACGACGTCGTTTTGGCCCTGCAGATTTTTGTGTGGGAAAAACAGAGAAGCAAATTGTTGCAGATTCCAGATGGGAAGGAGTTGAGATCATTGTCAGATACTTACATCCAAATTCACCAGAATGAGCTGCATCTCCTTGCCATAAACAAGAATCACCTTGCAGTATGATAATACCTGCAGGATGACTCAAAATGCCTAGAGGAGGGTGAATAGGCCAATTTAAGTTTCTAATCAAATAAATAAAAATAAACTTCGGTAGCAGGATTGATATGGCTTATCAATCCTGTACCGTGCTGGGCATAAAATAAAAGAACACGCAGAGAATTATTTTACGTGGTAAAACCCCACCTCTGGGGAAAATCCACGGGACTCCTCAGTCCAACACAAATCCACTATAGAACGATGATTACAAGAAGTACTCACACACTTATCCTAGACACATTTTAGATAATGTTTACCGACTTCTTCGTAACTCAACTTCTGTCACGGGATGATCTTCGACACTCCTTATGTTGAACGCAATACTGGCCACGATTGCTTCAAGCTCACCGGAGGAAAACCGCAACCACGGTCTTGGTGCCCTCAACCGTATGAGTCACCGACATGCATATGAATGCAATATGAATGATTAAAGTGTTTGATAAATCACCAAGTAAAACATTGAACACTTGATGATTTATCTCAAATATACGCACAACAGCTTTTCTTAGAATTCTATATGCTCAGAACAAATATCTCAAAAGCTGTACAAATAAAAGAATGGCACATGATCTTTTATACAAGACTTGTTCTCTCTCAAGGGAGAGAAACCCAATAGGCCACGAATCTTCAACTTCCTATTGCACCACAACCTATCATCAATAAGAGATTTGATTCACCTTGGACTCAAAGTAATGACGCCTCTCTTTAAACCAAATTAACTAAGAGGTAAGCAACAAGCAAAGTCACAATAGGAAAAGATAATATTTTAACTTCAATTAAAATAGAGTTGAACTAGGAAAGTAATCTCAAGAGATAAAATCTAATCTTATTAAAAATAAGATTAAGATAAAAATACTTTGAGTGAAAATAACTCAAACTAGGAATCCTATAATGAATGCATGATTATGTCATGATTTACCTGAAATCAGATTCCTCATATCGGTCAAGTCATGCTTTGGAAACCTGAGATTGAATGTGTTGCGCCAAAACGTCTAGTAAACGATATTCACACACTAACTCCCAACCTATGCTAGAGTCTAGGAAATGACAATACAAATTTCATACTAACAATCTCCCCCTTTGGCATTTCCTAGACAAAACACCTATTACAACTCAAAAGAAATTACATGGGATTTAACAAATGAATTCTTATTCTAAGCTTGAAGCCCTGAATCCCTGCACATTATGAAACAACAAAACCAGTGAAGCATGTGGGAGAAGAAATGTAATTCAAAGCAAATTACAACACAACTCCCCCTTAATTCCATAACACAATCTCTCCCCCTTAATTCCATAACACAATCTCTCCCCCTTAATTCCACAACACAATCTCTCCCCCTTTTGTCAGGAAATCCAAAGGGCAAAGAATGAACATAAGGGAGCATATATAAGAGGGAATAAAAAATAAAAAAAATCAGATTGCATTCCCAACATATAAAGACATAGAGAATAACCAATAAAGCATGTAAGAGGCTTTATCTTGAAAACAAACAGAATTTTTTTTATTTTTTTATTTTTTTATTTTTTATTTTTTATTTTTATTTTTGGGATAAGCGACAGGAAAATAGAGAAATAATGAGAAGTTGTTAAGAACCAAAACATACAAAAACAAAAGCAATACACTCAAGACAGAAAGCTCAAAACAATCAAGACATAAAACATACTGTAGATGCAGACCCAAAGTTCTCTTGAAGATATAATTATTTTCCATTCATAAACATGCCAAGTTTGTGGGTAAAGAATGAAAGAAGCAACAAACCCTTTGTTGTCTTGAACGCATGTGAAGCAAAGCATGTCAGGGACAAACACACGACAGCACACAAGACTCACAAACTCACAGAGAACAGTAGAGGCATACCACAGTCATGGTGAAAGATAAAAAGGCATCAAATGAGTCTACCATCAAGGAGCAAATGTGTTAAATGAACTCTTTTTCAATTAAGCACAAAAAATATGTCCACACAAAACGAATCCCACCAAAGATTGCACAAACACTAAGTGCATAGTAAGTATAAGAAGATCAATTTATATATATATTTTTTAATACGAATTTTGTGGCTCACTTTATCTAGCTTTCGACATGATCCATGTAACGGATGGTCAATCAGTGTGCTTACGTCAGATGACTGGAGGCAACTGGGTGATGAAGCACCCCTGGGGAAATACTGATCCGAATCATGAAGGCTCCAAAGATAAGCAAGGATAGCAAACCATCACAACCTGTTGACTCGAACCTCGACGTTGGTTAGACAAGAGGCCCGGTTACTGAGCAATGAGTGGTTGACACCCTTTTTTTTTTTTTTTAATTTATTTTTATAAACAGATCAAGAACTTACGCACAGTAGTGTTATGGCAATCCAAAGAGGGACAAGTGCATGATAAGAGATATTCAAAGGACTTCAAGGAAAAGAGTGTGGTGTGCAAAATAAAAATAAATAGATGGATAGATCATTTAATGAAGTTTATAATGCACCAAGACAATGGAAACCTTTGTGTGAAGCTGAGAGTGTAAGTTCTTAATATAGTGCAATGTCAGAGCCCAATCTAAGATCAACAAATACGTTCAGACAGTTACAGGATTGATACACCTTAACAATCCTTGCACGAGCTGGACAGATTTATAAACACAGAAATTAATTGAAATATCATAAAACATGAAAGAGGCTTTGGCATGCAATAGACTCCAAATTAATCTAGAGCACATATACCTAAAGACTTTCTAAGAGTGTCAAATCGAAGATTATCCAAGGGTTTTGCAGCAATACATTTAAGATCCAAACTTTCTAAAGCAACGGGTTCATGCACAACATTAGTGGAGGAAGACATACAATTATGATTTTCCTTTTCCCTCCAAACCAACTTTGTCTTAGTTGACGGCAAACAATGAAAAGAAGATAGTTTGGATAAGCGGTTTACCTCTTTCATAAGATTTGAAATCTTATGTTGGATACTTACTTTTCCACCCATGCCATGAGAATTTGAACGAACAAATTCGTTTCGAAGCTTATTGCATCTCGGTCTTATGTGCCCACGAGTTCCACAAAAGTGACAAATTGGAATAAATTTCTTGACTTCATGAGAGGCAGAAGGTTCAATAGGTGAAGTGGATTTGACAAACTTTGTTTTAGACACAGCGGAAGACTTATTACTTGGTTCAAATCCCAAGCCTCGTTTGTCACCATCTCTTCGTCCCATGCTAATCATCTTGTCAATTTTTTCTGCACCAATGGTTAAAGAAACAATCCTTTCTTTTGAATTTTTAAGTTCAAGTTCAAGGGCTTTGTTGTCAGAAGTTAGAGAAGCAATTAATTTATTCTGATCAGTCAATTTTTTCTGCAAAAACATCAATTTTTCGTTCATACCTGCACTTACCTTTTCGGAATCTGCATCAGGGGATTGAAACTCGTTTGCAATCCTGCAATTTTCCAGCTTCAGCACAGCAACTTCTTTGACGAGCTCACTATTTTGTTTACTGAGCTTCTGAGATGCAGCCAACAAATCATCATATTTGTTCATGATAAACTCAATATTTATACCTTTACAATCATCATCCTCACGTGATTCATCCAAGCTAACTGTGGTTATAAGTGCAACCGTCTTTTCATCATTCTCGCATTCCGATTCACTATCACTCCAAGTAGTATGCATTGCCTTATTCTTGCCATCCTTTTGTTTCCTTAAGGTGTTGGCACATTCCGAAGATATGTGTCCATAGCCTTCACATTCGAAACATTTGACCTTTTCTCTTGGATTCTTTCGTTCATTTAACCTGCGAAATTTAGATCCACCATCAGTATAGTTAACAAACCTATTTTTAGAATTTATACCTTTTGAATCTCGACTCCTTGGATCCTGATTCTTGAGAAAGTTCATGAATCGTCTTGTGAGAATCGTTAATTCCTCATCACTGCAATCTTCATTTGAATGCTCATCATCTTCTTCATTCACAACCTTGAACGCAACATTTTTGCTCTTTTTAAGAGGTAGATGTTTCATCTCATAGGTTTGTATGGACCCTATGAGTTCTTGAACTTTCAAGGTGTTTAAGTCACGGATCTCTTCAATAGCCGTGATCTTTGGTTGAAACCGTTGAGGCAAGGATCTCAAAATCTTTTTCACAACTCTATCTTCTGGAATTTTTCACCTAAACCTGAACAAGCATTCACAATTACACAAAGTTTAGCATAAAATTCAGAAAAAGTTTCATTCTCATCCACCATAAGTGTCTCAAACTGTAAAGTGTGCATTTGAAGCTTGGCTCCCTTGACAGTATCTGTTCCTTCATGAGTAACCTGCAAAATATCCCAAGCTTCCTTAGAAGTATCACAAGCACATATATATTCAAATTGATCGGAAGAGACAGCAGTAAATAAAGCATTTAACCCCTTTTGATTATTAGTGCTGTGTGTGACTTCTGCAGTGGTCCACTCCTCTCTAGTTTTGAGGATTGTGGTTTCTTCATCTCCTTTTCCGATCGTCTTTGTGGGTTTAGGAAATCCATGAACCACTGTGCTCCATACACGTTCATCTAAGGACCAAAGAAACGACTTCATTTTGGCCTTCCAAGCGCCATAGTTGTTGCCATCGAAATATGGTGGATGTGCAATTGAGCCCGAGGCACGATCCATCCTAAGGTATGTTAGATCTTGCTGAGTATGTCCAGCAACCTGCTCTGATGCCAATTGAAAATACCTGCAGGATGACTCAAAATGCCTAGAGGAGGGTGAATAGGCCAATTTAAGTTTCTAATCAAATAAATAAAAATAAACTTCGGTAGCAGGATTGATATGGCTTATCAATCCTGTACCGTGCTGGGCATAAAATAAAAGAACACGCAGAGAATTATTTTACGTGGTAAAACCCCACCTCTGGGGAAAATCCACGGGACTCCTCAGTCCAACACAAATCCACTATAGAACGATGATTACAAGAAGTACTCACACACTTATCCTAGACACATTTTAGATAATGTTTACCGACTTCTTCGTAACTCAACTTCTGTCACGGGATGATCTTCGACACTCCTTATGTTGAACGCAATACTGGCCACGATTGCTTCAAGCTCACCGGAGGAAAACCGCCACCACGGTCTTGGTGCCCTCAACCGTATGAGTCACCGACATGCATATGAATGCAATATGAATGATTAAAGTGTTTGATAAATCACCAAGTAAAACATTGAACACTTGATGATTTATCTCAAATATACGCACAACAGCTTTTCTTAGAATTCTATATGCTCAGAACAAATATCTCAAAAGCTGTACAAATAAAAGAATGGCACATGATCTTTTATACAAGACTTGTTCTCTCTCAAGGGAGAGAAACCCAATAGGCCACGAATCTTCAACTTCCTATTGCACCACAACCTATCATCAATAAGAGATTTGATTCACCTTGGACTCAAAGTAATGACGCCTCTCTTTAAACCAAATTAACTAAGAGGTAAGCAACAAGCAAAGTCACAATAGGAAAAGATAATATTTTAACTTCAATTAAAATAGAGTTGAACTAGGAAAGTAATCTCAAGAGATAAAATCTAATCTTATTAAAAATAAGATTAAGATAAAAAATACTTTGAGTGAAAATAACTCAAACTAGGAATCCTATAATGAATGCATGATTATGTCATGATTTACCTGAAATCAGATTCCTCATATCGGTCAAGTCATGCTTTGGAAACCTGAGATTGAATGTGTTGCGCCAAAACGTCTAGTAAACGATATTCACACACTAACTCCCAACCTATGCTAGAGTCTAGGAAATGACAATACAAATTTCATACTAACACAGTATATGAAGTGAAAGCTCTAGCATGTGTTTAGGAGGAGGGGAGGCTACCCCATCCCAAGGTCAAGGCATACCAAGGCCTCTTTGAGGAACCATTTGGCTTTTTAATTCTTCACTTCAGGATTAAAAACAAAAGGCACCCAAAAAGGGATCAGGCCACTCAATGATTCACCATGAAATTTTTTTTTCATACAAAGATGTAGTCATCGCCCCTTCACAAGTATATGATACTAACCTATACAAATTGTGTATCAATTTTTACTTTGCCTTGCATTGCAAATGCTCAAAAAGATAAGGTTCTTTTTAAAATTCTGCAAGCTAAGTATTCTTCAACTGGTCACACTATCTCTAGGAGGTTTTCCCTTTGGAATGACCTTCCGGTAGTTACAACATCACAAATGTAAAACAGAGATGATAGGCCCGCCACCTTTTTGGCTTTGACCTGCAATCATCTCCTGAATTGCTTTTATATGTGTTGTTGCATAAGGAACCTGTTGTGTCAAACTTTTCACATGGACACTCTACCATCCTCGCCAAAACAAAACTAAGCATGGCACATCATTGTGCTGTGGTGTTTTTGTGTGCCTTGCAAATTTTCCTTTGCATAGAGAAAACGAACCATGAACGTAACCAACAGAGGGGATAAAAGATCAAGAATCCTGAAAATTCCAAGAAACGGATCTCCTTGTAGAAAGGTCCTACTGCTGAAGCTGCAAAATGCATACATCATGTGATTAACTTGCATATCAGATGTAAATATCAAATAATTTGGCATGCAAAGTAAGGCAAAAAGTAAATGAAATCAGCAAAAGACAATGTCCATGGATAAATAGGCTCATCGACAAAGGGCAATTGTGGAGGCTGGTCACATCTTCCTTTTTACATGCAAATGTTGGGCACCTAATGGTATGCTTTGAATCTTACGGCTTGGCATTCTAATGTCTGCATTTCAATCTGATTTTGTCTGTTTCTGCGTATGTTTTCAGGTTAATTGTTATTCTTTAAATTCAGTTGGTCCTACCATGGAGAAGATCAGTGGTCCTAATAGATATCTTGCACTCTACTTCGCCTCTGCAATTGCAAGTAACAGCTTTATGATCTATCTACAATAGCCAATAAAAATTGCTTAGCGACTAGTATTCTGATTCAGTGGTTTCGAGAAAATCAGGTTCAGCGATGAGTTATTGGTTCAGTGAGGCACCTGCAGTTGGTGCATCAGGGGCAGTCTTTGGATTAGTAAGACATTTTATTGTTTTTCCTTAGCCGGACTCTTTTTCTGGATTTCCTAGATGCACCATATAACCTGCCAGATAATCTTGGTTTAATTCATTTATGGCAATAGAGTAGAGGAATCCAGTAAAATCAGGTTCATTGTCATGCAGTCACACAAGCAAAGTTGATGTTCTTGCAATTATTTCCTTCTTGTTTATTTTTTCCCCATTTCTTATTCATCTGTCTTCAGAAGATTTAATGTTTTCCTTTTCCTGTATTTCACCATTTAATATATAGCTTCCTCTTTTACAGTTTTCATGAAATTTGTCAGCTGCAAACTTATTAAATTTGTTTCAAAATAAACCTCTGCAAATTCTGAATATCATTTTACAGGATTTCCTCCGCCAAAAGAGAAACAATAAGTATAAATGAAAAAGAAACATTTCTGTGAGTGTCACGCTGCTTTGACAAAAGGAAGATTAGTTCATATCTTTATATATTGAAATTTAAAAATCTGCCTATGTACCTACTCAGTGTTATGGAATGCCAAGTGAATCTTCTTTCAAGCTATTCTGGCATGGTATTGCTCTTTCTCATCTCCTATAATTAATCAAACCGCTGGCTCTGATCTTTGATTTAGGTTGGATCTCTTGCTGTCTTCGTCATGAGGCATAGAGGTCTGGTTGGACGTGGCAAAGAAGATCTACAGCACATAGCACATGTAATTACCGTAAATATGGTATGTTCCTTCTCTGGTTACTATGTCTTTAAGTTTTGCCCAACTCAGTCCTTTATCTATCTTAATAACTTAATCAGCTCCCCTTCCAATTTATGTTGGCTGGATAAATGGATAAATAAACATAATTTAAAAGTTCACCTCAAATTAGGCAGAGCATCAACGTAGTTTCAGCAATGAACGAACGATAATCCGCAATGTTTGACAGCAGTAGTGTGAAATCACTTCAAAAGCCTCAAGACATGGATTCATACCATTAGCATCTTACCGGCTCTTAATTCATTGATATAGAGAACTGGAAAATAATCACTTAAAAATTGATACGTAAGTACTTACAAATGCAGTTGCCTTCCCCTTGCTGTTTCGATATAGCCTCTGGATCTGCAAAATGTAATCAAACAAGAGAACACTACCCAAAGTTTATTCCAAAGAAAGCTTAATCATTTTCACAAGGAAACTCACACTAAATAGTAAACAAGACTTGGAGCATGAAGAGCTGCATGAAGCACTGATCTATTTTCTGTGCTGTTTATGAGAAGGCACCACCCAGAAAAAGAAAAACAGAATGCAAAAGGATCACATGACAATGGTTTCAGAAATAAGCTGGTCTCATGATCTTTACCATAAATCCTATAAAGCTATCAAATATAAGTTTTTGTGATTTCAGACAGTTAAAGGTCAGAAATTTGGGCATCTAGGAGACACCAACTAGCTATTGTTCTACTGGTACTTCTCTCTACTTTGTTGGAAGAGGTCCCAAATTTTAATCGCTTCCCCCATATCAAAAATATTTTTTTATTTTTAAATAGGAAACACTTCTCGCTAATTGCAGATAAAAAAGTGTTCAAATTAGCATTTTAATTCCATATTTATGCACATAATACTCAACCAAAGGAAGATAAACTTGAAACGTACATGCTCTCCACCAAACATTTGGTTAATCTTTTCTTTGAGGGATGCAGCCTGCATTGTGGCATAGACAACAACATTAATTAGAAAACACTATATTCACCCAATCCTTCCCCCACCTCTGCCAATTTCCAAGGTTTCAGGCGTGGCACGTTGCCGTGAGTAGTCCAACACTATCTCGTCAAACTCACTAAGTGTTATGTTTGTTTTAGGTAAACCTGAATTGAATCTCAACCAGTGATTCAGCTTGGAGGAATTGAGATGAGGGACTCGTATAAGGACTCGCAGAAGGCGAGTAAGGGGAACCATTAGGTGCATAACTAGGAGGAACAGTAGGGTTAAGATGAGAAGTTGGTGAGGAGCTTGGAGGAATTCCAGAACCGCGGTATGGACATGGACGAGGATGTGGAGGTACCTTGGATGGTGCTGGGGGGAACTGGAGAAGCAGGATATGGAGAAATTGTTGGCTCTGGAGACAGAGCGGGAGAAGGAGTAGGAGGAGGACCCCTAAGATAAGAAGATAAACTGATACTTTTGACTTTACCAAGGACTGAGTTATCAAGCCGGAAAAAAAGAAATTAAAAAAAAACACACGTCATTCAAGTTTTCGAAAAATGGGCCGCCTAGGCGGGTTCTTTTTTATTTTTTTTATTTTAATAAATAGTCTAGCCGAACGGCTGTACGTTTTAAATATAAAAACAATAGTATAGCCGCGCGGCTATACTATTTCTTTCAAAAAAATTTAAAAACAGAGTACTACCACTCGGCTATACTATTTCTTAAAAAAAAAACGAGTACTACCGCTCGGCTATACTATTTCTTAAAAAAAAAACGAGTTTAGCCGCGGCCATACTATTTCTTTTAAGGAAATTAGCAAAACCGAGTATAGCCTATTTCTTTTATTTTTTTTTAAAGGGCAAAACTGAGTCTAGCCACGCAGTTATACTATTGTTTTGATTTACACTTCCGTTGTATTTTTTTTAAAAAAAAATTAATAACAAGAGGCTTTGGGGTTAACCCGTATGGATGGTGGCCGTTAATTATTCAACAAAAATATGTTATGTCCTTTGAGTCACATATCTTCTTCCTAAATTCCTTACCCAAAAAAAAAGAAAAAGAAAATAAAGAAGTACTTGTATCAATGTTTTGAAAAGCAAGGCGTTGAAACAAAGTATCTTATATCTCGCAAAACGAGGCGTAAACCTTTTGAACATTCAATTATTAAAAATAAAAATATATTAGTGTGTTAATAATATGTAAAACATATGATGGTAGGTTTGCATGAATCCTAGTTTAAATGGTTCAGAGTATATAGATTTTTGTTTGTGAAGTTTTGTCATCATTTAGTAAATGTCTCATGGTAGGTTTAACGCATGAATCCGCGCGGCTATACTATTTCTTTAAAAAAATTAAAAACAGCGTAGAGCCGGCCGGCTAGACTAATTTAAAAAAATCGGGTTTAACCGTGCGGCAATACGATTTCTTTTAAAATTTTTCGCAAAACCCAGTATAGCCCCGCGGCTATTTATAAAGTAAAAATAGGAAGAAGCCGTGCATAGCCGGGCGGCTATACTACTTCTTAAACCGAGTATAGCCGGACCGAGTTCAAAGAAAAGAACGGTTCTAGACTGAACTATTTGGGTCAGTTCAGTCGTTCGATCAACCAAACTATGATCAAATTTTCTCAGTGAGCAAACATAAAATCACAAATTCAAGAAAAAAGAGAGAGAGAACAAAATCAAGGAGACAAATTTTCATGCGGTTAAAAAGAAAAAAATGAAAATAGAAGAGAGATAGAAAGAAAGACCTATCGACGAAGATTGGCGAACCGGAGCTCGGTTCCGATTTGTTCGGCGGTGTTAGGAGTCTTGTTACAGTCGACAAGACTCAGCCGCAGTCTGAGCCCCTTGGGAAGTCTTGGAGGCGAGGAGAACGACGCCATTTCTTTCAACAACTTAGAAAAACTGAGTATAGCCGAGCAGCGATACTATTTCTTTTATAAAAAATTAGCAAAACCGGGTATAGCATAAAAAATTTTCAAAACCGGGTATAGCCGAGCGGCTATACTATTTCTTTATAATAAAAAATAGCAAAATCTAGCAAAAACTGAGTATAGCCGTCCGGCTTAACTAGACTGTTCTTTAAAAAAAATTTTAAAAAAACCGCGTGTAGCCGGCCGGCTATACGATTTATTTTTAAAAAATATAATTAAGATGAATTTTTTAATATATATTATGTTTATTCAATAATATGTGAGAATTATATGTATAATACGTAAATTTGTGTGTATCATTGAAAATTTTATAAACAAATACATGTATTAAGCATGAAAAATATTTACGTACATGTATAATACGCGTATTGCACGTTTGCCTATTTTTAAAAAAGTGAATTTTACCAAGTCTTTAAGACATGTACAGTACATGGATGTATTATTGAAAAATCAAAGGGGGACGATAGAGACTCGGGTAATGGCCTAATACTATTAGTCATCTAGATTAATCGGAATGTCATCCTCCAAATTCTCAGGCGAGGGTGTCTCAGGAAAGAATTCTTCATTTGGATACAACTTCTGGAAAAGCTGTCAAGTGCAAACATTGACACCAAATTTCGTAAGGGTTAACATCAAGGGATATATAATAACAAAAAGTTAAGCTTAATGAAACCACACAAGATGTCAGTAAAGAGATAATAATACACATATAAAGAATTTAGTATTTTTCCGTTTAATATTTGTATTATACACGTAAGTAAACTTAATGCTTACCAAGGGTAGTTTCTGGATTTAACCCTGTAATATTTCTCGCAACATCAATAGGATCAACGTTTGCAAGACTGCACACAGGGTAAAGCAAATTATTAGAATACCCTTCGACCAGAATCATCCATCCTCTGATAAAAATACGCATATAATCCTTTAACGCACCCAACTACCAAGACTGGAACCAAATATTTACACAGAACGCATCTAACATAGTCCCTGAATATGGGCTATGTTTCTTCAACCACCACAACTCCAATCAACACACAGAATACAGATTGCTTTCAAATATAAACAAAAAGAAAATTTGAAACCATAAGCACTTAAAAATCGATACGTAAGTACTTACAAATGCAGTTGCCTTCCCCTTGCTGTTTCGATAGCCTTTGGATCTACAAAATGTAATCAAACCAGTGAACACTACCCAAAGTTTATACCAAAGAAATCTTAATCATTTTCACAAGGAAACTCACACTAAATAGTAAACAAGACTGCAAAATATATGCATGGAAAGAATCATCTAAACTTGTTTGAAGAGGACCTAAGAAGCTGCCACCGATACCAACAGCAATGACATTCTTCAGGATCACCCTCATTGCTCTACAAGTGTTCCTGTTGCAGAAAGTAGGATCAGATGAGGCTTCATATATATGCCTAGTAATTGAAACATAAATTAAAACCAAAATATATGCATGGTAAAACTAAACTGAATCTCAACCAATGATTCAGCAATTTCTTGGCCGAAAATGAGGGGTTTTCCTCTTCTACAGCAGCTGTATTATCTTGCATCTCTCTGGGAGTTTTTTATTTACTCTTTTTGCCCATCTTATGGATCCAAAAGGTGCATTTCACCCAGATTACATTACTCAGAATTGACAAAAATGTATTTGCAGAGATGCCTGAACCTGCCAGGAAAAAAGAAATCCAAAAAAAAAACGCCATTCAAGTTTTCGAAAAATCGGCCGCCTAGGCGGGCTAGGCGGGTTCTTTTTTTATTTTATTTATAAATAGTATAGCCGATCGGCTGTACTTTTTAAATAATATATTCAAAGGGTATAGCCGAACGGCTGCACTTCTTAAATAATATATTTAAAGAGTATAGGAGAAAATTGACTGACTCGACTGCTCATATAGGAGATATGCTCGTTGAACAGTTCTTCAACATCTGAATCCATTGAAATATGATTGAAATAAAGGGATGAAAAAATAATCAAAACCAATATTCTAGATGCAGTTAACTGAAGAGCTGGAGTCAAACTCATGTGCAATGAAAAAGAACCATTTTGCACTCTAGGTAAACCAAGTTTAATTCTTCAAAAAATGACCCACACAATTTTCCTCTCAACCTGATTTGATGTCTCCAATATGTCAATATGAAATAGAAATAACGAGGATATCTTTAGAACCTTCGTTCTCATGAACTTAATAAATAGCATCACCGTCAAAATCGAAAAGAAAAAAGCACATAAATTCAGAATTACCAACGGATAATGAAATATTGTTAATTAAATTTAGTGATAATCTGAATGTTTAATCAATTAAAGGCAAGAGAACAAAGGAAATTTTTCCATACTGTAAGATTAGTGCTGACTGCTACCATTCCATATGCTTTGCAACTGCATCAGGCCTGAAATTGTTACGCTCAATCATGAGAAAGAGAGAGGGGCAGGCAGATCTTCAAAACTTACATTTTATCTGACAAACTCAATGATTAACTACAAAGACATAATAAACCTTCACTCCATCATACCATGTTGAGGACTAAATTATTCAATTATAAAATTACTAAGCTATTCCAAATATGATTCATTCCCGCCCACTCCCAAGCTCATTCACGGTTGTTTAAATTAACCCAAAGATTATTAAGCAAAAATCCTGAACTGAAACAACGTGTTCATATACTTGAAGAAGTGCTAGCAGTGCACTAACCCGAGAGAAGATGAAATCCATTCCCTAAGGGTTCAAACATTCAACATAGTTTCAGCCGTTGTAAAGGTCTTTGAAACTACCACAACTGCAAATATCAGAAATGGAATACTGCCACTCCTTATGGGCCATGTTAGTGGATTTTTACAGAATGCATCTGATCCCTTAACCCAACTTCCAAGACTACAACCAAATATTTACACAGAGAATGCATCTGATTATGGGCTATGTTTCTTCAACCACCACAACTACAACCAAACACACAGAATACAGATTGCTTTCAAAAATAAAAAAAACAAAGAAAATTTGAAAGCATAAGCAAAAGCATGCCATGTCCTAAAATCCTATGTGCCGTATCAAATACAAAATGCTTCTCTACATGTCTTTAACAGATGAATGCATCCCTCCTTCAAGAACTATGCCACTGAAATAAACTCATGAACACAGACAATCTCATTGTTCCAATCAAGTAGGTCCTCAAATGAAGGAGCTAAAAGAAAGCTAATCCGCAATGTTTGACAGCAGTAGTGGGAAATCACTTCAAAAGCCTCAAGACATGGATTCATACCATTAGCATCTTACCGGCTCTTAATTCATTGATATAGAGAACTGGAAAATAATCACTTAAATATTGATACGTAAGTACTTACAAATGCAGTTGCCTTCCCCTTGCTGTTTCGATAGCCTCTGGATCTGCAAAATGTAATCAAACCAGTGTTCCAAAGAAATCTTAATCATTTTCACAAGGAAACTCACACTAAATAGTAAACAAGACTGCAAAATATATGCATGGAAAGAATCATCTAAAACTGTTTGAAGAGGACCTAAGAAGCTGCCACCGATACCGACAGCTATATTATCTTGCATCACTTTGGGAGTTTTTGATTTACTCTTTTTGCCCATCTTATGGTACTGAGAATTGCCAAAATGTACTTGCAGAGATGCTAGACCCTCCAGGAATAAAGAAATCTGAAAAAAAAAACTCCATTCAAGTTTTTGAAAAATCGGCCGCCTAGGCGGGCTAGGCGGTTCTTTTTTTTTTTTTTTTTTAAAAATAAATAGTATAGCCGTGCGGCTATACTATATTCAAGTTTCATAATTGCAATAGACCAGCCAGGAAAAAAGAAATCTGAAAAAAAAGGGCCATTCAAGTTTTCAAAAAATCGGCCGCCTAGGCAGGCTAGGTGGTTCCTTTTTTTTATTTTTTTTTATAAATATATTTTTTTTTAAAATTTTAATTAATTAATTAATTTGTTATAAATATTTAAGTTTCATAATTGCAATTCTCTTTGAAGGTACTCTATCTTTCAGAAAAAGAAAAATAAATAATTCAATATGAGGTCTCTCAATTCTGAGACTGATTTATATAGTTTTTCTCTGCCTATGCATTGGGAGCATATCAACATGGGAATATCTAATATTTAAGTTTCAAATTTCGCCATTAAAATGTTGAGTTTTTATAAAAAAAAATAGCCAAAATTTAACTCCCAAATTCATAAATGTCAGTTTTTAAAAATACTTTCAAATATAGCCAAAAACTCACTTAAATTGATCCAATTGCCTTCTAAATTATAACTCAATTACACCTAAAAGCTAAAACCCAAAATAGCAGGAGCACAAAAATAAGATTGGCTTCGTCAACTTAATCATGCCTATGAATCCTATTATAAAAATGACAATGTAATTACCAAAAAGAAGAAGAAAAGTAACATCCAATGTTTTCATAAAGCCAAGCAATAAAAATCACCTCTGCAACTATGGATCGATTCGTGGGTTTGGGAGTTTTTTGCAATGAAAAAAGTTAAAGTCAGTTTCTTGACATAATAATTTTTAATTGAGAAAAAAAGTTACTTTTTTGCAAAATTCGTATCATAAATACTGCTAGTCTGCATATGATATGGGGGTTAAACTTTCTTGCAAACCATCATATGTGTTGCTGCCTTCCCTCAGCACAAGAGGTCTAGAAAAATTGCAAGGCCCTCGCTGTTCATAGACTATCTTCCCACAACACAAACTTGCCTATATTAACTTTGCTTTCCATTAAGGGTGATTTGCGAGGGCAATGTCCTTGTGTTTGAGGGTAGGCTGGGTGGAGAGTGAGGCTTGTGCTCAGTAGCTTACAGCTTGGAAGAGCATGCTTTTTGGTTAGGTTTTATTTTAGAGGGCATTTGGGTCAATTTAAGTGAGTTTTTGGCTATATTTGAAAGTTTTTTAAAAAACTGACATTTATGAATTTGAGGGTTAAATTTTGGCTATTTTTGATAAAAACTCTAGTTGCATTGGCCATTCAAATCTGACTATCTACTGCATATTATTCAACCCAATTGCATCTACTAATGATCATTGACTTCTTGTTTCCTGAAACACTAATAAATCTTCATTGTCTTTCGGAAGAGCCATTTGAACAAATCAAATTCGTCTGCTTCTCTAGATTTTGTTTCACTTTTAGGACAATATTTTTTAAAGGACCATGAAGAAAAAGCTAAAAACCCCAAGTTCTATTTAATTATAATGAATTTTTTATTTTTTATCTTTGTATAATTACGACAAGCTTTAAACAGTTTATAAAACATGGAATAAATCATATATTACAATGATCGTTTTTAAAATAAGGTTTATCACGCAAGATTTTTCTAAAGCACCTAAGAAAATGTACTTAATTATTTTTACGTCATCACATAACATAAACAATACTAGTCTCTCCAATCACGTGTCTTTTGCCTCCACACACATCTCGAGTCACGACTAATTGTTCAAAACTAAAGAGAATTGGAAATCTGTCATATTCTTTCCCTCTTTTCGGCCGGGGCGGCCGACGGAATGAACTTTTGGTCCTTCTTCTTTTTTGAGTGCGGGGCGTGCCACCACCAAGCCTCGAATTTGGGCTTGAATGGAATGTGAGTAAATGGATGTGTTGCATCCAAGATCTGACTTTAATCAAACAATTGTTCGGCGAGTAAGGAACCTCCTCACGGCCTAGGTTCTTTCACTACCTCGGGGTCAAGGCTTTATGTGAGTGACCAAATGATGTGGAGTGGGTGGAGATGTAGATAGAAGGTGAAACATAATGAAGTGGAGAACAAGTGCGTAAAGTAAAGGTGCTTAAACTTAAATATAATTTAAAGACAAATGCGTAAAATAAAGTGCAAAAGATAAATAGCGTAAAGACGAGAATTAAAGTGCGATAAAATGAATCAAAGTGATACGTAAAGCAAGAACGATATGAAAGCAATAAGAACGATAAAATAAAATGAACTTGAAATTAAACTTAATTGAAGTGCGATAACAATGAAACGTAAAGCAATTGAAATAAACTTGAATTTAAATGACAAGAAAATATAAATTGAATGAGAATTTAAACTTATACTAAGAAAAGGAAGAACTTGCTACACTAAGTGCATAAAAAGTAAAATCCTAAGTCCAGGAAAAGAAAAGTGCAAGACGAAAAATAGGTTTGTCCGTCTGATGTTGTGTCCCTAATGTCTTCATGGAGCAAGGTTTATATAGGGCACTCGTCAGCCCATGAGCTGGCCATTGAATGGCCAAATGTTAACTCTTCTTAAAAATCTTTCCTTTCAAAGCCCCCTAAATCCGTAGGATTGCATTGTTTGAGATATTCTGACATGCTTGATTCTTCCTTACTTTGGCACACTCGAAGTTACTATAAAACATCCCTTGATTTCTTTCCTTGTGAGGCCCTCCGTCACATGCACATAATCCTCCAAAAATCTGGGCTTGAATCGTTGGCTTAAACTTGGGCATCCGATTTCTCTTGCATTGTAACCCATATAATATATACTAGACTTCATATTATTCCATATATACCTATTAATATATATTATTATATATATGTATAGATATAAGCACAAAAATAGGAGAAATTATAGAGTGATATGGTATCACCACGTCAGCCGGTGATACTTCTACTCAAAATCTATCATCTGTCTTTTTTAAAAAGAAAATTAAATTTTTTTCACTGTTGGACTTTGTCTTCCAACTTTACCCTAAATAAAATAAAATAAAATTTGAAAAAACAGGAAAAAGAAAACAAGAAGACTGTAGCAGTTTCCCCTATTGGCAATCTGCCTACCTTGCACTGCCGCCCCTTGGCTGCAATCCCCCTCCAATAATATCAACATCAAACATACCCTTCTTTCACTAGTGGGTTGTCGTCATGGGAGATTTTGAAGATTTTTGTTTTATGTTTAATGGATTTGCACTGATTTTCAAGATTTCTGGGTTTTCTAAATACTTTTAACTTTTTACTAAGAATGGGAGGCACGAAAAGGCCAGGTGGGTGGCAAGGGAGGAGGGAAGACGACTGGGTGGCGAGGGAGATGCAAAGACGGCTAGGTGGCGTGATAGCACAAGGAAGACGGAGGAGAGGGGCTAGGTGGCATGATAGCACAAAGTCCAGGTGTAAATTATTTTTAATTTTCTTTTCAAAAAGGACACATGTCAGATTTTGAGTGAGAGTATCACCAGCTGACGTGGTGATACCATATCACTCTATAATTTCTCCAAAAATAGGGCAGGGCAACTTGCACTGCCAAGTATACACACATATATTAATATTATTTATTTATTTATTTATTTATTTATTTATTTATATGTAATACGATACTCCACCCCTAAAAAATAATCCACAATACTCGGCCGCACCTCCGGCCGCGAATTTCTCTAATCCGGCTGAGACTTCCAACTCCACTCAAACTGCCCAGCCCATGTGGCTGCCCAGCTCCAAACCCAGCCGCCCAATTATCCGGTTGTAATACTTTAGCTCCCGACTGCTCTCTCAACCACACAAGCATCCGGTCGTGCTCTCGCAAGCCCTGTCTCCAACGGCTGCCCAGCTTCATTCGGCCCAACTCCGTAGTTGAGAAGCCCGACGTCTATTCTTCTCGTGCCCGGCCAATTCTCGTGCCCGGGTTAGGTGGATATCTACCACCCCCAAACACATATCCATAAACAGTGATTAGGGAAGTGAATGAACACAATCATTTATTTTTTGAAGTCCATTTAAAACAACAAAACTGACCAAAAAAGAATAATGAAGAAAAGTCTTTTCTGTTTGGTTGATGAGAAAAGTAATGGTTCAGGCAACTAATAAATCTTCATTGTCTTTCGGAAGAACCATTGAACAAATCAAATTTGTCTGCTTCACTAGCAAATAACAATTTTTGTGTGTGGCTTTCATCTGGCAAATAACTTCTTTTGTTTTGCCTTCATCTAGCAAATAACATGTTGAATGTGGTGGTATAAGGCTTCGAGTTCCAGGTACTTGGCTAGACATGCTGTCGCCAACACAAATAGAAGTGAAAGATGTCGCGTTTATATACAACTCTACGATAGGAGCCAAGAATAATATATTTGCTGAATACTTTGTCGTCTTTTTTCTTTGTAGGATTTCATTACGAAAAAAAAATAAAAATAATGGGTTCATTCTGGTTACATGTCCATGGTTTCGAGCCAAGATTTCTTGTGTGTGGAGACCTCTCACAAAATATCTATATAAAACTTTTGAACTCATAATACATGCAAAAATTAACCACATAATTGTTGGCCCTCCTATGACTTGCTTAATTTATTTACCTTCTCTCTTGATAACTTATTTCTCGGTTGTTGTTGGAAGTTTGAATGAAATTCAATGACTTTTGTCCCACATTGGTATAAAGAAGAAAAAGTGAAGTCTTTATAAGTGTGGCAGATTGGAAGTTGGGCCAAGTGCAAGCCAATTGAGCTTCAAATTCAACTTGAGCATTGAATATATAATATTTAATATTTAATAATAATAAAAGATGGCCTTGGGCCTTGGGGCACTTTGGCATTTAAGATTTAAATTAATTATTTAGTTTCGGAATTAATAAATATTTTTTCTTTTATTAATTAATTCATATTAGTTTAATTAATTTCACTGGGGGCCTATTTTGTTTTAATAATAAATAGTATAACATATTGCCTTTTAATAATTGTGTTATACACATACATATGTATTTTTCAACAATACTTCCATTTTCCGTACACAAGGAAAAGGTACAATACACTTACGTGCGGATTTTTCATGTTTAATACACGTGTTTCTACAAAATTGTCAACAATACACACGAAATTCATGTATTATACACACAATTTTACATATTATTGAATAAAAATAATATATTTCGAAATATTATATAGTGGCCGAACTTTATGATCATTCATACTCTTGCTAATTTTCTTTTAATAAATAGGCTATACTAAGTTTTTTGAAAATTTCTTTGAAAAATAGTATAGCCGCCCGGCTATACTATTAAAATACATTTTTTTTGGGACCTTTTTGGTTTTCCGAAACTGTACTCTTGCTAATTTTCTTTTAATATGGTATAGCCGGCTATACTGGGTTTTGTGAAAATATCTTTAAAAATAGTCTAGCCGCACGGCTATACTATTAAAATACTTTTTCCCCCCACCTTTTTGGTTTTCCGAAACAGTACTCTTGCTAATTTTCTTTTAATAAATAGTATAGCCGGACGGCTATACCGAGTTTTTTGAAAATTTCTTTGAAACATAGTATAGCCGAACGGCATTGAATATATAATATTTAATATTTAATTGTCAAAAAGATGGCCCTGGATCTTGGGGCACTTGGGCATTTAAGATTTAAATTAATTATTTAGTTTCGAATTAATATATTTTTAAAAAAAAATTAATTCAGATTAGTTTAATTAATTTCACCGGAGGGCCCATTTTGTTTTCATTTTTATTTTTAATAATAAATAGTATAGGAATGGTACTTACTAAAATAGTTAAACCTAACACAAACCCTTGTCTTGCGCACTGCAAAAGCAATACAAACCGTGCATATAACCAATATTACTCAAACAAGTTGCATTAGAAATTAGCTTCTCAATTTTATTTCAATAAAATGAAATTGCGAACATAAACTTATAAAGACATGCATTCGTATTTAAAATCATGCACCATTGCAGGATGTTCGAAGATGAAATAAATTCAACAAAATTTATGGATTACAAGTAGAATCAGTAAGATGTTCCATACAGTCTAAAGTGCCATGCCACAACTTACATGACTAGAATTTATAAACTCTCAAATACAGTCTCTAACCAGGATCTAGGGCAAAGTGATACTATGCTATGAAAATCTGCAGCATGTACTTATTCAAATGCAAATTACATTTTTAGATTGTAAGGAACAAATAGTAGAACGATCCACAGAATTCTCCACACATTTAAGTGAAAACTAACATCTTTTTTCTTCAACTTCATTCCACTTTCAAAGTTAGCCCATAACTTTCAAGTCTGGCATTACACAGTTTCTTAAGAATTTTGGACAACCTTATGGATTCTTAATATTTAATATTCAGTTATTATCTAGCGAGGCAAGTGGTGTGATGGAACCCATTCCAAACAAATTTTATGTCAGAAAAGACTCAACAAGTTTTAAAAGGATGACAATACTTGGTTCATCGAACACAACCCATCAACACCAAGAGACACTTATGGTTTTGAGTTAGAAAGTTATTGATAGAAACGAAGGTTGCTGACCAATACGCATCCACCTTTTCCAGGTTTGGGTTTTTTACGGCAACCTAGATTCAATAAATCTTGATCGTTGTAATAATCTAATGACTTAAAGTATGACACATCAAACCTCAATTTAACACGATTAAGTCTTCTCTAAAAGAGCCGTTAGGTCTAAATAAATTAAAAATTAAAAACAAATAATATAAAATAATAAAAACAGCCACTGAACCTCAACAACCACCTATGGCCCAACCCACCTCACAACACCGGCGGTAACCCTGTCCTTCTTCACCAACAGCCAACCTCTCCTCCTCTCTCTCCCCCTTTTTCTCTCTTTTCCCTCTTGTGTCCTCTATCTCTTTGCCCAACTTCATGCTCACTTGATTTTTATTTTTTTTCAATTACAAGGAGGCCGAAGACAAGACGAAATAAGAAGAAAAAACTAACAAATCACAGCCCTCTAGAGGGCCCTTCCTAGCACATCGTCCAATAAGATGTTCAAAATAGAAGTCAGAGCTAACTCAAAATTATGAAGCCCAAAAGTTAATTCATAACCCAAATTAGCAAGATGGTCAGCAGTTCTGTTTTGCTTCCTATAAACATGAGAAATCTTGTAACTCCAATCACAGTTTTGCAGAGACTTGCAATCTTCAATTAGACAATAAAGGGGGTGGGATTGGTCAAACACCTTGGCCATAAGAGAAACAACATATAAAGAGTCACATTCAACATCAAGGGACCTAATACCCCTATTCCAAGCCATTTGCAACCTTTTAAGGAGACTCCATAACTCACCCTTAGCAATATTTCCAATTCCAATATTAACAGAAAACCCACATATCCAAGAACCATGCGAGTCCCTCAATAGACCACCTGTAGTGATCTTCCAAGAAGTAGTTTTGTAGCTTCCATCTACACTCAATTTGGATCTGGCAGCAGTAGGGGGGCTCCAATGAATTTGAATAACCTCTCTGGCAAGCTTACCATTAACCATCTTATTAATATCAAACCATTCCTTAGCAAACTGGAAAAAAAATGTGATGAGGATTGGGAGGAGGCTCATAGTCAGGGTTGAAAGTTGAAATACAATGCCATTTCCAGCAGTGCCAAATAGTAGCAGTGAACACAAGAACCCATGGTAAGCTGTGGGAAGCCTTAACCAATCTGCAAAATCAAAAGAGAAGGTGTGAGACATAGCAAGGGGAATATAGGTGTGACTCCATACCTTAAGGGCATGTTTGCAGCCTCTAAGAATATGCTCCATAGTCTCAGGAAAAGAAATGCATCATTTACAGTTAGGGTCTGTAGTTAATTTCCTTTTTTCCCTTTGGACATTGGTAAGAATCTTGCCATGACCAATTAGCCAGAGGAAGGTTTTAATTTTTGGGGGAAGACGTAGCTTCCAAACGAAATCCCAACGCCAAGACACAAAATCTGCATCATCAAAGGAGGATAAGTAAGTAGACTTAACAGAGAAAGTACCAGTTTCGACAAACGCCATATGCATTTATCTTTCCCTTGAGAATCAAGGCCAGTATGGATGCTGCAAATTCTTTCCACAATCCCACTAGGTAAAACCTGCTCTAGCGAGTCATGATTCCACCCTTGTTCTGACATAAAATCATGCACTGTCCACAGATGAGGCTACAGGGAGCCACTAGACAATATTGGAATTCTGTGGAGGAGCAACTATCAATTTGGACAGCCGCCTGTCACTCTATGGGACGAGATGAAATTGAAGCTTCGCGAACAATATGATCCCACCACCTTTTATCTCCAGCAATTGTTTGATCTATTATGGACCATTTCCCAAGGAAGTTCGACCGTTACTGAATTCCATGCTCATTTTATTAAACAGAAAGTACATGCGGGATTCGTGAAGAACCAGAAATCATTGTGTCTTGCTTTATCCAAGGTCTTCATGACGATATTAAACATGAAGTCTGTTGGTTTGATCCTCACTGTTTGGAAGATGCATATTTCCACGCATTGGAAGATGAAACATATTTGCGGCCTCAACATTCGGGGTATGATTTGGCCAGCCTGCAACCACAACCAAACTCTTCCCACTACAGGTATGCAGATAGGGTTTAGGGTATTTGTTAGTCTCCTAATTCTCTAATCCAAAATTTATTGCCATGTTAAAGAATGAGAGGGTTTTTCCGAGAGAGCTAAGAACTGATTTGTTTTAAGGTATTTTTAGTTATTATTTGTGCCCACCAATTGGAAGTGTCAGTTAGACAAATCCAACCAAGTTTAGTTAGCATAGCATGATCGAACAAAGAAGGTGATCTCATCCCAAGACCCCCCATGTCTTTAGGGAGGCAGACATCCTTCCAAGCAACAGGGGAAATCCTAGAGCCATTACCCCCCAAAAAAGGAAAGCATCTACAACTAGATGTCATTTCTTTAGTAACTTCTGTAGGACAGTGAAAGCAAGGTAAGTCTGCCAGCCCCAGAAAGGGTTTGAGCTTTCCAACTAGCAAATTTGACCTTAATCCTATCAATCCTTAATTTAGCATTAATAGTGCATTTGGATAAGGAGATTTAAAAGTACAAATTATTTCATAAATGACGGAATTTAAAATGACAGAAATTAATGTTCTAGCAACTTCTGTGGGACGAGATGAAATTGAAGCTTCGCGAACAATATGATCCCACCTTTTATCTCCAGCAATTGTTTGATCAATTATGGACCATTTCACAAGGAATGAAGACTTACCAGAAATGGAGGAGAGAGAAGCACTCAATCTGCCTTAAGAGAAATGAGCTAAAAGGTTGAGTATTATAGCCATATGGGAAGGAAATGGATTGCTAGGATCGAAGGAAATATAAAATTGGGAAATATGCTGGTATAATCACAACTCAGAAACAGTGTGCTGAAATAATCAGCCTACAAATTGTATTCTAATATAATCACTTGGGGACGTGAAATGACCGAAGTGCCCTCCATATAAAAACATATCTATTGGGGAGTTATTGGGCATGGATTGGCGACCTAACACTTCCGTCTTCTCAGCTCGTCTCTTCCTCTCTGGCGGCGCTTTCTCTGTCCAGCGGCCACCACCACTCTCTGTCTCCCTCTGTCCCCAAACCTAAGCAACACTCTCTCGTTCTCTCTCTGCCGTCAATGTTAGGGTTTTGGGGAGGCGGTTATTGACGTTTAGGGTTTCACGAATAAATGGTATCTCCCTTAAACGATTTCTCAGTTCCCTCTCTTTTCATGTCTTGAATCGAAGTCTTTCTCTTCTCCTCTGCTCCTTGAGGGCCTCAAAAAACCCCAAAACCTGGTTTCGGTTCAGATTTAGTTCACTTACTTCCTCCTCCTGCTCAATCCTGTGAGGGACAAAAATCGCGATTTTCTGTAGGTGTTGCTCGGATTTCCAATTCGGTTCTGTGCACAAACGAGTGATTCTAAGGTTGGTTATGTATTTGTTATTGACTAGTTTGTGCATTTGTATGGTTTTCATTTGAGAAGGATAATTTCAGTAACCTGTGACTGATGTTGTGAAGTTTAGTAATTACAGAGATTGCAATAATAATGTATTTAACTGTGAATTATTTCATGCTTGGATGAAACTTGTATTGGTGTATTGATTTTGCTCTGTGGACGATGAAGTGCCTTAAGTTGGTATTTGTCATCTGGGATTGGTTCGTTTGTGATGCGTGTTTTCACTTCCATTTGATGATGCATAATTAGTGTGGGAATTTATTCTGGTGGCAATGGCTATTCCATTATAACACAGGTTTACCTCACTAGGCCCTAAATTAGATGTTGAGTAATAATGCATAAGTAAATTTGTTGGTATCATTGCTGTTTCAGCACCTAGTAGCATAGTTTTGCACCCTTCCAGTCTCAATGGTTAATTATGTGAATTTGAAATACTAATGTAAGTTGGCGTGGGATGTTTCTTTTCCCTGTGCTATAAAACCTGCTAAATGTTGTTGTTAGTCCTTGCTTGCAGCTTGTCATATATGTCTGAAAATGGTATTTTCTTGGGCTTTAGTATCTGTTTAGAAATTTTCATGTTCATCCAGCTATGTTTAGCAGTTGCAGCTGCAGTAACATTTTGACGTGTCTAGTTTGTACACAGAGTCCATAACTGCCAATACTGATGTTCCATGAGTAGACATGTATATGACTATGGTAATGAGTAGATTTTAGTACGCATTGATGCATTTGGAGTAATTGTTGTAGCCATTTCGCCAAAACCCTGTATGAAGTGGATCCATGGTTCATGAACTTGTTTTCACACTTGGGTGGTATTTGGTTTTTGGATGGAATCGAATATAGATTTTGTAGAAGGGAATGTAGATAACAGCAGAGTGTGGAGAGAGTTGGAGAGTAGAAAAGAGGGTTCAAAACAATTCTGGTTTTGTCATATGTATATACATATATGAAATGACTTGAAAGTATTAGTTTGAGTACTGTACGTATGACATATGGGTAACCAATGATCCATATGTATGATGTTTTTGTGCAGGGAAGTCTAGAATGGCTTGTAAAGCAAAGCTTATGATTCCTGAGGATGAGAAGTACGAAGGAAAGCCATTTGCCCTTTCACACGCAAGGACCGCCATTACAACAATAAAGGCGAAGTTCAATACGCAGCAGTTACAGAGGTTCGAGGGGAGTTGTTTTTGGTCATCTATTACTGATAGAGGACCTGAAGTGGAATTCACAAGTTGTCCACGGGCTGTTGATGAGGAAAGCTGATCCTAAGACAGTTACACAGGTGAACGGGATAAAATTCATTGTGGGGTAACAAGTTGATACAATTCACAGCCCAACACTTTTGCCTCATCACGGGCCTAAGGTTCGGAAAGCTCCCTTTTCATTCCGAAGGCGCGACAAATGAAAACTGCTCCTTGAAGCGAAAATACTTCAGTAGCAATAAACCTCCCACCCTTTTGGACCTACACACTGCCTTCATTGAGTGCACAGATGATGACGATGCGTTAAAGCTTGGAATGGTCTATTTTGCCATTTTTGTGCTATTGGGTACTGAAAAGCATGTGCTTTTGACTTGCGCTATTTGAAGTTGGCCGAAGACTTAGAAGAGTTTGACAAGTATCCATGGGGTGCCGTGTCATATGCGATGACAAATGCTTCACTTTTGAGGGCAGTTTCTCCTGATTACCAACGAGTGAAGGTGCCCCAAAACAGAAAAAGCCCAACAAACGTGGGAAGAAGAGAGCGGAGACAAGAATGGAATGCAGTAGAGCCAGAGAGTACATCATAAGGGGGTTTGGCTTCGCTCTTCAGGTGAACACATATCCAACAATGTTTTAGTTCATTTAAATACATTTACAGATTTTGATGTTTGATTGTTGTCAACAGATTTGGGCTTTTGAAGTCTTCCCAGCATTGGAAGGATTGCATTTCACGGTCCATGAAGACAATAGGCACATCCCTCGAATATTACATTGGAGGAGCAACACGGTGGCCCGTTTTCGGGAGGTTATGAGTCAGGTTTATGAAAACTTTGAGGTTAGTTCAGTTTGTATTACTCAGGTTATGATTAGGAACAAGTCAAAAGTTTACTGATTTATTAGATGTGTTTCAAATGGAGGTTGATGTGCAACTTCTCCTCCGGCCGACTGATATTGAGAAGCAACAACCTTACTGGAGTTGGGGCGATGATGAGAACAATGAAGAAATTGTTCAATTGTTTGGGGATGAGGGCGAAGACAAAACCAGCACTTCTAGTGAAGAAAAAGAGGCGGATGTTGAGGAAACAACTACCCTTCCCTCCTCTTCTAAGGTGAGCACGACCTTTTTTCCAATGTTGTGAACATGTAGAGAATACGATACGAAAGAAGTGGAAATAGTTTTCTTAGCTTTTGTAAGATTTCTAACTGTTGCATTATAACTTTATGCAGGGCAAAGGGTCTTTTAATGACTTTGGCAGGTTGAAGCATCAATTAGAAAGCACTAAGGATGAGTTAGCAAAGCTACGTAGTTCAAATCGGGGCCTTAGGAACAGAGTTCGTGAATTGGAAGCTATTGTAGACAAGAACTGTTTGAAGCATGAGAAGGAGTGTGACAGAAATAAAAAGGCTATTGGGGATTTGACCCTAACAATTGCTTCAGTGGAACATTATTTTAAATTGGAGATGGAGGAGTTAAAAAATTATATGGTGGACAAGGGCATGAGGAAGTGTGGACTGCTCAGATGAATGAAGGAGGGCAGAATGAAATGTCACCCTTGAATGAACTTACTACTCCGACTACAGCAGGGCCTAAAATGGACGCACAAGTTGCAGGTGATGGAGTGGAAGCCTTCCCAGGCATGCATACAGAACGGGCTGAAATGGAAGCAACAGTCTATGGTGGAGTGGAAGGGGCTGAAAGGGAAGCGGAAGTCCCTGCTGATGGAGTGGAAGCTTTTCTAGCCATGCATATACAAGGGGCTAAAAGGGAAGCCGAAGTCCCTGCTGATATTGTGGAAGGCTTCCCAGGCATGGAAGTCGAAGCCGCTGAAATTGACACTTCAGTTTGTAACAAACAAGTGCACCAACAACCTCACAAGGTTCCTACTTCGGAAGATGTGAAGGTTCCTAGTCTTGAAGAACCCCTCATTCCTAGTCCGGAAGATAGGGAAGGGTACAGAGTTATTTGTAAAACAATGTTAAATTTGTTAGAGGATTGGAATAAGAAAGAAATTAAGGGGGTGGGACGGAAGGCGAGGCCTCCCATGGAAACTAGTATAAATCTGGTTGGTGATGAAGTGGACAAGGAGGCTAATGCCACGGTTCAGAAACCAGATGCGGAAGGCAAAGGATGCAGACTGAAGCGGCGCGCGAAAACATTGTTGAGTCCATTCACTGATCCCTCCAGGAAAAAGAGGCCGACTACTGGTTTTCATGCACAGACACACCTGAGGCCCGTTTTTGATCCAACACAACCCGTGGCCATGGACGATGTGAAGGCTATGATACAAGTTTGCAAGGCTTGGAAAAGTGACATCAGGTTAGGAATTGTAACATTTAACTAAACCAATATACATGTTTTTTTGATGTATGCAGTCATGTACAATAACAATATCTACGTAGCTAATTGTTCGTGTGTGTGTCATTGTCATATTATGCAAGGTGTCCATTAGTTTTTTTTCTGGTTGAATTTACCTTTGCAAGTTTATTTTGTGTAGTGCGGAGCTGGAGCTCGAACCATTTGTAGTTGGGGCGGATTTTTTTACAAACTTGTAGATGAAACTGCATGGATGAGCTCGAGGGTAATACTTTTGAACCGTGCTTTATTTCGAAAAATTTCTGAATTGATCACTTTGAGTATGTGGCCATTTTTTTTAATATTGAGGTCGTTGTTGTGTTGTGAAATGTCGCACCTTGACATGGCCCATGTTTCTAATACGCAAAAGACAACTCTCTCATCCCCCAAGTATTTGGAACGGAGTGGACAACTGCCGAGTTTTGTCTGCAGGTATTATTGTATTCCATATTATGTCTCGAATTCAATTTGTTGCGCTGGTAGGAGTAATGTTGTTGGCTGTGGTTGGTGCATGGATCCTGTTTCCAGGTAACGTGTCTTTCACATTGTTGGCAGCAATTTTACAGCCATTTACCCCGCCAATTGCGAACCGAGTTCGAGGACACAATTGCTTCAATGACTTGTTGACCCTCTCCCCCTCCATACCAGAAAAATCGAAATGATCCCACCTTTGTCTGGGTGCATGGCAACATGGTTTTGCCAACCTGGACGATAAGTCCTGCAAGGTCTATCTCCCGGATAATGTTGCGGACAGTCCGCATTGGGTGCTGTAAGAAATTGCCTTCGGGTCAAACAAGCGTGCCAACTAGTACGACTACCGTATACTGTAGTTTCCCTCCAAACCCCATGCTAAGATGTGCCAGAGCGAGGCAGTGTACCTAGGGGGCGCCCGACGCTTGCAAGAGGTATGTTTATGACATGGTTTTAATGAGAAAGCGAGGTTGAAGCGGTGAGAAAAAGGGGATTGACCATGCCAACGGTTTAACCCATTCACCATTTGCAGAATTTCCGTATGTTTCCTCAGCAAAAGTGATGGGTAACCTGTGTTCAATTAAAAGCATCTTTGGGCCTTTGTCCTATGTCACTTCTAACTTCTGTACGGCTCGGGTTGACGTACCTCATGTTGGCTTATGACCGTCACTTTGATTGGTTCTCATTGGCTCTGGCCTTCCTTTTATACCATTGACCCATCCAAGTTTTTTGGCTACTACCGATTGGGGGAAGCTTGCAATCGAGGCTCTCAGGGAGAGGCCTATGTATGGTACATTCCATATCTGACCCATATTAATTCACTGGTAGGACGCTCATGACTTGCCCTAGTTATTGGCCTACTTTTAATTAGTTCGACTTACAGAGTTGGTGCTTTCACATCTTCATTTAAACAACTACAGTTAGTTGGCATCTTTTCCAAGTGTTATGAATGCCATGGGCGACTATTTGTTCATTCAAGTTTAGGGTATTGGGGATTTCAACACCGTAGATGGTAATTTAATGTTTTTGCAACTGGCATGATTTAAGTATGGCATATGTTCTGAACTCTGACTGTGTATCATCCAAAAACTTGTATCATGTTGTTTATTGACATCTCAATAGAATTACTTTCTTAAAATAGCTCCAATTATTAAGACGTTCAAGTTTCCTTTCTATGAATGCGACTCTCGGCACATTTGGCTTCCTAGCAGGTGGTCCTTTCAGGTTCATACCCATATTGACATCACAGATTCTGTACAGGTATGTCACAGAAGTTTGCAGGCTGTTTCGTCGTTTTGTCATTCCTGAAAATGAATGCGATGTTTTGCCTTACATGGCACCATTTTTTTTGACTTGTGTACAGATGGCAATGAAGGGTGCTGATTTTGTAGTACTATGTTGCAGGTGTTTAATTGTGAGAAAAATAGGTATATTAGACATAATTAACTTTACTAATTAGTATCTGAAACATTGTGTATTTTAGTTTGGGTTTTAATACCTATGAAAGATTGTTTATTTTGGATTAGGCCAAAGAGAGGCTCATATTCTTTGGGCCTATCTAAATTATAGAGTTCAATTCAATTTTGCCCTGTTTAAAAGAGCCTTTGCCAAAACCAGATCTCTCCTGAGTCCAGGGGACTCCGTTCTCTCTCTCTCTCTCTCTCTCTCTCTCTCTCTCTCTCTTCTCTCTCCGCTCTCCTCTCTCTCTCTCTTCTCTCTCTCCTCTCTCTCTTCCTGATTCCACGAGTCGTGACGGCAAAGTGGCTGTGACTGCGTACAGCGAGTCGGTGGCAATGGCAAGATGCAGCACCTAATGGGAATCGAGGGAGTGATAGTAATCTTGTGCAAGAGACACGGAGGCAGTGTCGGATATGATTAAGCCAACAATAGTTTTGAAGACAGGGGGACAAGATCTGTTGGAAGGAGACGGGAAGATGCAAATGCAATTGAAATCAAAGCCAGAGTTCTCGCAGAGGGAGCTTTCTTTTCTTTTGAAGTTGATTCCAGAGTTGATACAGCCTAATGTAAGGATTGCCACTTGCCCTTTGCTTTGTTTCAAATAAATTTTTCTCCTTTATATGGTGAATAATTTTGGATCTGTTTCTTCTGATTAGTATCCTATAGATTACTCTCCTATAACACTTTGAGATCATGGTTCGTCTTAAGCAAATTTTTATATCATTTGTTGGTAAATTCATTGATGAATTGCGAGAATGGTGATCCTGTAGCATAACTGATGCATTTCCATTTCATCCCTTTTCATGAAGTTGGTGAAAGAAGATATTGGCGTGGCTTTTTGAAATTTCTGTTCACTTAAATTTGGGTTATTGGCTCTAGATGCCTGGAATCAATCAATTGATACTTGTTCAGTTTTTTCTTGTGTGTGTGTGTTAGATGCTTGGGTATTTTTCAAGGAGATCGCTCTCCTCCACCTTGAGAAGCCTCTTTCTCTTTCATTCTCTTTTAATGCATTTGCTTGTATTTGAATTGGGGGTTTGAAAATTATGTTCATCCTAACAATTTGATAGGTTTTTCTTTTTCTTTTTTGTTTGTTTGTTTGAAAAGATGGCCTGGTGTTTGTTGGTCCATTTTGTTGTTATAATTGCCTCTCTTTTTTTCTTTTTGATACAAATGATTATTTTTGGTCATTTTGTGAAAATCAAATACTTGAGAAAAAAGAGCTGCTTCGAAGAATCAAATTCAATTTCATCTAGTTGATCTGGAAGGAACTTCTTTACCTTGATATGTTTCCATTGCATGTTCCAGTGTCTTTTTCAATTAGCAGCTTAGTGTTACTAGTAATCCAGCTGGGCAGCAAGTGACAGAACGTACTAGAATTCTTTTTTATTAAATCAATTTGATATAGCTCTAATACAAGGATTGCCACTTTCCCTTTGCTTGTTTCAAATATATTTTCTCCTTTTGTTTAGGGCCTATACTCATCGCGCAAGTCTGGAGGTTGACATATCTTTCTATGCTCATTGTTCGTTGTACATAATTTGGTCTTGTTTTATATAGCACAAACGTTGTTTTTATATAGCACATAATTTGGTCAGGCAGTGATCTAATTTAGCTGCAACTTTTTATTATAGAGCTCCTTACTATGCATTTGTCTTGATTTTGGAAATGATTTCCCATCATTGTCATATAATATCTTGCCATTTAAGCTTTAGTTCAGTGAATTTTTAACACAGGTTTTGCATTGCAGTTTTTCACAAACTGCATTGCAGTTTCGCACAAACTGCATTGCAGTTTCGCACCAAACTGCTTGGCAGTTTTGCATTGCAGTTTCAAAAACTGATTGTAGTTTTCAAAATTATATTGGATTTTTGCTCTGTCCTTGGCCTTCAACCTCATCAATTTAAGAGTAGAGGCTACCCAGATGAGGAATAGGGTGGCAAGAGAAAAGTAGAACTACCCAAGAGTAAGGGAACCCAAATTGGACTTTGGAAACTGGAAACTGCATTGCATTTTTCATTTAATTACAATTTGATTTATTTTTCTTTCCTTGGCCTTCAACCTCACCAATTTGAAAGAGTAGAGGCTACCCAGATGAGGAATTGGGTGGCAAGAGAAGAGTAGAACTACCCAAGAGCAAGGGAACTCAAAATTGGACTTGTGGAAAGGGAAACTGCATTGCAGTTTTGGAAACTACATTGGCAGTTTTCATTTAATTACAATTATTTTTGTAGTGTTTTCATGTTCGTTTTTGTTTTGTTTTTTTTAACATAATTTTACTACATTGTATTTTTTGTTGTAGTTTCTGTTTTTATTGCAATTTTGTGTGAATAAGTGTTGAAATGATTTTTTTTTTTTTTTTAAAAAAACGTTGATTGTTTAAATAAATATTGTAGAAGAATAAAATATTACAAAATCAAGTTTGGTGTTGTGGTTTGTGAGTGAGCCTTCTTCCTTTGGGGTAAAGGTTCGAGTCCATTCAATGACACAAAATCTTTTTTTTAAAGGTGAATAAAGGCCAACGGAGTTGGTCCCTTGCAACGGTGGCAGGCCGGCGATGGGGCGTGGTGTTGGCGCGGTGGTACCGATCGGAATTCCGACGGTTGACCGGAATCATCATCGGGATTCCGGCGGTGGTGGCCGGCGGCGGATTCGGCAATGGTGGCCAGCGCGGGATTCCGGCTATGGTGGTTGGCTTGATATAGACATGTGGCATAGTATGCTTGCCTTAGAAGGTGGGCCGTTGTTTGTAATTTTGATATTTTTTTAATGATATTTTTGTAAAATAGGTACTACATTTGTCTTTGGCCTTATACAAATGAGATAAATTTGTATTCCTATCTTTCCAAATTATTAAACTATATTGTGTTTTAAAACTAAAGCTCCCTAATTTGTGTGTAACGTAAATTCGCCAGTACTTGTATTCCATAGTACAAGGGCTGGACAACGTTTCCTTTCTGACATGCGGTTATTGACCTTCTGTACTTGACATGTTTTGTACAGGCATATAACAAATATCCTTCATTTGGCCGAACTTGCAGCCATAAAAAATCAATTTTTTGCCCCACCCACATTGTAGCCGTTTTGTTTTTTGTGTTCGGTGTGTAATACTTACTTTCGTATATTAATTATTTCATCATCCCATCTGGACAGAAATGTTTGGGGTTGTTAGCCGAAAACAATATCCCTAACCCTCCGCTGGGGCATTTACAAAGCATTATACGATTTGATCAGGACATTTGATCAATGATTCATCAGGGAATTTGTCAGCAAATTGGATGACTCTGTCAATTTGATGAATTTGGGAGTGGCTTATGTTAAAACCAAGAAATCTAACAGTGGTTTCAAACAACTTCATTTTCTTGGCAGAGACAACTACACCATTTTGGCTAACTTTCTGAAGCAACTGATGCATATGTTTCCATTCATGTTCTATGGACTCAGAGAAGATAACAACAGCATCAATGTAGACTATAGAGAAATGACTATGCCAAAAAGCATTAGAAAGGCCATGTTTCAAATATCAAACTTCATTTGTTCTTCAAATGTTCGAATTTATTTTATTTTAAACGTAACTAATTCTTGAAGAGATTTCAACCATCGAGCTTTGTTTTGAATTATACTAACTTTTTACATTTTTAACATTAAACTTTGCTATTGTCTTCACTTGTCATAAAGCGTCAATGATTCGGTGGTTTGGACCTATTTTTGTTACGGTAAACTTTGTTTTTCCTATACAACTCATGATTATCTTTATTCTGTTCAAAGGCTGTTTTCTTCGTGAGTAATGACGACTTTTCCTAATGTCACTCCGGTAATTGGACTTATTTTTCCTAGACAGAGGTACTGACGTAAGACCATATTGTTGACAGAAGAGTCCTAACGCATATTTCGCACATTTGTGCTCAGATTGTATTTGTCGACCAATTTTCATAGGTACCCACATTTTCATACCAACTTCGTTAATTGTACTAATTGTATTTCCATAGGTTAAATTTTTCCAATCAATTTGACCTTGCTCATTGCTGAACTCAGTTCTTCTTTTATGCCCGAATAAGTTTGGAAGAGCGGTAATGAACTCGTACTTCTTTCCAAAACGGTTTATTACTAGCTTCACGAATCATGACTCTACAACTTAAAATATGTGTATACCATCTAAAATAAGACAGATTAGAACATCTCAGATTACTCAGTTGATCAAGTATTCTAGCATTAGTATGAGTATGGGTTCCAATAAAATGCTGACTTATAGTATAGAACAAACTATTAACACCATAATCATCAAACCTCTTCCATTACATCCATAACCTAACCACCTTTAACCTGCCCAACTGTAGATGAACAAACCTCCTATTACATTTGGAACCCAACAAATAAATGACCATTCCAAACATGAAAACAGAGACCCAAAACCAGGGGTTTTTCATCTTCCCTTTTCCAGCGTTTTCTTCCTTCTTCCAAGCGGTTTATTTTCCTAAGTAAGCCTGGAATTATGTGCTTCGATCTGTCACACATCTCTGGGTCAGCCCATTCCCAAAATGTACATCCATTCCTCTGCATAAACGGAAACAATATTTCCGTTACAAAGAGGCGCAGCATCACAAATGGAATCCACGAAAATGCCAAATTTCGGGTCAAACTTACAGAGAAATAAACTTACCCTTGCACATACTTGAAACCTCCTTCCCGGATGAGAAACCGTCCAGGATGTATGCGTTTTGACAGCCTTCCCACAGTAGCACAGCCGTGAAACATACCGAACTCGCGTCTTCCATTTCCCACCGAGACCTTGAAGGCCACTCTTGAGAGTGGCATGGAGACCTCACTGACTCAGCCGCACCGCTACGGAGGCTCCTCCTACTCATCTCCTTGTTTTTCTCTGTATTTGTTGTTCAACTTGTGCGCTATTTGGAGAGGTCAAGATGCTCATCTTGTAGTGAATGGGTTTCACTTGCATGTGCGAAATTAGGATAATAAAACCGTGTGAGCGCACCAACATGAAACTTGGAGTTTATTGGGTGGTTTTTATACAACAAATCAAACTTTACCCATAGTCAACACTGAGGCCAGGGGCGGCCTTGGGGTGGTGCAAGTGGCGCCACCGCACAGGGCCCCCGATACTTGAGGGCCCCGGAAAAATGTTTTTTTTAATTTATATATTAATATTATAGGAAGTGTATATATACTATAGCGTGCTAAAAATTTGCACAGAAGTGTTCGTGGTGGAGTTGGCTTCCCAGCGAAACTCCACTTAACAGGGGCGCACGAGTTCGAATTTAATTAATGCCAATCTATTCGCGTCGTTTTTATATTATTTTTTATTATAACAAGTTAACAATAATATTTATATAAAAATTTATAAAAAAAAAAAAAAAAAAAAAAAAAACAAAAGCACACCTTTAAAATATATATATATATATATTCTCCTCCAAGAAAAGTACTTTCTCTATTCAAAACAAAAAAAAAAATATTCATGGCTTCTTCTTTATCTCAAACTCTGATTTTCTAATAAGTAATCATCATCATTCATCAATGTCTCTTTCGTTCTTTTTTCAATCCTTTGACAATTTTTGTAATTCTTTCAATTTCAAGAATTTTAACCCCAACAAGAGAAAATCATAAGTCCTAAATTCATAAAGACCACTCAAAATCAAATAGTCAGATTCAAAGCTCATTTCAAATTCATGTATATATTTAAATTTCAATCTATATATTACATGACTTATTTTATTAAATTATTATCATGATGATGATTGGTTATATGAGAATATGGTTTTTAGAAATATGTATCTATTTCTTGCTGGGGTTTTCTTCCAGGTTACAAGGTTTTGGAATTTTTCTTTGTAATCTAAACATACCAATATTTAACTTTATCAAATGGAAACATTTAAATTTTTATGAATTTGATTTTTGATTGTCATTACATGTTTATTGATGGTGACTTTTAGTTATAAAAAAATTGTTTATGACATTAAGTTATGGCAAATTGTATTTATAGTATTTTCGTATTAAATTATGTGAGGCCACAATTAAGTTTTCCCCAAAAAAAAAAAAAAAAAAAAAAAAAAAAAAAAAAAAAAAAAAAAAAAAAAAAAAAAAAAAAAAAAAAAAAAAAAAAAAAAAAAAAAAAAAAAAAAAAAAAAAAAAAAAAAAAAAAAAAAAAAAAAAAAAAAAAAAAAAAAAAAAAAAAAAAAAAAAAAAAAAAAAAAAAAAAAAAAAAAAAAAAAAAAAAAAAAAAAAAAAAAAAAAAAAAAAAAAAAAAAAAAAAAAAAAAAAAAAAAAAAAAAAAAAAAAAAAAAAAAAAAAAAAAAAAAAAAAAAAAAAAAAAAAAAAAAAAAAAAAAAAAAAAAAAAAAAAAAAAAAAAAAAAAAAAAAAAAAAAAAAAAAAAAAAAAAAAAAAAAAAAAAAAAAAAAAAAAAAAAAAAAAAAATCAACGTTGTGGTATGTGTGTGATTGTGATCGCCATTCAAATATCGGATCCGATATTTGGGTCAAGACTGAAGAGCAATTGATTCGGAGGATCCACCGAAAGAGGAGGAATTAAGTCGGACATGGAAGGAGATGTTGGATTGGATCTTTGAAGCTTCCACCCTTCCCCTTCAGACTCTGTAATCTCATCCCACATTCTCATTAAACATGGATCTTTGAAGCTTAGCTCAGATCATCGTCGTCTTCTTCAATTTCGATCCGAACCCACAACTTGAATTCTCAACTGACTAACCACAAATCATCAAGAACAGAGAAGTACAATTTGATCTCATTCCCATTTGCTTGTATGAAATTTTCCTGTCCTTTATTCTTCTTGGGCATTGTTTTCTAATGTGGTACGTGGACACTTCTCATAGGTCAAAATAGAAACAAAAGGATCATAACCATCATACATATTCATCTTTGAGTCGGAGAATAAAGTTAGAGAAACTTTTTTAGCTTTTGGTCGTCCTGATGAGCAACAAGCAGCCAGTGAAGCTAGACGACGAGCAAATCGCGGACCTGCGTGAAATATTCCGGTCGTTTGATCGAAACAACGACGGAAGCCTAACACAGCTGGAGCTGGGGTCGCTTCTGCGCTCACTGGGGCTGAAACCAGGGCCTGATCAGCTGGATACCTTGATCCAGAAGGCAGACACCAACAGCAATGGCCTTGTCGAGTTTTCGGAGTTCGTGGCGCTCGTAGCCCCTGAGCTTCTGTCGGCCAAGTCTCCTTACACGGAGGACCAGCTGAGGCAGCTGTTTCGGATGTTTGACCGGGACGGCAACGGATTCATCACAGCTGCTGAGCTGGCTCACTCCATGGCTAAACTTGGACATGCTCTTACGGCTGAGGAGTTGACTGGGATGATCAGGGAGGCTGATACTGATGGGGATGGCAGGATCGATTTCCAGGAGTTTGCTCATGCCATTACTTCTGCTGCTTTTGATAATTCTTGGTCTTAGACAATCCCCAGCTAGTTAATTCATTTCGGAAATTCCATCCATCCATCCATCCATCCATCGGTTTTCTTTGTTTTCAGGTATAGTTTGATTAATTTCTCTGTTTCTGCATACTCTGTTGTTTTTTTCTTGGTGCATATATTTGACCACGAATTTATATATGGATCGATCTGTTTAATTTGTGATTAGGAAGATCTTTCGGGTGCTTAATGATTTACATAAGACGGCCTTCACTTCAATATGATCTTCTCATACAAATTATAATGGTGGTCTCTAATTAGGAGCATGCTAGGCAATATTGATGATGATTTAATTTTGAAGGGTTTACTTTTGAATGGAAGGATGGTGAAGAACTCATGATGGGAAATAATCTTTATTCACAAGAGACCAATGATGAAGCGTCCTATCTTTTTGGTCTCCAAATTAATGTTGTGATGTGATTCATGGAATACTTGCTGTGGATACAAATTCCACAAGTTATGTAAAATGTCGTGTGACTTGAAACCAAAGATAGAAACGACTGAGTCCTTTGCACACCATTCTAATGTAAGCAAAAGAACTCTGATGCTTAGGTTACACGAAAAGAAATAAGAACTTAGAGTTCTTGGACTCAGGTCATATTCCCTTCCATGACTTGAGGTCTTGTCTATTTATTATGATGCGAGTGAGCCCGATTGCTCCATCAATGCGTGTCATTGACCGATTTTAATTCTCATCACCCCTGCCTAGCCATAAACTACTTAATAGGTGGAGTGATCAAGCGTGATTTGATCTACGCTTATTCGTTATGAGCATTTGAATTTAGGATAATCGTGCAAAGTCCACTGGCCCAGTGCAGTTGGGCAGCTTAGGTGTGCAAAAGAAGAGAGAAAGGAAAGTGCATGTTTTTTTTATTTTGTTTTATTTTTATATATACAAGCGATACTGGGGTAGAGGGGATTCAAACATTGACCTCGGGTACATGGATCACGACTCTTAACCACTTAAGCTACAAGCCTCTTGCAACCGTAGTAGTGGCAACAATGAACAATATATTTATAAACTAAATCAACACCAGCAGCTGGTGTGAGAGGTAGAGGCAGAGGAGCAAGATGCACATACAATTAGTTTATGTAGTGGCGAATGCATGTGATCAGCATAAACTTTGAGGTGCCATTTATGTATTGGGTGGAGGACACAAATCCATATCATGTGGTTTCCTTCTACTGCGCAAATGTTAATGTTTAACAGAAGAGAAGATCTTGTTTTTCAACCATGTTTCACCTGTTTGTTGCAGGTTAGACAATTTTCCTAGAATGACCCACCAGCAGAGTCTTCTGTTCCAGCATGATGCTCATAGTGCTTCAAGTATTTAATTATTCATGTTCTTCTTTTCTCTCCTGATGATAAAAGTGGCATTTGTTTTTTTTGGCAATCTGAATTAATTCCTAGGTTCTGAACTTTTTCTTTTGTTGGATTTCATGGCCGTTTTGGGAACATTGCTTTTATTATATAGGTGGGTTGTGTTAATCTACGTGTTATAATACATGCGGTGATATAATTCATATCTCATGGACTTGAAGTATGACATTAATAAATAGATACATATGTTATAACTTGAGCGATTGATGCACAACACGTGGCGGGCAGTATAGCCGTCAAGCCAAAATTTAATCAATTTCTCCCTTGTTGACTTGTAGGCTTAATTTGAATGTAGTCCTAAAAAGTATAGCAGATGCAATTGATTCATAATTGCATTAGTGTCGTGAAATGCGTTTTCGACAAAGTTATGTAGTTTATTGTCATGCAATCAAGACTTTTTCTATGTGATAAAGTTTCTTCTTTGTTATATTATACTTGCATAACTGTAAATGAAACTTGGATTCCAATTTGTATTGTCTTAGACCATCTCCAACTATGTTGAGACTAAACTCAAATTTTCACCCTCTAAAATACAACTGTTCATGTATTTTTAGGACTCAAATTGTTTTTTTATCCAACCTTGCAGACTCATAATTTGAGTCCGCAACTTTATTAAATTGTTTAAGAATGGTTAATCCCTAATTTTTTTTATCGTTAATTTTTCTTGACATTATTTTTGTTTCAACATTCATGATTTAATTTTGTGAACATTTTGATCTAAAAAAATTCAAAAATAATTTTACTTAAAGAATAAAAGAAAGTATAACAAAAAGATGGATATTTATAGAGTTTGGGATGAGTTTTGATGTTAGATCTAATTTAGATTAATTATAAAAATTATTTGACCATTGGATTTAAAATAATAGTGGCCATTGATTATATATAGATGTTGGAATTAAAAATAAAATAAAATGGGAAACATCAACTTCTTTGGAATAGCTGTTGGTATTTTTTTTTTAAAGGATCAGGAGCTTTCAAAATGGAGTCATTGGATTTCAACGCCTCATTCATGTGCCATGACACTTGTCACACGAAAAGGAGGTGAGTGGTCGACATCAGTCTGCAGCACAGGGCCTGCTTTTTTTCTCCTTTCACATGGGCTACACAGCTGACTATTGGGCTCCACATAAAATACCAGTCCATGCAAAACTTGGACTGGAATTCCACCCCAAATTTGACATTTCTCAAATTTCCACTCCCCAAAATACATGGGTTAGAGAAGAATTTTGGACTCAAAACTGAAAATTTAGATTTCCACCCCTTGAGTTGGAGATGGCCTTAGAACACAACAATCTATTATAAAAGTGCTTAATCACTTAAGAAACCCCAATCCCGAAATACACCCAAAGTTCACTCACAACATTATGATCTATTTCTCCATTACTCTCGATATGTGTCTTTCAATCAAATAAGGTGTAGCACACACACCTTGTATTCTTTCCAAAATCGTGTAGTACGGAGAAACACTTGTGTGAAATGGGAGAACGGCTTTCATGTATCGAGGATAACATTTTTTGCTATTTTTGACCAATAACACAATGATACGTAAGATAACTTTTCCACGTGTCATTATATTATGAGGAATGCTAGCAACCTTCTCTTTAACATTTTCCTTTGGACATTCTTCCTTTTTTGCTTGACATGTGTCATTCTCCTTACACTTAAAACAATATCATTAATATATTATACAAGTTAACTTTTGCTTTCCAAGTTTACCCTTATTAAATGTATTCAATTTATCCAAAAAAAATTCACAACTTTCTTACCATCTTATTTATTTTTTTTATTTTTTTTAAAAAAAACACAAGAGGAAATGTCCTCTTTATTATTATTATTTTTTTAATAAAAAAAAAGTCTAAACTTGACGTTACAAAAGAGGGACATTTCCTCTTTTTTTGAAAATCATACATTTTCTTAAATTTAAAAAAATTGACATTAAAAAAAAAAAAGAAGGTGAGAAAGTTGTGAAATGTTTTGGGATAAATTGAATACATTTAATAAGGATAAACTTGGAAAGTAAAAGTTAACTTGTATAATATGTTAATGACATTGTTTTAAGTGTAAGGAGAATGACACATGTTAAGCAGAAAAGGGAGAAAGTCCAAAAGAGAAAGTTAGAGAGAAGATTTCTAACATTTCCCATATATTATTAATTTGGTATAACAAAATAGTACCATCCCATTACAAGTAAGTTTTTCAGGTAAAATGGGTATAACATTTGTGTTATATCCGGCCAATTACGATATGCCATTATTAATAACTTCGGCAGCCCATAGGTTTTCTGAGCAGTGGTGAGGATGAGGAATGGCTGGCAGCAGCAGCCCAACCTCTCTTGATGACGTGGCCAAGTAAAAGCCACGCAATACGAGTAGAGGTGGTTTTGGAGGTCTTCAAATATTTTGGTCGTCGCAGTAAGAAACTATATTTTATGTCGCCAAGCAGCCGCACAAAACTACTGCAAGTAAGTAAAATAGCTTGTATCTGAAATCATCATCTGCTTCATTGTTGAACTTTCAAATTAGTTATAAAATTGATGCTCTAATTAAGCTAAGCAGCGTCTCTTAATTTGCTTAATTTGCAGCAAATTAATCATAATCCATATAATTAAATAAAATGGCGGATCCGAAAGAGATTACCAACAAAAAGCTTCAAGGCAAGGTCGCGATCGTCACCGGCGGCGCCAGCGGCATCGGCGAAGGCACCGCGCGCAAATTCGCCTTGCACGGGGTGCGGGCTGTCGTGATCGCGGACGTCCAGGACGAGAAAGGCCAAAACGTCGCCGCATCGATCGGTTCCGACCGCTCCATCTACATCCATTGCGACGTGACCGACGAGGACCAGGTCAAGAGCTTGATCGAATCGACGGTCAGGATTTACGGCCGCCTCGACATCATGTTCAGCAACGCTGGCGTCGGCAGCGCCGGCGAGCAGACCGTTTTGGAGCTGGACCTGGCCATGTACGACAGGGTCATGGCGGTCAACGCCCGCGGAATGGCGGCGAGTGTGAAGCACGCGGCGAGGGCGATGGTGGAGGGGGGCGTGAGGGGGAGCATCGTGTGCACGGCGAGCATGACGGCGAGCATGGGGTCGGCGAAGTTCGCGGACTACACAATGTCGAAGCACGCCGTTTTGGGGCTGATGAGGTCGGCGAGTGTGCAGTTGGGCGCGTACGGGATACGCGTCAACTGCGTGTCCCCAGGGAGCGTGACGACGCCGCTGCTGCGGTCGAGTTTTAAGGCGGGTGCGGTGGCGGAGGAGGAGGATGTGGGGAGGTTGGTGGAGTCAAGTTTGAGGTTGAAAGTAGGGAAGACGATCTCTGTGGAGAATATAGCTGACGGCGTCGTCTTTTTGGCTTCTGACGACTCTGAATTTGTCACCGGCCATAATTTGGTTGTGGATGGTGGGTTTATTAGTAGGATAAGCTGAAGATTACAGATAGTTTTTTTATTTCTTTCTCAAGTGACAAATGAAAGATCCCAAGGGATATGACATTGAATGTACTCAAGATCCGAAAGTTGCAGATTCCTCATGGCGGAATTATGATGACTTCAATGAATGGTTTTGTTTTGGTTTGTCTTTCTTTTGATGGAGTAATGGTATGATTATTCTGTTTGTCATGTGACACTTCTTTTGCAATTTGTAGGTCAACTACTTGTTTTGTTGAAGCCTAAAAAGGGGAAGAGGGATGGTTATATATTGACAATTTGTGGCCAAATTGATACATGTTTTGTTTAATCAACCTTCCTGAACGCTTGAAACTTATGCTTGACTTCCTATTGCCCATCTTTGGGGCTTACACCATAACCGGAGGCATCTAGACTTATTATTTTTATTTTTTTTTCTGGTTTGGCTTAGCTCTCTCTGTGTGACATACATGCATTTATCTGTCAGTAATATTCTTTCTTAGGGCTCGTTTATGAGTGATTCAAGGACGGATTCAAAATTTTAAAATGGCGTGGGCTAAATTTACCTTACGTACAAACCTATAGAAAATTTGACAGTACGATTGAATTTCATTCATAACAAAAAAATACACAAGAGACATAATGAGTCGTTCCCTTAAAAATGCATCTAATGTAAAAGACAAATACAAGTAACACTCATATAAAGTATAATCTATTGAATAATATATAGAAGATGTAGACATATAGACTAATAAAATCCCCAATTGATAATTTATAAGTCTTAATTGTAAATCTCTAATTGATACTTAAACCCTAAATCTTCAAAATTTCAATATCAACAAATTTAAATAAGAAAATTAAAGAAGATAAATTTTGAAGGGTAAGACTCATTATGACATGGGTGATGGCTTTGGCATGCACTACCGTGTCCTGCGTGACAGGGAGGGATGATTTTAATTTTAATTTTTTTCCAAACAAAACAGGGATTGGGTAATTGAGCAAAGAGAGAATGAATGTTTTTTGCATAAGTGGTCTCGTGTGTGTGGGGTTAGTTTGTATTTTTTATTAGTCAGACGTGGTGTAGTGTAGGTTTGTTAATGAGATTTTATTTATGTGTGGGGTTAGTTTTAATTTTTTATTGTTATTAACTTATTGGTCAGACACGTGGAGTAAGTTTGTTAATGAGATTTGAATTGGCTGGGATGTGGATGTCAAGTGGGCTGGGCGGTATTATTTTAGTCTACAAAAAATAAACGTACCTAGGCTACAGTCTAGGTTAGCTTGGGTGTAGGACCGTCCTGGAGTGATTTAGAATATGTCTGAATCACTTATGAGGAGAATAATGTGCTTCTCAATATAAGGCTCGTTTGTAGGTAATTCTGGATATGACAGAATCACTTCTGGAGAGAAGCATCTCTCACGTACTTCTTCATAAAATCACTTAAAGTGATTATTTGGATAAATGATTCTCCATAAAGTGATTATTGGTCTCTCCAAAATCACTCCCAAACAAGCCCTTATTATACACATGACCCAAACTATAGTTTTATATGAGTAACTGTTTAGGGGTTGTTTGATAACCATTTCATTTTCATTTTCTCTTTTTTGAAAAATGAAAACTAAAAACATGTTTGGTGAGAGATTTCGTTTTTAGTTTTTAAAAAAGTGAAATCTAGTTTTCGAAATCACCCTTATAATTTAAAACAAATTGAAAGTATTTTCAGTTTCCAATTTTTGTTTTCATCTTTTTTGCGCTCCATGTTCCTTCATTAATTTTACATCACTAAAATTCGGTACTTGGGACATCCCAACTTGGACCCCACCGCTCTATTCTTGCGTTCAACCACGGACCAGTCCAAACCTCGAGTGGTTAGATAAATCCACAAAAAAAAAAAAAAAAAAAAAAAAAAAAAAAAAAAAATCCAAAAAATTCAACAGAAAAACAAAACAATAAAACTACTATGCTCTTTGTGACATGCACTTAATTCCATTTTCAAGTTCCACATAAAACTGAAATAAGTTACCAATCAACTTTTTTTCACTTTTCACTTATTCTTTTATTTATTTATTTATTTTATTTAAAAAACTGAAATTAGTTACCAAATAAGTTTTCAGTTTTTGAAAAATCAAAACTGAAAACTTAAGGGCCTGTTTGATAACCATTTCAGTTTTCATGTTTCAGTTTTTAGTTTTCAATTTTCAGTTTCAAAAAAAGTGAAAACTGAACAAAAGTTGTTTTTTAACTAATTTCATTTTTCAGTTTTATGTGGAACTTGGAGATGAAATGTTTTGGAGTTAAATTGTGAATTTGAGATCATAGAATAAAAGTGCATGTTACAAAGAGTCGGTAATATTTTTTGGAATTAGGATGATATTTTTTGTGTGAATTTTGGATATGGAGTTCTTGAGGTTTGGATTGGGACCATGGACAAAGACAAGAATCGAGAGGCCGGGTCCAAATCGGGAGGTCCCAAATACTGAGTTTGGTAATTGGAGTGCATTTCATGTGTGGTGTAAATTAATGAATGAAATAGGAGTGCACAAAAAATAAAAACAAAAACATAAAACACTTTCAAGTTGTTTTAAAAAATAAGGGTGATTTTGAAAACTAGATTTCACTTTTTTGAAAATTGAAAACGAAATCTGTTACCAAACATATTTTCAGTTTTAAAAAACAAGTGAAAATGAAAATGAAATGGTTATGAAACCCCTAAATGGTTATCAAATGGACCCTAAGCTTTTGCTTGAGGGTATAATTTGAATATGGACTTCTTGTATTCCCATTTATACTGCATACTAAACCTCTTATTGTTGAACCCACAAAAAATATATTGAACCTTCCATCGTTGCAATACTCCTGGCATCTTTCGGGACTTGTTTAGTAAATTTTGTTGGACCTATAGGAACTTTCGGATTGGGAATCAGAGGTCATGGGTCCCACGGGCCTAATTAACCCAGATGGTGGGCCTCGCAGGTTCGACCTGGACCAAATGGTTGGGAGGTGCTTAGGGCTTGGAGGTTTGTTTTAAAATGGTATTATGCTATGAGAGTTTTATTAAATGTTTATGAATTATTATGCAATCGCTTTTACTTTCCAAGCATGTTATATTATGTTTAATTGTGTGGAGTTGGGAATGGCTTGGATAACTGGGTTTTTGCATGAATAAAGAATTAATTAAATGCCTAATTATATGTCTATATTTAAATGTATGCTCGGTGGCTTGAAATTGATGAATCATGAATACTATTTTTCTCAGTAGTATGTTGTACATATTTGAATGTAGTTTGAGAACAGTTTTTGAAAGATTATGAGTGGTTAAATTCAAGTTAAGGAATGTTGGGATTAATCTCATTTTTAAAAAGGGATTTTTGGTTATCTATTTAAGAACTAAGTTTTTGAAAGTTGAGAAAGGATTTGGAAACTGGATTTGTAAAAGTGGATTTGTGGAAAAAAAAAAAAAAAGGAAATTTGAATTTAATAATGGACAAGTTTTGGTAAAATAAAACTTATATCAAACCCATCACTAGGAGTACCACCCCCCCCCCCTAGTTGCCTTTGGATGAATGCCCCACGAGTTTTTGGGGTGCTGAACCATTTGGTGGCAAGGATTTGCATTCTTAGGTTGATTATATCTTCCTGAGTCTTGCGAGGGGAAATGACGGATATGCTTTCTTGGGTTGACCACATGTCCCCGAGTTCTACGAGGATATGCGTTCTCGAGCTAACTACATGTCCCCCGAGTTTTAGTAAGTTTCTCCTGAGTTCTGTGAGGATATGCGTTCTCGGGTAGTGTCCCCCGAAATCTGCGAGGATGTAACATATATGGTACTTAGAATTGATGGATTATGTTTGGGGATATGCCTAGGTGGAGAGTATTTGAGTTTGGAGATGTTTTAAACTAAAATTGATGGTTTTATCTTGGTACTTATTGGTGAAAGTTTTAATACATGTTTTCATATTTATGAAACAAGGATTGAGAGTTTTCTAAGTTTTAAAGATTTTATACAATTCACAACCATTTTCTTAAGTGATGAGTTTATTTTTACATGTGAAAGATTAAAGCTTATTTTATTCAAACTGTTGACATTGATATTAAGGTTTCACGTGGCCAATGTTATTTCAATAATTTTCTAGTTTTCCTACTTATCTGTAATGAGCTACTATATATATGTATTTGTAGATGCACATATTTGATGGTTGGGAGATTGTTCTGAAATCAATATCTTTTGCTTAAGTTTCAGCGGATTAATTAGAGTTTGAAGCTTTTGGTTTTAGGAAAATGTGAAAGAATATTTCATTAACTGAACTTTGTTTTCTTGTATAAAGAACTACGTGTGGCTTGATCCCTCAGTAAAGGTACATAGGCAACCCAGGCGTTACTAGGTGCAGCCGCAATGTTTATGATTGGTTTGTTATGTTCAGTTTTGTAAAGTTAATTTTGCTGAATGTTTGGGAAAGCTTTTGGGTTTGCTGTGCAGGTAAATTTATGGGTTTGAGCCTTTTTCAGGGGAGACTCTGTCAGTTTTCCAGTAGAAGTCAAACCCTAAAGCAGTTTATAGATTAGGGCAAGATGGGTTTTTGGGTCATTTGTGCCCGACACCTGTCCGGTGTTGGGCACGCACGGGGTTGAACACGGATTCCAAAATAGAATTTGGATTGGGTCCTGTCATTAAATGTCCATTTCATTGGGTTTTTTTTTGGGCATATTGAATTAATTGAATTGAAGAGTTTGTTGGGGCATAATTATTAAAGTAGCAAATAAATCTTTTCAAATTGCCACATAGGTCAACAAACTTTTATTTGAAGAGTTTAGTTTGCTACTACCATTGGACCTGCTCAGAAGAAGAATATTTGGATTTGAATAAAAGAGAGTTTGTGTGGTGAAAGTTTGTGAGAGAGTTTAGGGAGAGAAATACATGGTGTATGTGTGTGTTACAAATGGTTATTATGTTATTAATTTCAAATGCAAATAAAGAAACTTTTATTTTGGTAAAGAATAAATAAAAATGGATATTGTTAGGGGTAATATGGGCATTGAGAAAAGTCAAACTATGATCATTAATATGATAATTAATGAAAATTTTGATAAAAACCCTAAAAATGGGCCTACATTGATCCTAAAAAACTCATGGATGCTTGTAGTTTTGGGTTATTATCTAATTTTTTATTATATTATTTAGAAATGGTTATTTACTTAAATGGTCCTCAAATTTATACCTAAGTTGCATTTTGGTCTTTCAACTAAATTATTTGTTCAAATGATCCACTAACTCTTTATTAATGGTTGCATTGGTCATACCGTTACATTCTGTCAATGTTGCCATCAAATACAGGGGTAAAACAGTTCAGTTAAATAAAATACTAAATAAATTATAAATCAAAAATCAAAAGAAAAAAAAATATCTCTTCCCCCTCCTTCTTCTTCAACATTTTTTCTGTTTGAACTGTGCATTTGGACCTCATGATATTGTTCATTGAAACCAATAATTTTTTTGAGACCCTTGAAGATTGAAACTGTGATTCGATTTTCATCATATTGTATAATTTTTGGGTACAATCCCTTGGGAGCTATGTGGAAATGAAGAACAGTGTGAAAAGGGGCCTTTGGAGCTATTTGTGATTTGATCTCTCGCACAACCATCGCCCAACCCCCATTTTGTCCTCCCTGCACACCCCACCCTATCTTCCCCTCCCTCCTCTCCTTCTATCTCTCTCTTCCCCAACGAGAGGACGTCGCAGACCGACGATTTCAAGATCTCGTCGGGTCGACTGGCCATGATTTTCTCGGCGACACTTTTGATGGAGATGATGACTGAAAATTCTTTATTTAGGAAATCAGAGGCGTAGGGGAGAGAGAGAAAAAGAGGGACATAGAAAGAAAAAGGTGGAGAGAGAGAGAGAGAGAGAGAGAGAGAGAGAGAGAGAGAGAGAGAGAGAGTGTGTGGATTAGCCTGGATGGGGTGCTGGGTTCAAGTTTGGGGTCTATTGAGGTGGATGTTGAGTATAGGGGTTGGGATTGGAGTGTCAAAAGTCTTATTCACCCCCACAAATGTAGCATGTATTGCTCAAATGACTAAATTTAATAGAAAATATAATGGTAGGACCAATGCAACAATTAATAAAGAGTTGGTGGATCATTTGAACGAATAATTTAGTTGAGAGGCCAAAATGCAACTCGGGTATAAATTTGAGGACAATTTAAGTAAATAACCCTATTTAAAAATGATCTTATCTATTTATAGAGGATTCTTTTAAGGATGACAAGACAATAATTTCAACGAAAGAGTGAAGTTCATTTAACAATGGTGAGACCAGGGGCGAATCTTAAGCCAGGGCAGGGTAGGCTACCGCCTACCCAAAAATATTTCACTAAAAAAAAACCTATATATAAGTTATGTAATTGATATCCATTCCATGTGTTGGTATACACTCTTGCCTACCCAATCCATATAAAACCCACAGCACAAGCCCACTCAAACTTTAAAAAACTGAGAAAAAATTATAACCAGCCAGCCCATGTTATGAATGGCCCAGTCAAACTTTAATAGAAAGAATATAACTTAAGCAGCCAAATAGTGGCTGTGCAGTGCAATTCCAGACAGAGTCGGGAGAGCTTCTTCTCAACGCAAGTCTTGGCTGTGTTGTGCAATCGTGGACACTGGACAGTCTCTTCTCTTCTCATATACAAGGAAACAAGTATTATTCTTAATCTCTTCTCTTTAATTATCTTCTTCTATTGGGTTATTCCTAAAATAAATGTATGCATCTTAGTTTTAATTTTAATTTGAAATTGAGTTTTCTAGGGTTTAATTAGGAATGAAATATAATTTGGGGATTTTGTTGAAATTAATTAGGTCTTTGATTTTAAGAATTTTGTTGAGATGTTTGATTTGATGTTGGCATTGTTGAGATGTTTGATTTGTTGTTGGTATGTTCATGTTTGACTAAATTCATTGATGCTATTATGAGAAATTGTTTGATTTTTTGTTGGGATATTTGATTAAATAGGTTATCTTTTATTATGTCGGATCACAATCGAAACCCCAAGAAAACAAAGAATTTATTCTCTTTTTTTAAGAAAAAGAATGATGGGTCATCATCTTCTAGAATGCCTCCCATTTGTGATGAGCCAAATCTTCTCTCTTCTCCCATTGTCGAGCCTCAAGTTGAAAGAGTTGAGACTCAAAGAGTTGATAGTGGTCAAGATTTTAATATCAATTATCTTGAGCGTGATCCGGTATTACGTCTTCAAATATGCCAATATTCGGTGAATGAACAAGATAATGTGCGAAAAGCCTATATTATTTTAGGACCTTGTCAACCGGAGTTAGAAGACTATCCAAGCCATTTAGAAGGGCAAGACTTACAAGTTTAATGAGTTTATTTAAAGAGACTAAAATACTTCTTTAGGAAATCAGTGAACATGGACCTAACCAACAATTTCGTGGTGATGCAGAGAGTAACTATATTGCTATGATGTCTTTTGAGTTTGTGTTTGCATTGCTTTTGATGGATAAAATTATGGGATTGACCAACTTTCTCTGTCAAGTGTTTCATAAAAAAACTCAAGATATTGTAAGTGCTTTAAACTTTGTTGAAAACACAAAATCACAGTTCCAAGATATGAGGGCACATGGCTGGGATGATTTATTCATGAGTGTGGTATCCTTTTGTGAACAACATGGTATTGATGTTCCTGATATGAGTTCTCGTTATATAATGGGCACACGTCGTTCTTGTCAACAAAAAGATTTTATTACAGTTGAACATTACTATCGCATTGATGTATTTAATGATGTGATAGATTGCATGTTGAGGGAGTTAAATGACAGATTTCCAGAGCAAACAGTTGAACTTCTTATTCTTAGCTCAGCATTGGATCCTCGTAATTCCTTCAAATCATTCAATATTGGGCATCTATGTAAACTTGCTGAGAAATTCTATCCTGCTGATTTCAGTCCAAGTGACTTAAAAGGTTTGGAAATTGAGTTGAGGTATTTTCAAAATGATATGCATCGCCTTCCCTGCTTTAAGGACCTCACCACTCTTCCTCAGTTATGTCAACAATTGGTGGAAACAACTTTGGCAGAAAACTACCATTTGCTTTACAGATTGATTCAGTTGGTGTTGACTCTTCCTGTTTCCACAGCAACAACGGAACGAACTTTTTCATGTATGAGAATTATTAAGAATAGACTTCGAAGCACCATAGCTGATGAATTCCTTGCTGATTGCATGATTCTCCACATTGAAAGAGAGTTTGCTAATAGTATCGATAATGAAGAGATAATTGAAGAATTTAAGATTTCTAAGCCTCGTAGGGTACAATTTTAGATTAAAATAGTTTAGTTTTTGTGTTGCATTGCATTTACTTCTTGTTTTTTTTGTTAAGCTTTTATTTATGTATAGATATGCATATTTGAGGGTAAGGCTCATTACGTCCCCCTTGACTAGGTGTATCTTTTTATTTTTATCAATAAAATTCACTCGTACTGTCGAGTTTTTTAAGGTAAGTTTCGCCTACCTGACTTTTGAATCCTGGATCCGCCACTGGGTGAGACTACAGGAAAGCATGTGGAGAAGAATGGCCATATTGTTGAGGAAGTGGTTCTTCATGACTTAGGATTTATCCTTTTTTTTGTTTTGTTGCCAAAGTTAGGAAGGAAGATGAGGTATGAGGACTATGCAAGACCCCATTGGCCCTGTTAATGCATTTATCTAAGATGATATTATCCCAATAATAACCTCAAAGTTCTCACTAGTCATCTAGACGCATATAAATATGAAGTTAATGAGGTTAATGAGAAAGAAAAACATACTCAAAATTCTCTTATTTCTCGTTTTTTATTTTAAACATATTTTATATTATTGGATAACACAGTAACAAAAAGAATCGAACATGCCAAAAAAGGAAACAAGTGTAGATGAAGTTCCAACCTCTATCATTGAATTCGATTATTTTCATCAGTTCAATTGGATTTGGCTGGTTCTAACGGATGCGCATCTATTCCACTAACTCTTTACCATTTTCCCACTCCGCCCGATATATCTGGACAATTTTTCTTACTTTTAACCGCACTCACATACAAAGTAGAGGCGCCGCATACGATGAAGGAAAGGAAAGTTATAATCTGTCGAGTAAATATTTTAGTTTTGTGCATCACATGTATCGGAGAAGCTTGTAAATTATTAATCAAGGTTTTTATTCTAGGCCTCTGAGTATTGCAGAAAGGGAGGTAATAAACAGGGGATACATCTTCCATATCTCAAAAACTTCTAGTATACAAGGATAAATGTACAATCATCTTCCTTTCATCGAAGTAAAATTCGTCTATATGCATATATATATGCCTTGTATGGATGACACCGACGACATACCAGGTTACTGAACTATGAGGGGGCTGCCTTCTCTAGCAAGCACAAAAAGACCACCATCCCCCCTCGAGATCCGGAGATCCTCATCAAGATATGTAATAAGAAGCCAAGATTTCGTCCGCTCTCCTGGAATGGAAACCTTAAATGGTGGCTGACCAGAAATGGCTCTTGAGATACTTGCAACAGCTTCCTGCAAAGTATTGAGAGTTCGCTGGACAGGTGATAAATTGATTTTCTGCCCAAAGATATCCACTTCTTGCGGGAGATCAACACTTGACTTTATCTCTGGAGGCAAAACGCTGCCTTCCTTGAATTCAACCTGGATATTTTCAAACCTAGTAAGGTTCTACCAGGTAATAACTTCTAACTTTTTTTTATTAAAAATATATATTTATGTACTAATTAAAATTATTTATTAACTCATCACTTCACTACCACGAAACACTGTTCTGTTTTAGAAGAATATTATTCACTCAGATATTATCAGTGCAAGTTATACCTGAATTCTTGAAGGGCTTCTAACTTCAAAGCTAGCGGATGCACTGAAAGAGAAAGTGGCAAAGGGGCCAGACAACGTGGTTGAGTTCACTATGGTTAAGCTGCTGGTGTCAATCGATTGGCCTATTTTACTCACTTTCAACAAAGGTGTACTACCTGCAGCTAGAAGTGGCAACAGCTCAGAGGATGCAGTGTACCTGATTTATGGAGATCAAACCAAATAAGTAAAATAAATGAAATCAGGAGCAGTTGAAAAGGATAAAAGAGAGAGAAAACCATGAACCATTTTTATCTTTCGTAAGGACAATCGTCAAATTGTTCAAAGCATCCAGGTCAAAAGCAACCAGAGAAATAGATGTGTACATCATTCGTAATGTATAATATATTGTGCGAAATAAATTATGGATACAGAACTTGGTTTTCAGTTTCCCAGTGGCTCTAAAAAATTTCAGCCATACTACCAATACTTATACACTATTGGGGAATATGAGCTAAAAGAAGAGCATAACTCCCACTAGCTTTATCACTGATTCTTGGTTCAAGTTCAGATACATATAAGGCTGTTACAATCATAAAAAAGGAGCAAAAATAGAAGACGAAAAAACATATTTATGAAACTTGAAGTTGCAAGTTCAATTAATATTTAGAAAACAGATGAAGCCCATGCATGGCTACACATACCCTAACATGATACAGTAGTAATCAATCATCAAATTGACACAAAGATCTATATATATATATATATATATATATAATTACATGATAAATGTTAAACTTGAATTTAATTTGCAAACAGGAAGATAAGAAACCAGGAAATAAATAAAGAGAGGGCGTGGCAATACATATTTTAGGAGTAACTCTACTGTGCAACAACTTTGACATCATTGAAAAGGTTTAACTAGAAAAAGAGAATGATGAAAAATGGAGATGGAAAGGTTATTCAAGCACAAACTATCACCTAAACCCACAGCCTCATAGGAGCTATGAAAATACCTTAATAAAGCTCGGATGATTCCTCCCTCAATACCAATAAAAATAATGGGGTGTCTTGAAGCATGACCATTACACCATTAATTAGAAAAAGGAAAAACAAAAATCTAGTTTTTCAAATTTTCTAACTCAAGGAAAAATTAAATGTGTTTATCAATGTTGCAAAGGGATGCAAAGACCAAGAACTTTCATGCTGACAGAACTCAACATGTTGGAGACACCCTAAAAGATGTCCACCTTCATAATTATTTTCAATTCCAACCAAAAACCAATTCCCATAGACCTATGAAAAGTATGTAGGAAACAAAAAATATGGTCAATTACTGCATCAAAATCAAATCTGTAGATTAATCTAAGATTCTCAATACTATGTTCAAAGTCTACAAAACGTATTATAAAAACTTATGCACGATATTATCAGCCTAACAACCAAATAGGATGTAAATGATCATCATTGTAATGTGATCAAATTCGGACATGATTGACGCAATATTCAAATAAGATAATTCAACCTGGATTTAACAGCTATTGTTAGCTCTGTTGATGCTCTTCTTTATTAAATTTTGTTTTCCTAACTTTTTCTTAAATGACTTCAAATTTCTATAAAAACGCTCTGGAGAAGTTCAATGACAGTTCGAAACAAATGCACATTTCATCTTATTTGTAAAGACTTATGCTTTTGCTTTCAACAATGTCATTTAAAATCCATATATATACACACACACACACACACACACACACACTCTATTTTGAGTTTTATGCTATTGCATTCCTAATTTAACTATTTCTAATCAAATTTCAGAGACAAAATTGAACTTACAGCAAAACCCAGTTGCCATCAAGAAGACCCGGATTCGCGGTCGGAGCCGGGTTTGGATTGACCGCTTCCAACTGGTTAACCAACTCTAAGACCTCCGCCCTGACCTCAGACCCGGCCCGAAACCCGAATTCAGTCCCATAAACAGTGTCTGCCAAAGCCCTCTTGAGCTCACTAAACTTACCATCCACCTTCTCCTCAATCTCAGCCTCAGCTTTGGCCGGACTCCCATTCCCAATTTCAACGACATCATCTCCTCCGCCTCCCCACTCATCCTCGTTCTGCGGAGGGTCCGATTCGGAGACTTTGGATGCGGGTTCGGCCTCCGGGGCGGCCTCCTCGCCCCACTCGTCAGTGATCTTCGTCGGACGGTCGCCGTCTGTGGGGCTATCGTCGGAGAGAGAGGAGCGTAGATGGAGTGAGGGGAGCTTAGGGTTAGGGTTTGGTGAGGGGAAAGAGAGGAGAGATAGAGATTGGGATTTTGGGGTTGGAAATGAGAGTTGGTTGGAGAAGCTTTTGGAGAAGAGAGAAGAGTGTGAGGTGAAGATGAGAGCCATTTCTTTGGGTTCGAATCGAACTGTTTTGTGTCTACGTGAGTGAGACGGGTTTTCTTTATTGTTGATATTTTATGGTAAACGTCATTGCTAATTGAGAGGGAGAGATTTTGGAGGTATTCCAAAGTCGGTAGGGGTCCGGCTGGATTACAAAATTGAAAATTGAACTGATTAGTATACTCGTTTTGGGCTTGAACAGATTTAATATTTTTTGTTAGGCTGATGAACTTCATACTTACAACTCCTGTACACGAATTCCGTAACGTACTCAAAGAGAAAATAATTGAAACTAGGACTTAGTATAAGATTCATAAGAAAAAATGAGTTATGTATCAACATATGAGTTGACATCATATAATTGGTCTGGTTCGATTTTTAAGTGGCAAAAACTGACCAAATTAATTCAAATTAAAACAAATTTTTGATTTTTTTCATTTTCGGTTTGGTTCAATTCGATTCACTGGGTTACGTGTTCAAATGTTGACCCCAAATTCCAACAAACTAAATACTACATTACCAATAGCTTGTTTATGAGTATAAGAGATATCTTTCTAGATTCTCTCCTCCCCTCCCTCACCCCTCATCGATTTGAGAGTTAGTGATGTTAAAATTTTGGGCCTAGTTATTGTTCCTCCGTTGTTTCCTCTTTCTTCCTTCCCTCTCACTCTTTGATAAATGCTCAAACTGTAATCTTCCTTTTGAATGACTTTTTCGACCTGAATTGTGCCTGCCTTTTGGGCTACAGTTGGATGGCTAGTTAAAGCACAACTTGACATTGTTTTGGCCAGGTGTTATAAATAAATAATAAAAAAAAAAAAGAAGAAGCTGTGCAGCGCCTGCTTTGCACGCAGGCCTTTCGTCGAGCATCTTGTGTGCATCTTAGGGTCACCCATGTGCTATCCATAGGGTCGCTTGAGGACCTCATTTGTCCCGGCAGCCATAGGGTCGCACGACCCCATTTGTCTAGCTGTGCGTCCGCCCCCGACTATAAATGTTGAAAATTGCAAGCTTGCCTTTATTTAAGGGTGTTGCCTTTTCTAATCCCCTTTTGTCTTTTTAAGTGGACAAAAATGGAGTGGTAAAATCAACTCTCTTATTTAAAAACTTTATAGAAGGCTATATGATTTGATTTGATTCTTGGTGGAGCTCATGCAAATGGGTCTTTGTAATTTTTTAAGGGGTGATACAAAAATAGAGATGAATCCCTAATTCTTCTCTATATTGATAGTAGAGATTCCTTATTGTACATTTGCATGCCTTTATGAGCTTATTGAATATCCCGATAATCACTTTCAAGCTATATCTTTCGATATGACCGTATAGTGTTCTCAAAGATAAATACCTAATCCACAAGACAACTTTGATGTCTTACGTATAAGGAATAATTTGCATTATCGCAACTTAGAATTTCTTTTTTGACATTGTGAGTAAAACCTCCATACAAGAATTCTTAGTCGATCACGAACTCTATCTTTATTAAGCACATACACACTTGTGTCAGCGTCTCTACATGAATCACTTGAGACTAGTCATCCTCCCAATTAGCAAACACATCGTGTACCTTTTTGCGGATCACCATTGTCCATTTGGTGATCCGACAACTAGGAACATTTATGATAAGATATTTCGTAATGGAAAGGTCTCATGAATCTAACGTCTTTAGATCGCTTTCCATTTATATTGTAATCCATGGACTTGTCACTTTGTTGGTTATGCATAAGTTTTGGCTTCATTAACTTGATTAGATCAAGTGTTATGTCCTTAGAAGTTTGATTTTCAGATTGGCTTCTAAGGCATATTTCTAACAATTGCCTAATAGTATCATTCGATGACCAATATCCCACTTCCTATGCACTTTTCTTTTTGTTTCTACTTTATATTTATGTGGGTGAAACCAAACTCTAAGGTGTGAAAGATCATCGTCTTATAATTAAATGATATTTATTTTGCATTCTTCTATATGTTTTCCATTTCTGAAAAAACAAATTCAATCAATTCCAAATAGGAAATGCCTAATACTTAATTTTTTTTTTTATCTACGTATCTATAGTAAAAAAAAAAGGTATTTCATTCAAAAATTAACAACTTAAACATCCCTAGTCTTCTTCTAGTATTTACAATGATATTCAATCTAGCGTAAAAGTCTTTGAGAGAAAAGTGACAGTTGTAGGGCCGGCCTTGAGCCTTGGGCGAAAGCAGAGAATGAGGTCTACATGCTCGTTATTCACACACAAGGAAAATTATCTTTTTTCTTCTGCTTTTTTTGCTTGGGGTTTGAATACAAGAAAAATTCTTGGCTTACAAAATATTTTTTCCTTTAAACGTAGTCTCTTGCTAACCATTGCAAATAAAAATATTTTTATATTTAAAACTCCTTTAAACGTAGTCTCTTGCTAACCATTGAAAATAAAAAATATTTTGTAAACCAAGAATTTGTCTTGTATTCAAACCCCAAGAAAATACGTGTGTGTAGAATATTAGAAAATATATTACGTTTTATAACCATTAAAAAAAAAATTGACCTTAGACAAAATAAATTTTATTTTCAGTAAATCTATAATAAATATGATTGAGAAGAACCACCAAAAAAAAAAAAAAAAAAAAAAAAAAAAAAAAAAAACCATTAGTTACTGAAAAGAAGTATCCCAATGCTGGGATTCGAACCATAGCTGTTCACAAGTTTCTAAAGCTCACACACAAAAGCAGATTATTACATATAGGATATCCAAGCTTATTAAGCATTGGTAAATAGTACTGAAGGAAATTAAGCAAAAATTAATTAAGGCCACCTTATAGTATATAGGGTCTGCACTAGGGTGAGGACCAGGAGGATAAAGGCAGCGATGAAAGAGATGATTCTCCATGGGGTAGAAAAATAGTCATGCCTCAATATTTCCATAAACCTGTGCCATTTAGTCTTGTAATAGTTATTCACACTGTCGGAGAGATCACTGTAGTAATACTCCATGACGGTGGTGTCATTGTAAAGCTTGTTGAAGAATTGGGCAGCATCGTCCGGGTTCAACCAATTGGCCAATATTTCTTTGTCACAAAGATATTCTACATCGTCTTTGGAGTCGATGAGGTTATCCATCAAAACTGCGTAGGATGTTATCTTGTGCGGGCGATAGTTGTGGCATTGTTCAAAGGCGATGAGGTTCCTGAACAGTGGTCCTGTCCTCTCATCAATTCCCAGCTGCGGAATTTTAAAAACCCCGTCTTTGAACTCTATGTTCATTATGCACCCTCCCTCTCCCTCTTTTTCGCTTTTTCTGAAATGAATGCCTGCCTTCGAAAGAGATGTTGCGTTTGGGATCCGTTGAGGCAAGTTTAGTTCCTTATTTTTCCGCTTCTTTTCCACATGCTCTTCCAACTTCTCCTCGAATCCATTAACCATCACGGTTCTTGCCAGATCAAGTATGTGCAAAATCTGACATGGGGGGAGCGTAAAGCTGGCGTTCAATATCAGGTTATCTACAGGGGATTGATTGAAAAAGTTGAGCACAAGTGAAGTGAGGGAGGCGCCTTTTTGGTTGGGGCTATTGGCAGTTAGGTTGTACAAATACTCCAGCACAGACCAAGGTAGCTGATTTTCTAGCAGCAGAAGGTCATGGTACAGATGGTCCCGCATGCAGGGAACGTTGAAAACGGGGTCGTTTTCATTTTGTAGCTCACAGAATAGTGCTTTTCGAAATAGTTCTAACAAGAAGCAACCGTCAAGTATCATCATTTCTACAAAGTCTTTTTGATCGAGATCGCCATCCAACGGGTCTGCTACGTAACAGGCGCGGGCGCTTTTAGCCAACTCCATGATGACTTTGATCAAGCTCTCCAAACTCAGTACATCCTTGGATGAGTCGAGAAGGCAATGTAAATACCAACGTTTCACATCTTCAAAGAGTTGGAATTTTTTATTGCGGTGGAAGGGTCCGATGGAGACGATGTTGGGTTCATAGGCCTGTTTCTTTTGTCTCCGAATCATCTCAGGAACTTTGAAGATGCAGCACGAAGAAAGCAAGGGTGAATGGGTAAGAAGCTTCGCTTCTATGTTCATTTTCAATTCTTCAACAGTGGGTCCGTCGTTTATAATAATGGACGTAGTCTCACCATCAAGTTTACTGCATTTTCCTTCATCACCTTCCATGATTGTAGATATATGCCTTCAATATCTGAAAATAATTAATGCTAAATTATGCTTCTTCTCACAAAACATAAAATAGTCATTAATGCTAAATTTTTCGTCTTCTCACAAAAATAAAATAATAATTAATGTTAAATTCTGCTTCTTTTCACAAAAAATAATAATAATAATAATAATAATAATTAATGCTGATGCAAAGTTGAAAATTCACACCAAATGCACAGGGCCCCACTTCTAAGAGGGCATTCAAAATATTATATAACGTATATTAATGTTATTTTATTGAGCCCAAAAAAAAAAAAAAATCAAAAAAATAACAAAAAAAAAAAAAAAAAAAAAAAAAAAAAAAATAAAATGTGTAAGCAGAAATATTTAATTGTAAAACGTGGTAATTAATTTGTGCTTTGAAAGTCAAAGAGCACAAAAAGAAAACAGTTTCCTTTGACCAATTTTGTACTAGTACTACGTAAGGTTTGCCATTGCAAACCGAAAAGAAACTTTCCAGACCAGACGCAGTAAATATAATTATACAACATAGTCCAACCCTTATACAGCATACAAATTTATTTATTTTTTAACCTGACCTGCATAAGCCATGTAGCCTTCTTTTGCAAGTTTCACCATTTCTCTCTCTTAAATTCTCAAAGTTTTACTTCCCTTTCTTGAAGAAAATCTCTAAATCAATGAGTCCATTCTCATAAGATCAAGACAAATAGAGGTAAATAATGGTGTATCAATATATATGGTTGAATTCTAATATATTTGTAGAAGTCTTTGTTCTAGGATGTTTCATTGCTCATTTTGCATCGCCTAAAATCTCAGAGCCGCCCATTTTTTATGAACATTTTACTATGAGAAGTTAAGGTGTAAAAATTACAAAAAAGCAAATTAGACGAAAAAGAAATACCTTGTCTCAAAAGGAAACTCATATCAATCAATGACGACACAAATAATCATCAATATTCCAATAAATCAAATCAATATCAACAAATCATTAATTCTATACATACTAATTTCAATTAAATTAAAAACATCATACATTATCATTAATTGAGGCTTAGGGTTTAAAACTTACTTGAAATTTGAGATATTTCACACTAATAGGCAGCAGTAGCTTTGGTAGGACGACGCCAAGAGCCCGACCGCAATGGAAGCAGAAGGTGGAAATTGGGGCTTAGTTTCTGCAATTGAGGAAGAAATTAGAAACTGGGGCTATTTGTGTGTGTGTGTGTGTGGTGTGGAGTGCAGGGGTGGGAGCCCACCAAAAAGTTGAGATGAAATGGTTGGAATCCATGCTTTGTCTAAGCTAGAGGTTGAATCTGATTCTTTACAAATTATTCGTATGCTTTGTGGGGAATGGAAGACTGATATTGCTGTGGAAACCATTATTTTTGACATAAAGCAATTGGTGTAGCAATTTCAGCATTGTGTGTTTTCCTATATACCCCTCGTCATTGTAACAAGGTAGCGCATAAAATTGCGGCCTTTGTGTTCAGAGTTGGCGGAATCCATACTTGGGGTGATTTATGATCTGAGTGGATTTTTGATATTCTTGCTAGCAACAAGACAGCGCATAAAATTGTGGCCTTTGTGTCCAGAGTTGGCGGAATCCATACTTGGGGTGATTTATGACCTAAGAGGATTTTTGATATTCTTGCTAGTGGTGTAAACCTTACTATTCCTCTTTAATAATATGCTCTCATCGTTTGTCCAAAAAAAAAGGCAAACAAATACTGCGGTCCAGTGCATAATTGTATATCATTTTGTACCATTCTAACTTATGATTTGGTTGTGTTTTTGAATTAAACTTGTGCTTATAATCTCTTTTGCTATAAGATGCACCAGAGTTCGATTCACGTAGGAGACAATCTTGAGGCAACCCAATATAATACTCCCCTTCCCTAGCAAATGACCCAAAAAAAAAAGGAGTAGTGAATCCATGATTTTATTCTGAGGAGTCATAGTGTACAAATTACAAAAAAATTTAGACAAAAAAAAAAAAACTTCTTGCAAAACAAACACTCATATCAATCAATGATAACAAAAATAATCATCAATGTTCCAATAAATCAAATCAGTATCAACAAACCATAAATTATATACATATTAATTTCAATTAAATTAAAAACATCTACATTATTATCAATTAGGGCTTATAGTTTAAAACTTACTTGAAATTTGAGATATTTCACATTAATAGGCCGAGGTAGCTGTGGTGGGCCGACGCCAAGACGCCGATGGCAGTGGCAGCATGAGGTGATAGTTGGGGCTTAGTATTTGTGCAATTAAGGAAGAAAATTAGAAACTGGGGCTATTTTTGTGCCCACCAAAAAGTTGAGATAAAATGGGTAGAGAGAAACATGTGTACCTTAAAAATCAAACAAATATTGCGGTGCAGTGCAGGAGGTCTAAATTTGTATTTGTGACCTCTCTTTTTAACACTAGCTAGCTAGCACGTTAGAACAAGATGAAGAAGATGAAGAAGGGACATCGATGAGGACAACATTAAAAAATAAAATAGTGATGCTCTTTTCTTGTGACCATGAAGAAAATAGGAGGTATATTCATCATAAAACACTAGTTAAATGGAAACAAAGAACTTATGAGACCAATGACAGCTATTGGACCAATCCAGATTGGATAAGATTGGATTGGACTTGGAGTATTGGACTGGGCTGGTTGAGATTGGACCAAATTTTGAGTATGTTGTTTGGTGCTATACTTAATATTGGACTGGATTGGACTTAAGTCCAATGCACTGTTTGGTACAAGACTAGATTGACTGCACTGGACCTCAAATTTTTTTAATTATAAATTTCTTAGTGTTTGCTAAATTATTTACTATAAGAAATAAATAATTAAAAAAATGCACATAACTCAAATTAAGAAAGCCTTCATCACATTATACTTTTAAAATAGCTCAAAATATTTCCAAATTTAACAAAGCAATTAAATAACTATTTGCTTTTGTCCATCAAAATACAACAAGTCCAAAATATAACAAAGTGAAAAACTCAAAACTACGTCTCAACCACGAGATCTGTGATCTCTAAGCAATGTCTCTCATCTGGACATGCAAAAGCAAAATTTAAGAAAGTAAATACCTATTTTAATGTGTACATGCAAAAGCAAAACAAAGCCAAGTATAACTATATATATATATATATATATATATAGTTATTCTCTCATTTAGACGTCTATACATTATTATTGTGCAAATTGTTTATGCAAATTTCTCACGGGAGAATATTCGCGTGTAGATTCTTCACCCTTCAGCTTCCTCCTCTCTCTCCTCGATTCCTGCGAAACAAACAGGAGTAAAAGACCACACCCAGGGGTGTTGGCCAATGGCCCTCCGATACCTAATTAAATAGGAATTAATTAGGATAATTAGTTTGACCTAAGGAATATTCCTTTTTTACTTGTCGTCTTCTGCATGGCCCTTATGTGGAATGGAAGAGATGAGAAATATAGTGCTTTCCAACTGCATCTAGGCTTTCTTTTTTGAGTTGGTCTCCTTTTGCAAGTTGAGCTCCTAATTGCAGTAGGCTTTTCACTTCTTTTTGGAGTTGGGCTCCCAATGGTTATAGGCTTGTGATTCCTCCTTGACCTAGGATGCTCAACCTTTATAAATGCAAGGCTTCTCTTCACTCCTCTTCAAATTGAAAAATTGTCATCCTCTACTTTCTAGCTTATGAGAGAGATCTTAAAGAAGTGTACGGCTTGTCGAGGAGAAGAGTCACCGTGCACACCAAGGTAGGTCAAATTTAGTTATTTATTTTCTTTTTTCTTTGCGGTGAGGACCAGTTGGGTGGGTGGCTCTCGTCGTGACGGACGCCACTGCCAGCAGTGGTATTGTCGTGGTGGAAGTGGCTGCATCGACCTTTTTTCTTATATTATTTTTTTCGTTTTCGCTTGCAGCGAGGAAAAGTTGGCTCAAGCCTGGCTGGTGTTCGTCTCGAGCTGGCTGCTGTTTCGCTACCCTTGCTATGGTTCAACAACTGGGCTATGTCTCGTGTTCTGCTGCGGGCGTTGGTGGCAGTCTTTGGGCTACTGTTGCTTCCGCGGTGGTTGATGGCTGCTCCTCCTTTTTTAGGAGTTGCGCCATGGCCTGTTAGATAGGTTGCAGCTTGGCTTAGGTTAAGGTGCTGCGCCGGCAACTTGAGTCGAGGTGCTATGTCGGCAGCTAGGGCCATGTGGCCTTCTTATAAATTGTTTTTGTGTGCTGCAACTTAAGGTTTTGACATGCTATCTTACTTGCAATTTTCTCCCCCTTTTTTCAGTTAATCACTGATCATGTTGTTGTGAGTTTTAGATACCTGCAAAATAGAGGTTAATCTAAACACAAATTATACTCGCAAGTGCACAAGGTCAATTGTAATTTAGCAAGGCAAGCACGAGGTCATTCCCACAAGGACTGATTTCTTAACTTCAAAGTAATTAAACCTAATTTAACTTAAGAAACACTTAGACAAATTAAAATAGAATTTGAGCACATAATTTGTGCACAAACACAAACGAGATTTTTGAATAATTGATTTGAAGGCAAATAGGAAAACAACTAATTAAACAGACAAACAAATGACAATAGAACTAGTTTTTAGCAAGATATGACGGTGCTAGGACAATGAATCCACTCCTAATACTCTTCTCTAATCTCTTATTCCCTTCCTCTTCGTTACTCAAATTATATTGTTGACTAATTCCCTTTAGCGTGAATTATCTATGGTATTTAGACTAATTCACATACCCTAACATGCAATTCGACTATGGTATTTAGTCAAATATGATCACTAAGAATTCATTATGTCTAATGGAATCTAGTATAAGCCATGGAACTCCCTAGGAATATGATATTTATCCTAAGTGAATCACAATTTTTAATCACGAGAAGCTGGTCTGAAACTACGTATGGTATTTACACAAGTTTGGATTGAATAACTCAATCAAAAACCTAGATGGTAGCTAAGCATCCAACCCAAGCAATCAATCAAGGATAAAACAGTGATTAAAAATGATTGGTACCAGCATTCCCCGCTCGGCCAAAGCTGGCACGGTGCGTTTTTCGATTTTGATCACATGGTTGTTGAGCTTGTCACATTACAATGAAGGGAGGAAGTCCATTTATAGGCAAAGCCTCTTGGCTTTCCATGGATGTGCAATTATTTCTTCTAATATGTGAACTCCACTTCTACAACACCTTTATCATCATTTTACCCACTCAGACAACAAGTCTTCAAATGAATAGTTAGTGGGCTCCACCACGTTCTTTACAACAATTTCAAGTAAAATGATGGTAGTGGACACAAGTCACTGTTTAGGGCTCACAAGTTGAAGGGCATAAAAGAAATGTAAGGGGCCCAAATTGGTCAGGAGTCGATGAAGGCCGTACGACATGGAACAAAAGTTCCCTAGTATGGTATGCCATATAATAAATGAGGCCTCACTTTTGGTTATATTTCCTTGTTCAAAAGACTCGAAAGTTTAGACAGGAGGTCTCAGATAACATCATCTGTGTGTGGGGTGTGAGAAATCTTATTCCCCTTTAATTTAAATGAACTTACGGATTTCAGTTTTTATTTAATAAAAAATTAAATTTATTAAACATGAGATATGTTCTTGTAACATGGAACGAGAAAACCTTGCCAAAATTACATCACCATTGAGACGTCGGGCCACCATAAATTTGCACTCATCAACGCTCTTGGATTCTCCAAGTCTACTGAGCATCCTCCTCTTGGGTGTAATCAAGTCTTAAATATCGAGGGTTTTGAAAATATCGGTGGTTCAAAAACACGGAAATATCGATGGAAATATCGGGAAAATATCGATATCGATAAAAATTGGATAAAAACGACGGAAATTGTGATAAATACATGGAAATTTTTAATGAAACTTTGTAAAAAGTTTATTTAGTCAATCATCTATTATTTTAACACAAAAGATTGGAAGGAAATACTAAATATCCTAAGCCCAACTAGCCAACAAGCCCAACAAGCCATACTAATAATATCCCAAGCCCAACAAACCATACTAAAATACTAATATCCTAACCCTATCTATCTAATCCCATCCATCAACGTCAGTCACTTTATTCCTTTCTTATTTTTCTCACTTCACTCTCTCTTTCTTTCTCTCATTCTTTCCGTTTCCATATCTTTTCTTCTGAGTTTTTTTTGTTCTGTCTCTTGGGGAAGTCATCATCACAAGAGAGATGTGAGAGCCCACCATGAAAAAACCGTGGTTTTGGAGCTGTAAGCTCTCTTTCCTCCCATTTCTTTCTCTCTCATTTCTTCTTCATTTTCTTTTTCTCTCTTATTCTTTCTCTTTTCTTTTTTCTTCCTCTCTTTCTCTGATTTTCTAGTACTCTGATTTTTTTTTCTCTCGGTTCTATGTTTCTATCTCTCCCTCTATATCTCTTTCTTTGCATATCTGGGTTCTTAAATATCTTGGGTTAAGTTCTTAAATCTGATTTTGTTATTGCTCGAATATGGAATCTGATTTTTCATGCAAATTTAAAGCTCAGTTGAGGTTCAGATATGTTTTGCTGGATAGTTTTTTATTTATTATCTTTTAAGGTTCATAACTTCATATATGGTTTTCCTTGTATAGACTCATCGATTGGTTCCATTGATGCTTCTAAAAATATCAGTTAGAAATTGGAAGTTGGGAGGGGTTCGAACCCCTGTGTGCGACGTTCAAGCAAATTATTTCATTTTTGAAAGTTCATATTGCGATATTATCGATAATATCGCGATATGTTGACCGTTTGTAGCTGCCATTTGAACGAAAATATAGGTACCGAAATTATCGAGGAAATTATCAATAAATTGACGATAAATAAATGGAAACATACTAAAATATCGCTGCCCCTAAAAAACTATAATTTCGCCGAAATATTGGAGAAATTATCGATATTTTATTCTCTGGGTGTAATGCAACCAAACCCAAACTCACACCCACCATCCATCACCTTCACTTTCTCTTCTTCTGTTGCCCCGTCAACGAATTTGGAGTGCCATCTCCATTTGCATCCCTTTGTCCGTTAATTCAGTTCAATTCAATCAACTTTTCTTCTTATGTATGGAAATGGAAGCACTACTCTTTTTACACTATTCTGCTTTCTCGTAAGAGCAAAGGTTATGGGGTTAACATATGACCACAATGACGCATAGTGGTGTGTAAGTAGGTACAAGTCTGGCAAGAGAATAGCAAGGTTTCTTTACTAGAAAATAACTGGGCTTTTACCTTGATCAGAACAGAACAAAACACACAAATATTAAGTAGGCTAGCAGCAGCTGCTGTTCACAAGTTTCTGAAGCTCACACAAAAAAGCAGATTATCACATATAAGAGCATCCACAATGGGCTCCCTAAACCACCTCCTTAGCTAAAATTTAGGGAGGAATTGAAAAAACACACCTCCAATCATGCTCTCTATTTAGCTCCTAAAATAAGGAGACCTCTAGGAGCTCCTAAATCTGAGGAGAGAGAAAGGGCTCCTAGTGACTCCCTATAATTAAATGCTACCATATTTTATTATTATTATAAACATTTATTTAATGATGTCTTTAATTTTATCAATTTCTTTTTCTTTCTGCATTTTATATTTGTAATCACTTTCTATTGCAAGCTATCTGTTTTATTATTTTTGCCGTAGCTGTAAGTGCTTTGAAAAGCACAAACAAACATTTTTTTTTCGATTCTTTTCGCTGTAGACATTTTGCAGCACACAAACACCTTCTTTGTTCTATTTTTCTTTTTTAAGTTCTTTTCCCTATAGGTATTTTGCAAACCACAACAACCATAGAATATCAAAATTGAACAACAAATAAACTTACAATAAGTTCATTTCAAATTATATAGTAATAATATAAATTCAAATTACTAGTTGTTTGTGCCTAATAAATCACGGTCGTCATAAGGGACCTCTTCTCGGCCGTGGCACCTGTTCATGGACTGAAATAGCCACGTTTCGTCAGACATTTAGCCATTTCGAAAGCAGAAGAAAATACGAAGGTAGGATTTTCTCGGCCTCACAACCATGGCATTATGGGCCGAGGCCGAGGTCCATGAAAGACCCGGTCGAAGATACTGTGGTCAAATTGCCACGTGGCCTCAGGGTTCCACGCCCCATTTAATGAAGTAGTGCCTCTGACCACCACAGCAAAACCACTGGGTGCAAGAAGCATTTAATGCACGAGGGCTGAAGTGAAGTGATTGAAGTCAGGATTTGGTAACAGGAATCAGAGTGGTTAGGCACAAACATTCTCACAAAGCATTCTCACAGCTTGAGGTCAGGTCACCAACCACTGGACCAGAGCATTAAATGCGTTCCCACGGCCAAGGGGGCAGAGCCCACGATCAGGGTGGTGGCCGAGATTTGCCGAGATTTATGGGGGTCACACCACCACCCAGACCACCTTGCTTCACGATCCCAAATGCCGATTTGACTACCCACTTGCCCCGATCAGACTCCACCATGCAGATATTTTTAAGCCATCAGGCAGATCTTTTTTCAGCCTCGATTGGCCCTCCAGGACTCCTCTTATAAATACTAAGCTCAAGACCACGTTCAAGAGGTTCAAACACCAAACCAAAAGCCTCCCACAGAGCAACTTATATTTTCTGTAATGCACTTTTAATACCTTTACATGCTTTCCTAGGAGTAGTGGTAGATTGTAAGGAAAATCCATTCATTAATATATCATACGACCCTTGATTTTTCAAGGCGCAGGAGCATTATCCTTGTTACCGCCTCATTCACCCCATATATCATACGATCGTCGCTCTCTGAGCAACTCGCCGGAGCACCGCCCAAAATCCACCAACACCACCACTAAATGGCCTTGTAGCTCAGGCCGTGAACCTGACGGCCAAGATAAGTTCCTCTCTCGGCCACAATAGTTTGACTAGAAGTCCAACTCCAAACAGGCGCATCATTTGAACATCTTCTACCCAAACCCCATCACCATCTCAACGCACGGTAGACCGTGCTGGCACGCCCACGCACAACCGCACCGCATCCGAAAGAAGGACGTCACGTGTTGACGCACATCCCCTCGGCCCGGAGCACCAGGCCGCGAGATTTGCGACGGACCAACACTAGTTTCCTATTCTCCCGCATGCAATTGCCACAAGTGTTCAATAAGATCTAATTGAAGTTGGGAATGAATCTCTCTATCTCTAATAAGATCAACTGAAAAAGAAAAAGGGCAAAGACCAAATTTATGACAATATGCCTAGGCCTGCTTCATTGCTCTTAGAAAAATACATAGAAGAAAAACAAGAAATGGAGCGCAGGGGAATGGAATTTCAAGAACGAATTATTATTCAAGAGCAAGAAAAGATTACCATTGAGCAAGCTAAAATTCGATAAAGAGATGAGCAAGAGGAAGAAAGGATAATGTTACAAGATACAACTAGGATGCCTCCAATGCTAGAAAATTATTATAAGGGACGCCAAATGGAAATTCTTGCAAAACAAATGGGTGTTAAATTTAAATTGTTGTTGTAGTTTATTATTTTGGGATATTTAGTATTTGAATATGAATATTTTATTGCAAATCAGGAATTAAATTTAAAAAGAAGTATTTATGATAAAAAGAAGTAAAGCATTTATGACTCTCCAAATTAGGGAGTATGGTTGGAGTTGAAATTTTTTAGAGAGCTCCGATAATAGCTTTTTGTGTTTTTAGCTAAATTTTAGCTAAGAAATAGGGAGTGTGATTGTGGATGCTCTAAGGATATCCAAGCTTATTAAGCGTTGGTAAATAGTACTTAAGGAAATTAAGCAAAAATTAATTAAGGCCACCGAATAGTATATAGGGTCTGCACTAGGGTGAGGACCAGGAGGATAAAGGCCGCAATGAAAGAGACGATTGTCCATGGGGTAGAAAAATAGTCACGCCTTAATATTTCCATAAACTTGTGCCACTTCTTCTTGTAGTATTTATTCACATCGTTGGAGAGACCACTGTAGTATAATACCCCATGACGGTGGTGTCATCATAAAGCTTGTTGAAGAATTGGGCAGCATCGTCCGGGTTCAACCAATTGGCCAATATTTCTTTGTCACAAAGAAAATCTACATCGTCTTTGGAGTCGATGAGGTTATCCATCAAAACTGCGTAGGATGTTATCATGTGCAGGCAACCGTGGTGACATTGTTCAAAGGCGATGAGGTTCCTGAACAGAGGCTCTGTCATCTCATCAATTCCCAACGGTGGAATTGTAAAAACCTCGTTTTTGAACTCTATGTTCATTATGCACTCTCCTTTTCCCTTTTCTTTGTTTTGGCGTTTTTTGAACTGAACGCTTGCCTCCGAAAGAGATGTCGTGTTTGGGATCCGTTGAGGCAAATTTGGCCCCTTCTTTATTTGCTGCTCTTCCACACTCGACGTCTTCTTGAATCCATAAATGATCATGGCTCTTATCTGATCAAGTATGTGCAAAATCTTACATAGGAGATCGAAGCTGGTGTTCAACATCAGGTTATCCGCATTGGATTGCCTGAAAAAGTTGAGCACAAGTGAATTGAGGGAGGCGCCTTTTTGGCTGGGGCTATTGGCAGTTAGGTTGTACAAACACTCCAGCACAGAACAAGGTAGCTGATTTTCTAGCAGAAGAAGGTCATGGTACATATGTTCCTGCATACAGGACACGTTGAAAACGGGGTTGTTTTCATTTTGTAGCTCACAAAAAAGTGCCTTTCGAAATAGTTCTAACAAGAAGCAACCGTCAAGTATTATCATTTCTACAAAGTCTTTTTGATCGAGATCACCATCCAACGGGTCTTCTACGTAACAGTCGCGGACGCTTTTAGCCAACTTCATGATGACTCTGATCAAGCTCTCCAAACTCACATCCTTGGATGATTTGAGAAGGAATTGTAAATACCAACGTCTCACATCTTCAAAGAGTTTGAATTTTTTTTTGCCGTGGTGGAAGGGTCCGATGGAGACAATGTTGGGTTCATAGGCATGTTTCTTTTGTCTCCGAATCACCTCGAGAACTTTGAAAATGCAGCACAAAGAAAGCAGAGGCGGCCCATGGGGTGTGCATGGCCCCAAAAATTTAGGGGCCTCCAAATTTTTCCAAGTCAACCCATTAAATTAACTAAAACATGAAAATAAAAATGAAATATTAAATATCACCCCACAACACCACATGCAAGGCACCAAAACCAATATTGAATTGAATATTAATTATAAAAAATTTGGTATAAGTCCAAAATCGAAAACAAAATTTGGATGCCATCCTCGTAGTTATTGTTGTTGATACAAGTCCTTTGACTTTTGTGCCACGTGTGATTACATTCCTTTTTTGATTTTTTGATATTTACATATTATTTTTTTCATTTTTAAATTACTTCATTATTCCCATCGTGCCCCTAAAAATTAAATAAGGTAAGAAATTAATTTTTATGATAATAATTATGATATTGTCTACCCTAACCCAATTTGGACTCTCTCTCAGCCACAATCCCTGCAATTTTCACCAACAAGTCAATGGAGCAGGTGCTCTCTGTCCCCCATTAGGTCTCCGAGCAGGTCCTTTTTGTGGAGGTTGTGCAGCTGGTACTTTGGGCACCTGATTAGGCCTCAGAGCGGGTGCTTTGGGCACCAGATTAGGTTTCGGAGCAGGTGCGTCCACCAAAGGTTTCAGAGGTGGTGCTTTCGGACGAGGTTTTGAGGAGGGAGCTGATACCGCCTTAATCTTCGGAGGTGGAGGCGGCAGCGGTGCTTTCGCTAAAGGTATTGGAGCTAGTGCTTTCCCCAAAGGTTTTGGCGAGAGAGCTAGTGCCTCCTCCGGTGCGCCTTCCTCCTCGTCCGACGGTAGTGGTGGAGGCGGTGCCTTCTTCTTTTGACAGGAGTTGTTTGGGGTTTTGGTGTCGGGTGGGGGTGACAGTTTGGTGTTGGGAGAGGAACCAGTTGGAACAGGTGGTACAATTGGGAAGCTAGATCCTACAATTCCATGTATGTTGGTTGTTTGTGATCTATCTTTATTTACCTAGTATTTAGGTATATTATCTTATATTTACCTAGTAAGTAGTTACATTCTCTTATATTTATCTAATAATTAGGTATATTATCTTATATTTACCTAGTAATGAAGTACATTATCTTATATTTACCTAATATATAGGTATATTATCTTATATTTACCTAATAATTAGGTATATTATCTCATATTTACCTAGTAATGAGGTAAATATTTGTTGGGAAGACATCATCAATAATACTCCTACTTTCATTGTTTTATATGAACTTTTTTTATTTGTTCTTATGCTTGAAACCTCACGAATCAACCTTATGGATAGGTACAGTTTTATGTTGGTGCTTGCCTGTGGTCTTCATTTTCATTGTAAGATAAAATATGTGGGTCATTGCTTTCATGACTTAAATTATATTTTATCTATATATTAGATAAGTATTGCAATAGTTAATTGTTAAAGTATTTTACTTGAAGAAAAGGGTTTTTTTTTTTTGGGTACAGATGTGTCATGGCGGCAATAGAAGGATTCAAAATTTAAAATATGAAATCCATTTAGAAGGAAAGAATCGATACATTAATTTGGATTTTCAATTAATGTTCCTTTCTTATTTACCTCAAAGGGTAAAATTGACACAAGAAAAAATTAATAAAAAATAATGGACCCAAATCTACAGCAAAAAAGGTGTGGACTCAATCCAATGACAGCTAGAGATTTTGGACTTAGATCGAAGAACCCCTATTAATTATCAACAAATTCTACGACTTAGAGAGTAGAGACCCTAATTTAATTCATTTTCCTCTTCCCAACTCTCACTCTACAACTCTTCTTTTTTATTTATTTATTATGGTTTGAAACCTGCGTTTTCCTCTTCCCAACTCTCAAGTTGCAAAACCAGTCTAATATTCTTTTCTCTTTCAGTATGTCTTTCTCACTCTCCTCCATCAAAATAAAGCCATTTCTCTTCAGTACCAGTGTACCACCCTCTTCCATCAAATTTTGGATTGTAAAAACCCAAGCTTTAGCCCTTTTCCCAAAATCACAGTTCTTTTCTCCCTCCCTTATTCACATGAGAATTCACATAGCATTGAAATTGGAAAATCAATGTATCAGCTTTGTGATTTGGAAGGGTGACTAAAGAAATTTTTCTGGGAAGCTCTTTCTGAATGTGTTCTTCCCGTGTTAGAAATTTTTGTTTCTATATGGATTTTTTTTTCCTACTTGTATATATAGGGCCTCGACATCCATATTTGCACAAGGCTTCCAAAATCAATGTACCGGCTCTGGAAGAAAGCAATGGTGAATGGGTAGGAAGCTTCGCTTCTATGTTCTTTTTCAATTCTTCGACAATGGGTCCATCGTTTATAATAACGAACGTACTCTCACCCTCAACTTTACTGCATTTTCCTTTGTCACCTTCCATGATTGTAGACATATGCTTTCAATATCTGAAAATAATTGTCCTCAAATAATTAGGAAGATTCATTATTATACCCAATATATGAGCCCAAATTATTAAAAAAAAACCTATACGAAATGGACTTTAGAAACACACCCAAAACTCATTTACAATATAACAAATAGGCTTTTAACTTCTTATAAATTACAAAACTGTCATCGATTTCTTAAAACAAGCTCAACCCCAAAACCTCATAAAAAAAAACTCAAAACACTCAATAGGGTATCAAAGTAATTTAATAATCAAAATTAAATTCAATATAGCTAGCTGTCAATTTTTGGGGTTTTTTTGTGTTTGTTTATAAAAATTAAATAGCGTAGGGTTTATTTATATATTAGTGCTAAGAATAAGTATATAACTAAATATCTCAAATAATTAATTCTAAATTATGCTTCTTCTCACAAAACATAAAATAGTAATTAATGCTAAATTCTGCTTCTTGTCCTAAAAATAAAATAATAATTAATGCTAAATTCTGCTTCTTCTCACAAATTTTTTAAATAATAACTAATGCTGATACAAAGTTGAAAATTCACAACACATGCACAGGGCCCCACTTCAAAGAAGCCATTCAAAATATTATATTATGTATATTAATGTTATTTTATTAAGTTTAGTCCCAATTGAATTTTTTTATTATTTATTTAAGAATTAAGAAAGAGAATCCAACAAAACAAAAGAGAAGTTGTGTTACATGAAAATAAATATGTTCTTGTTTGGTTTTTATTTTCAAATGTTTTTAATATGGAAAAATATTAATTTATTATATTATCCTTATTTAACAAAAAGTTTCAATGCTTAACTAACTAATGATAATTTTTAATTTTTTAAACGTTTTACAATTCTCTGCTTTTTTTCTTTATATATATATATTTATATTACACTACTAAAAAACTCGTGAAAAACCACGGGCATAAGAGCACCCAAAACTGCATAAATAAATAAATAAATGGTGTGTGAGATAAAATATGTAAGCACAAATATTTAATTGTAAGACGTGGTTATTAATTTGTGCTTTAAAAGTTGTAGGGGACTTTTCTTCCTGCAGCTAACGGGCTGGGCTGCTGCAAAAGGTGGACTGAGGAGATTGCCCCTTTTCGTTTAGGTTCGAAAATTAAGCCTCAAAATACCTCGAAAGGGCAGCGAAAACTTAGGAGATATTTTGAGTAATCTTCACCAATGAGAATAATAGTGACTTACAGATAATTTTGGCATGCTTTCAGATGGTTTTTAGGCTCAGCATGAGTGGCATGAGGCATGGAGAGCAAAACCAACATGGGTTTAGCACTAAGAGAGAAATTAGGCTTGGTTTATGAGAAATGAAAGTGTTTAAGTAAGGAATGGGGTGTTTTGTGAGGAATTTTGGCTAGAGAAAGAGAAAAAGAGAGACAGGGTTCTTCCAGCAGCTACCAGAAGAACAAATTGGAGAAGAAGATGAACAGTGCACGAATCTAAGTTTTGCAAGATAGAGAGAAAAGCTTGCTCTCTGCAGGTTGTGAGTTGTGTTTGTTGGGTAGGGGAAGGCTCAATTTATAGCTGCCGGAAATCACCATTTTTCAAGAAACCCTAATGGCTCCTTCTTACTTTGGCTGAGATTTTCTTCCTTTCTCCTCCCCTTCTCTGACTTCCCTTTCTTGGCAAAGATGGCTTCTGTCTATCTTCATGAATTTAGGAGATTTTGGGGGCTCAACATCCCTCTTTCCCGCGGCTGTGCAATGAGGGCTTCCACTCTTAGTTTGCTGTTTTTCTTCCTTTTCTTTCCTCTTCCTTGGCTGAATCTGATGAAGGAAAGGAGGTGCAAATGTATGCTGGTCCAAGGGATGCTTCTGACAGCATGCAGGATGGTATTCATCGGTTCTTTGGATGTCTCTGGCTTGGGACTGGTTTCCAGCAGCTTACTTAAGGAGCCTGCCATCTACTCCTTCACGTGTTCTCTGTTTTTCAAAAAAGGCTGAAGCTCTTGTGGGCCTTTTTCTGGGTTTTTCTAAGGGCCAAGATGGCTTTCTAAGCAAATGGGCTTATTGGGCTTGATTTGGGCTTATTATTATTTTTGGTTGGGTTATCTCTTGGCTAGGTTATTTTGCTTGGGCTTTTGGGCTATTTTTTCTCTCTTGTGCTTACCCACATGTTTGGACCTAAGAAATGGGCTTGAGTCTCGAGGCTCCCAAGCAACCCGAGACTTTCCATTTCTTGGTCCATCAATGGGCCTCATGTTGATTTATTACCATCCATGCCACAACCCACTCAAGCAAGCCCCGGGTCTTTTTTGAGTGGCTTGGGCCCACCTAGGCTTGTAGCGTGGTTGGGTGCGAGATAACGGCACGGCATGTTGCTCGGCATATTTTACTTTATCGCCCTTGGGAAGGATTGTTTTAATTTTTCTTAGCATGATTATATTTTATCATAGCATGATAATTTGTTTATTTAGCGTGGCGTGTGGGTTATAACTTGCATGCGATAGATCCCTTTTTTCTTTTCCCTTATGAAATATTGTATTGGGCTGATAATTGTTCGGGCCCAATCCATGGATTTTTTGGGCCTCAACAAAAGTCAAAGAGCACTCATATAGAGCACAAAAAGAAAAGAGTGTCCTTTGACCAATTTTGTACAGTCTCAAAACAAACTCATATGAATCAATAACAAGACAAATAATCATCAATGTTCCAATAAGTCAAATCATTAATTCTATACATACTAATTTCAATTAAATTAAAAACATCATACATTATCATTAATTGGGGCTTAGGATTTAAAACTTACTTGAAATTTGAGATATTTCACATTAATAGGCGGCGGTAGCTTTGGTGGGACGAGGCCAAGAGCCCAATGGCAGTGGAAGCAGACGGTGGAAGTTGGGGCTTAGTGTTTCTGCAATTGAGGAAAAAATTAGAAACTGGGGCTATTTGTGTGTTTGTGTCTGTGTGTGGTGTGGAGGGGTGGGAGCCGACCAAAATGTTATGAATAAGAATTAAAGCTAGTGGGACCATCAATGGAAAGAGGAATGCTAGCAATTTTCTCTCTTCTTCTCATAACAAGTATCACTTTCCTTCCACTTAAAAAGAAGGTTTGAGAGAAGATTACTAGCATTTCCCATATATATAATAATTGGTTTGATTGTGATTTTGGTAGATTGGAATTCCTCTATTCATATGGTTTGTCTTCATACTCTGTATGCCCCATTAATGCGTTCAGTTTGGTAGGTTTCATATCTGTAAAACTTATGAGACCAATGAAAGCTAGCATCTGGGCCAATCATTAAAAGCTTGTGGTATAAATAAATAAATATAAAAAAAAACGCAATTTTAACGCTCTCTAGACCTTCATTCAGCTTTGACAGTTTGGTTTGCGGTATTTCTTAAGTAGTTGCATACACTAAGTGGACAGCCTAATCTGACAGCTCATTTCATTTAAATTGAATCTAACGGCTATCATTTGATGACCAGATGACCTGATAGGCATTAAAATAATACTACTGAGCATCCTCTTACGCCTCTTGGGTGTAATGCAAACGAACCCAAACTCACACCAATCATCCATCACCTTCTCTTCTTCTGTTGCCCCCCGTCAACTAATTTAGAGTGCCATTTCCATTTGCATCTATTTTTCCGTTAATTCAGTTCAATTCAATCAACTTTTTCTTCTTATGTATGGAAATGGAAGCACTACTCTTTTTACATTATTATGCTTTCTCGTAAGAGCAAAGGTTATGGGGTTAACATATGACCACAATGACACGTTGACCAAACGTGGTGTGTAAGTAGGTACAAGTCTGGCAAGAGAATAGCAAGGTTTCTTTACTAGAAATAACTGGTTTTTTACCTTGATCAGAACAGAACATAACATAACACACAAATATTAAGTAGGCTAGCAGCAGCTGCTGTTCACAAGTTTCTAATGCTCACACACAAAAGCAGATTATTACATATACGGATATCCAAGCTTATTAAGCGTTGGTAAATAAGATTGAAGGAAATTAAGGAAAAAGTAATTAAGGCCACTGAATAGTATATAGGGTCTGCACTAGGGTGAGGACCAGGAGGATAAAGGCCGCGATGAAAGAGATGATTCTCCATGGGGTAGAAAAATAGTCATGCCTCAATATTTCCATAAACTTGTGCCATTTAGTCTTGTAATAATCATTCACTTCGTCGGACAAACCATTGTAGTAATACCCTATGACGGTGGTGTCATTGTAAAGCTTGTTGAAGAATTGGGCAGCATCGTCCGGGTTCAACCAATTGGCCAATATTCCTTTGTCACAAAGAAAATCTATATCCTCTCTAGAGTCGATGAGGTTATCCATCAAAACTGCGTAGGATGTTATCTTGTGCAGGCAAGCGTGGTAGCATTGTTCAAAGACGATGAGGTTCCTGAACAGAGGCTCTGTCCTCTCATCAATTCCCAACGGTGGAATTTTAAAAACCCCGTTTTTGAACTTTATGTTCATTATGCACTCTCCCTTTCCCTCTTCCTTGTTTTGTCTTGCTTCGAACCGAACGCCTGCCTCCGAAAGAGATGTCGCATTTGGGATCCGTTGAGGCAATTTTGGCCCCTTCTTTTTCTGCTGCTCTTCCGCAGGCAACTTCTTTTTCTGCTGCTCTTCATCATCCAATCCAGAAACGATCACGGCTCTTATCAGAGCAAGTATGTGCAAAATCTTATATGGGAGCTCGAAGCTGGAGTTCAACATCAAGTAATCTGCTTCGGATTGCATGAAAAAGTTGAGCACAAGTGAAGTGAGGGAGTCGCCTCTTTGGTTGGGGCTATTGGCAGTTAGGTTGTACAAACACTCCAGCACAGACCAAGGCAGCTGATTTTCTAGCAGCAGGAGGTCATGGTAAAGATGTTCCTTCATACAGGACACGTTGAAAACGGGGTCGTTTTCATTTTGTAGCTCCTCGTAACGTGCCTTTCGAAATAGTTCTAACAGGAAGCAACCGTCAAGTATCATCATTTCTACAAAGTATTTTTGATCGAGATCACCATCCAACGGGTCTGCTACGTAACAGTCGCGAGCGCTTTTAGCCAACTCCATGATGACTTTGATCAAGCTCTCCAAACTCACATCCTTGGATGAGGAGAGAAGGCATTGTAAATACCAACGTTTCACATCTTCAAACAGTTGGAATTTTTTATTGCCGTGGTGGAAGGGTCCGATGGAGACAATGTCAGGTTCATAGGCCTGTTTCTTTTGTCTCCGAATCACCTCGGGAACTTTGAAGATGCAGCACAAAGGAAGCAAGGGTGAATGGGTAAGAAGCTTCGCCTCTATGTTTTTTTTCAATTCTTCAACAGTGGGTCCATCGTTTATAATAACGGACGTACTCTCACCATCAACTTCACTGCATTTTCCTTTGTCACCTTCCATGATTGTAGATATATGCTTTGCTTTCAATATCTGAAAATAAATAATGCTAAACTATGCTTCTTCTCACAAAACATAAAATAGTAATTAATGCAATAAAACTTACAGAAAATCTTGATTGAAAGATTTTATTGATAGCTTGTAGTAGCATACATAGTAACACTAGTAACACTCATAATTTACAATAGTTTCTCAGAGGAGGGCTCAGAGAAGACTTATGAAAACTGGAAAATTCACTTGCTGAAAAGAACAGCCTTCTTCCAAAGAGGCCAATATTTAAAGGGCCTAAAACTCAGGTGTCGGTAGCCTTGGATGCCTTACTGTAGTGTCGGCACAGTTATATTAAATCATACGAATTGAATAGAGTCATGCGTCCGCTTTTAGGAAAAGCAAATAGCGACTGATTGAGACTTTTGAGGGCTCAGTCCTCATTGAGATCATAGGGATCTTGACTGTCTTGTGTGTTTGACTGGAAGAGCTTTTCTTTTGGCTGGCATTACGCTCCTGATTTGAGGAGGCGGCTTGGGAGGAATGTGACTTTGGAGAGGCGTCTTCATCATCACTCATTTGGGAGGCTTGAATCATGAGTTACCTTGCTAATTCTTTAATTTATAATTTGGTTCTTCCTTCAATTGGGAGGGAAGACTGAGAGGCTTCAGAAATTGATGACTTGTGCTGTGTGACTTTGACTAGAGGAAATTCTTTATAAACTTGACCAATGATTCTTTCAGAATTGAATCTATCCCACCATTTGACTGAAATCTGTCGGGAAAGAGTTCTTGTTTCCCAGTTAACCTGATAAGACCATTTGAGGATCCAAGGAACTTTATATTTGGCGACAAAAATTAGGAGACTGGGGAAGAAAGCATCTTCTTCTCTGAATTTGTATTTACTAGTAAAATAAGTAACAGAATCTTGGAGATCATGAGGAAGAATTTCAATGACTGGGCCATGCTTTTCCCACCAAGAAGAAAACCAGGAGGGAAAAGGACTTCTAAATTTACTATCAAAGTTGACAAACCATGAATGACTGAAATCTTTATTTTGGTGAAGGAATATGTTATTCCAGGCTTCAATATAATCATAATAACTGTATTGGATGTTTGATTTGAGAATTTTGAAAGAGTAGGGGTGGTCTCCCCAATCGGATTGGCTGAGAATTTTGTGGATATACATAGAATGATAAAGGATTATGTTTGGATCATTTCTGTCTTTGATTGGTCTAATTTTTAGGGTCTGGGTTTCAAAAAGAATATCTCTGTAGAATATGAGTGACTTTTCTGGGTGATGAGGAACAAAGTGATGGTTGGGGGGAAAGTAGGCTTTAGCTATTTTGACTGGATTGGAGAGACTATTATAGCAAGGTTCAACTATGAAGAGGTCGTTGTTACTGCGGGGGAGATAGGGAGAACTTTTCTTGTAAGAAATTGATGGCTGAGAAGAAGGAGTGTTGTGACTTGCAAGGGATCATAACTGGAGATTAGGGTTGACTCATAATTGGGACGAATGCTGGGGACTGTAGAATCAAGACTAGTGAATCTATTGGTAATTTGAATTAATTGGAGAATATCCCGGATAAGGGACGATTGGGGAAGGCTCAGTTTTTACTGGATTCATAGAAGGGGGAAGTTTTCTGGCAACTGATTGACTACCTTGTTTGACTGATTCGGATTCTTTTCCTGCCATTTCTTTCCCTACAGAAATTCCCGTGTAAGAAAATCGGGAATACAATTCTCACTGCCTTTCAATCAAGATTTTCTATCAATAAAATAATGCTTAAATGAGTGCTACTTTCTATCAATAACATCTTTCACTTACTCTCATTGAAGCATTATTTTGATTTAAGTACTCTCATTTAAGCATTATTTTCATCTATATATATTACACTACTTAAAAACTGGGGAAAACCCAAAACAGCATAAAAAAAAACTAAGAGCACCCAAAAAAAAAGTGTTGTGCAAGAGTAAAACATGTTACCACAAATATTTAATTGTTAAACGTGGTTATTAATTTGTGCTTTAAAAGTCAAAGAGCACAAAGAACACTAACACAGCACAAAAAGAAAACAGTGTCCTTTGACCAATTTTGTATAAGGTTTGCCATTGCAAACCGAAAAGAAACTATCCACGCTTATTTTTTAACCTGGCCGGCATAAACCATGTAGCCTTCTTTTGCAAGTTTCACCATTTCTCTCTCTTGAATTCTCAAAGTTTTAGTTCCCTTTCTTGAAGAAAATCTCTAAATCAATCAGATCATTCTCATAAGATCAAGACAAATAGAGGTAAATAATGACATATCAATATATATGGTTGAATTCTAATATATTTGTTGAAGTCTTTGTTTTAGGATGTTTCATTGCTAATTTTGCATAAGACGCGTAAAATCTCAAAGCAGCCCATCTTTTATAAACACAAGTACTTTCAATTATTTTCTTAATATATAGATAGAGTGGTGAATCCAAGATTTTACTATGAGAAGTCAAGGTGTAAAAATTACAACAAAAATTAGACGACACAAATAATCATATCAATCAATGACGACACAAATAATCATCAATGTTCCAATAAATCAAATCAATATCAACAAATCATTAATTCTATACATACTAATTTCAATTAAATTAAAAACATCATACATTATCATTAAATGGAGCTTAGGGTTTATAACTTACTTGAAATTTGAGATATTTCACACTAATAGGCAGCTGTAGCTTTGGTGGGATGATGCCAAGAGCCCGACGGTAGTGGAAGTTGGGGGTTAGTGTTTCTGCAATTGAGGAAGAAATTAGAAACTAGGGCTATTTGTGTGTGTGTGTGTGTGTGTGTGTGTGGGGTGTGGAGGGTAGGGAGCTGACCAAAATGTTGAGATAAAATGGGTAGTGTTGTAAAGTCAAGAATGGAGCCTAAAATGGTAGAGCCCACTACCTAATTGATTGAAGAAAAATGATGATGCTTGTCTGCCAAACATTCAAGTGAAGCCAAAGGCTTGTGAGTGAACAGCTAATTTTTTGGCCTATAAATGGACATACTCTCACCCTCAACATTTTTCGGTGGCTTTGCTCATATATCTCTCTCTTGTAAAAGTTAGCATGTTCCTCTCTAGCATACCACAGCTCCTCCAATGCTTTTCTTCCTTCCATCAACACAATGGTTAGTAGTATAAATAATAGTAAAGTAGAGAAAATTATACGTGAGAGCTTCTCGTGCTGATAACGTGTTATAAAATGAACGGTATATAAGAGAATATTGAGCTGCACGTAAAGTAAATGAGACACAATATTTAATGAGGTTCGGTCATGCCTACGTCATCTGAGAGCAATAACTGTAACTTTTCCACTATGTAAAATAATAGGGTTACAACTTTAGTGTTTACAATATCACAGACTTACTGATATTTCTCTCTCGGAGAATTTCTCTTTGCTCTCGTTTCTCTCACTCTCCTTTCTGTCTTCTTTCCTCTCTGTCTGGGCTTTCATTTCTCTTCTTTGATGGTGTGTCACATTACAATGAAGGGAGGAAGTACATTTATAGGCAAAGGGGATTTGAACCCTTGCCATTTCACTCCTCCAATGTCTTAGCCACGATGTTGCTTATGTTTTTGTGGTAATACACAAAGGGGAATTCTATGTGGTATTAAGTCACTTATGTATCTTATAATGCAACGTATATATAAAGTGTAAAATATTGTAGTAAATCATAATATATAAATGATTATGGTGTGTTTAATCTTCTTCATTAATTACTACGTATTTTCTACATTCACAGTGTTTGTCAGCTCGCTATATAATCAACTTAAATCAGTTAAACCCATCATGCAATGCATTTCCTTCCAATTTTTGTGATAAACCAATAGATAATTGACTGAATAAACATCCTCCAAAGTTTCAATAAAAATTTCCAAGTTTATCTTACAATTTCCGTTGTTTTTATTCAATTTTTATCGATATCGATAATATCCCGATATTTCCATTGAAATTTCCGTGTTTTTGGACTACCGATATTTCTGATACCATCGATATTTTAGACCTTGGTGGTAGTTGGGGCTTAGTATTTGTGCAATTAAGGAAGAAAATTAGAAACTAGGGCTATTTCGTGCCCACCAAAAAGTTGAGATAAAATGGGTAGAGAGAAACATGTGTACCTGGAAAACTAAACAAATACTACGGTGCAGTGCAGGAAGTCTAAATTTGTATCTGTGACCTCTCTTTTTAACACTAGCTAGCTACCACGTTACAACAAGATTCAGTAGATGAAGAAGGGACATCGATGAGGACGATATCAAAAATAAAATAGTGCTGCTCTTTTCTTGTGATCATGAAGAAAATAGGAGGTATAATCATCATAAAACACTCGTTCAACATAATTCTAATTAGTTTTTGTTGGGCCTGCTCTGCGCTTTTGGTTATATATATATATGATCACCCCATAACACAAATGAAGAAGAAGTGTAGAACGAACATAGATATTTTGGTATGTTATTAATAAGACTTAAAGCTTGTGGGACAATCAATGGAAACAAAGAACTTATGAGATCAATGATAGCTAGCATCTGGACCAATCCGGATTGGATAAGACTGGATTGGACTTGGAGTATTTGCAGGCATGTACCTACTAACATGCTAACCTGGGCTAAAGCCCAGGCAGCTTGTTTTTTATAGACTAAATTAATATTCTAGCCTAGGTCACCTCAATAAAATATTATTAATTAATCCCATTAGGACTAGGCTAACCACCTAAATAAAATATTATTAACTAATCCCATTAGGACTAGGCTGACCAACAAATAAATAAAGGGTAATGATTTCCCCACTCCAATTTTATCCACTTACACTCCTTTTTTAGTTATAAAATAGAATGTAAGTGGATAAAATTGGAGTGGGGAATCACCACTCTAAATAAAAAGAACAAAATTAGCAGAAACATAATAGATTGATTCGTTTAGTTCTAATTCTTCATGTGTCTACAACAACAGAATGAGCATTTTCATGTATGAGACTTATTAAAAATCGACTTTGGAATAAGATAGGTGATGAGTTTCTTGCTAATTGTATGCTACTTCATATTGAAAGAGAATTGTTGATAATATAGATAATGAATCAATAATTAGTGATTTTAATGATGTGAAGACTTGAATGGTGCAACTTATATAAGTGTTATTTGAGGGGTAAGACTCATTATGTCTCCAATGTATTTTTTGTTATCAATGAAATTTACTCGTACCGTTGAGTTTTCAATAGGTTTATATATAAAGTAAATTTAGCCCATGCCATTTTGAAATCCTGGGTTCGTCCCTGAGTATTTGTGAGAGAGAGAGAGAGAGAGTGAGTGACAAAGTGCTGAAATCTGGTTGGCCAGCTGGGTTTAACTTTAAAACATTTACAATTGTGTCACTGAACTTCTGTATATCAAACCATCTTCGTTTCAACTTCGATTTGGGCCCACCATGTGTCTACGAACTTGTGAGCTTGAGCACTACGCAATGGAATAGAGAAATTTTTCAAAACCATCCCCAAGCAAAAAGTCAACCTAAACCACTCAAAAACCCTAAGGGTAAAGTCGTCCTTTACTTTATAAAATAGGAAAATAAATTAACTATTGGGGCAGGATGTTACAGAAGGTGTGTACAAGGCTTTATTGATTTATTTTTAATTTAAAGAGACAACTTAGGGTTACAAAATACCTGAATATAATACTTAGAAAATACATGACTAATCAAACTTACATAATTTATTCATGGCTGAAATATAAATAATTTGTCCAATGAACCAAAATTGCACTCTACCCAAAAAAAAACAGCAAAAGCAAATGAAGAATTATATATATAAATAGCATTTATTAAAATAGCAAAAAAAATGGCAACAATCACCATTATTTGGTGACATTTGTGGCCGTGATAAAAGGCATTAGTCAACTTTTTTTGACTTTTTTAGTGACTAAAAGGCTTTTAGTCACTTTTTTTGCTTTTTTTGGTGACTAACCCATAACGGTCATAAAAATCACTAAATAATGGTGATTGTTGCTTCTTTTTTTTCTTTTTTTTGGTAGTGTTTATTCATGGTTGGGCAACAATTCAAAAGCACAAAGAACAACTCAACTAACTCAAAAGCACAAAGAACAAACCAGCAAAAGTACTGTACTAAAATAAATAAAAAAGCAAAAGCACAAAGAAAAAGAAAACCCATGAATTTGTAATTAATTGTACTTACAAATTGCAATAATAGCAAGTAGGCTCCAGCAAGTAAATATTGACTGCTTGTATTCTTTGCCTCCCGAAGTCGTTGCTTAATGACATGACATCAATATCGAGAAGATTAAAATTGTTGACAATAAAAGAAAATTTCACATAAAGCAAGAAGATTTGTGTTTTGTGTCACTGTTATCATCAGTAACAAGGCAACATTTGATATATACTGTAGAAGATTTCAAAAGCTAACTTTATTGGAGTTCTATTTGCGCACAAAGGAATTGAGGACTGAGATTGAAGCTTTTACGAACTTATGCATCTTACATCAATTCTCTAGTTACTCTCATATCTGTATACTCAATTACAGGTTAGCTTGGTTTTCTTTTCCCACCATGATTCAATCAATTATCAAACGGTATAAAAAGATTTCAAAAGCAATTATTTGAAGAAAAAAAGAAGAAGAAAGATTAGCTTACTAATCATAAACAATGCGAACAAGGTAAGAAGATTAGCAAAGTGTGAAGGAAGAAGGAAATTACCTTGTTTAGAGAGAGCTCACTGCTGCATGTCTGTTCATCTTCTCCAGCAGGAAACAAAACAAAACAAAAAAACAAAAACAAAAACTCACGTGAAAAAGTATGTTGGGTTAGGGTGGGATTTGAGATATGCTTTAGTATTTATACTTCCTGCTAAAAAGTCTCACACAATTTCACATTTAAAAGAATCCTTTGAAATTTGCAAGTTTTTGAATACAATAAGACTTTTTGTTACTTGTTTAAAGTATCGATTGAATACCACTAAATTTGGATACTTTCTTTTAAAAATCCTAATAATCTTAATGGAATACCACAAGACTTGTTTAGATTATTTAAAAGTCTTAATTGAATACCACAAACTTATTTATCCCAAAATAATCTTTTAAAATCTCAATTGAATGCCCCCCATAAATCTAGAAGATGACTCCCTTTGCAGTTTTTTTTCCTTCTTCTGTACACTTTTTGTTTGTTTAATCTACGATCGCTTATAATTAAAAATTCAGAAGATGTAAATTTTCGTAATTGAAAAAATTCAGAAGCATTGAATCCTTATCATAAACCCAAAAGCCAACACACAAGTCCGTCCAATAAAAAAAAAGGCAAAAGACAAGGAGAAGTCAATACCCGAACCACCACCCCTTGCAGAGACTGGTGAGGCCCATTCTCTTTAATTTCTGAACCTCACCGCAAAACCAAAGGGTCTTCTTCTGTGGTGCGCTCTTGACTCCCTCTTAACTCCCTCCACCTCCACCTACCTACCAACTACCAAACACCAGCTACCAGCTCCTCTAGCTAGCTCCACCATCTTTCCTTTATTTACCAAGAAACCACTGGCACACCTATTAACTTCCTTTGACATCCCTACCCCTCCCATTACTAAGATATTACAAATTTAACAAATCAACAAGCAAAAAAAAAAAATCATGCTGCATTCCTTATGGTACTACTTACTGAATCAGTAAATAGCTGTAAAAGGAATGCTGGATGATTTTTTTTTCGGTTTGCAGTAGAAATAACAACTCCCAGACACAAACCCTAAATTTAGTATGATTACAGAAAAGCCAAACTGCTGGGAGAGAGGACAGGTTGTTTTTGGGTAATTTAGCACGTAGCTCGATGTCCCGGCCATCCAAGCTATTGCCTGGGGCTGGAAGCAGTTGGGTCGGAGCAAGAGGCGCCGCCACCAACGCTGCCATTCTCAGTTGTAGCAGCGGCAATGCACGTGTCGCTGCCGCTACTGAGAGCGGAGATAATCTGCTGCACCGAGTTGCAGAGATGGTTGTTAATGGCGGTGACGCTGGAGAGGTTGAGTTTTGCGGAAGGACTTGTGCTGGCAAGGACTTGGAGTCCCACAGTCAGCAGACAACCTGAGTTGATAACATTGCTGGTCGTGGTGGTGGTGGCAGTGCTGTCTTCTTGACGATGATCTGGCGATGATGAGGTGAGGTGATTGGGTGTTGGGCAGGTAGATTCCATAGGGTGCAGTGGGACAATGACAAAGCCGAGAGGAAGGAGGGGAATGCAGGAAGGGTCCTCTCCACTCATTGCCAATTGGATGCCGTCCACGTCCATGGTTGTGTACACCACAAGGCTGCCCGACTCGTCGGTGCAGCTCTCTTGTAGCATTAGCTCTACGTTCTGTGCTGAGTTGCTCGCTACCTGGAATTCAGAATCAAATTTCAAAGATGTGAATGAAGTATTACTTTGGCAGGATATGGAAATTTAATAAATAAATTGGTGAAAGGAAATTTCAAAGGGAATGCTTACGTTTATGCGAAGAAGAGAAATGCAATTGCCAGGATGAGAGCCATTGGCAATGTGAGCCACTTCGTGCAAGGAATTCCCATTGGAAAGAACATCAAGCTGCTAAATTTACACACATTTACAATCAGTTGTTACCACATCATAATTTGTGCCTTTATATACCCAAATATTCCAGTCACATGTTTCATAGCATAACATACATCTGCCAAATTGTGAAGTTGAACTATTGTTTAGATTAATTTTCTCAATGTATGGCGATCCAGAGGAAAAGAGAGACAGACATATAGGTGTAACCTACATCCTATATCGTGCAAAACCAACAAAGAAGTGGGAAAGAGAGTCAGACTCACGGCCACTTGAAAAGAAACGCTCTGATCTCAAAAGTTTAAGATGTCAGAGAATGAGTTAACAATATATCAAGCTTACGCCTCTAAGGATCGAGAATAATTGTGTAGAGTTCATCAATATGGATGACCAATTAAGATGGTCAGCATATAATACTAATCAGCAAAAAATTAATTAACCTAGCTAGAAAACGCCATACCTGAGCTCTGCGATGTTCGTCCCGTAGGAGTTCGAAGACACGGAAGTGAGAATATGGGAGCCAGGTGGTGGACACAGCACTGAGAATAACACCAATGGGTTGACCAGGGTCTGTGACCTTCCTTGTGGTTATTCTGACAGTGTCGTCTGGGGAATCAGATAGAGCCGTCCATGACTGCCCATTGGTGGTGCTCATGTTTACACAAAATGTTCTTATCATTCTCTGTGACAGTTTCATCAAATTCTTTCGTGCTTCTGGGGAAGGTATCACTGCATATATATAAATCCCATGTAAGAATAATACATTCTAATTAATCTATGAACATCACTTTATTATAATAAGGAACATAATTTATTTATTTAACCTCCAAGGTCTGATATATTTCTGGCCATGAGACTTGCAACCCTTTCACACTGCCTTTGTAAGATTGCAAGCCAGCGTTGCGCCCCGAAAGCCATACCACTGTAGACATAGTGGCTCAATATTTGGTGGACAGGCTTCTCCTCTATCTCTGCATGTTCTACCCATGTAATCTGTTCAAAAGCCAGTAAAATAATATAAGAGATACATGTATAATATATTTCAAGATATACAATTACGGAAATAGAAAAGCTCAAAGTACATAAATTGAGTGAAAGCAGCAGAACACACTTTTGAGTATCCATTGGGCATGTCTTGGATAAGGCAACCGGAGGGCAATCTCTTGTATCGGGGAAAAGACGACTGGAGGTTGTCATGGAAGCTATCTATGGGAAAATCTACAATTGCCCAACATCCCTCCTCCGCATTTTGTTGACAATAACGGAGAAAATGTGCTTCTCTAGTTGGCACCAGAGGAGAAAGAACTTGCAATTCGGCATACATCTGCACAAAGTAACAAGTACCCAACGTTTGATATTGATTGAGCATCCTAGTAAATAAAAGAAATTTAATTTCCTAATACAACTTATGAATTTGGGCCTCATTTTGCTGATCAAATTTTTTATCATTTGTGAATTTGAGGCACATTTGAGATACCTACCAGCTGAAGAGAACCATTTGCTTGACCAGAGGGGTCTGCTTGAATAACTTGAACAGTTTTGGCTCTAGAAACAATAGAAGGAAACAGCTCCATCCACTTATTCTGTAAAGTTAAAATTGAAAAAACAGATTTCCAGAGAAGTTAGAAGGTTGGTAATAGTTGATTAAGAGAGCTGAAAGTAAAAGATATTAGTACTTTGGCAACTAATTAGTGTATCCACTTCTAAGGTTCTTAATAAAAAAAGTTACTAATCAAAAACAAGGGCACTTACAGCATCAAGGAAGCAATCTACAAGATTGATGCTATTCATGATAACCACAGCACTATCACGAGTAGCTTCTGTCCTAAACTGATCACTTGAGTGGTGCTTGAGGTTCAAAGGCCACGGTGGGAACATCCGGGTATATTCTTTAACATTAAGCACTTCCTTCCCAATTTCACTGTTCCGGATCCAAAGAGGCTCACCAGCATGGCACATCTTAACAAGTTCATCCACCGATGAAGCGGCAAGCTCCACTGCAAGAGTTTTTTCTTCATCTAACAATACACCACCCTCATTGTAGTGGGAAGGAACTTCTGGTGGCAACAAAGGCATGGGGATCATGTCCCCACAAGAAGTCATTGGGTCTTGGAAATGCCTTGAATAGATGTTCATATCCAAATCCAAGCTGGATAATGACATGAGAGGATCTCCAGGTGCCATTGTTTGGATTTGCCGTTCAGTAGTATATCGTGAACTCAGACAACATACTCGTTCCAACTGCAAAAAAGATTATTGTCTTAATCACCCCTAAGCAGCTACTAATTCAACTTCTCAAACATGCACAAATAAAGCTAGAATTCATGTTTAAATAATGATTTTGTTTTTCAAGATCCAAAGAATTCCATTGCTTTTTTTATGACCAAAATCTTCTCTCCAAATAGACCTTATTTTAAGGAGTTTACATAATATAAATTCTGAGGATTTAAATTTACTTACTCAATGATGATATTAAACAGATGCAATATGCTATTTCCTTTCCATGCACACAAAAGAAACGGCAAAAACAAAAATTCAATTTATTTGGAATTTAACGCAAAAGAAAAAGAAAATGCAATGAATTCAGACAAATGAAATCTCCAATGTTCTGTTCACCAGAAAGGAAAAGAAAGAAATCACCCAAATTTTCGAAATTTTGTGACAATTAAATACAGCATTGCTGAATTAATAGTACCTCTTCTCTGAGTCGAGCATTCTCAAGTCGAAGTTGTTGTTCATCCAAGCCAATGTCCGCAATCATAGATGGTCCTCCACAATTAGGGCATATAATATTGCGCAGCGCCGTCTGTAGCCGGTAATTCTCGTTCTTCAGGCTATCATTTTCTGCTCTAAGCATCACATTATCCGACCGGTCTTGTTGTGCCTAGACAAAATAAAACCACCACAAAAACAATTAGTCAAACTTAACCACAAAGATAGCCCTATTCTGCCACTACCCTAAAGGGCAAAGCTTTTATTGCTGAGCAAGAGTCCAAGCTTTGGAAAGCCCGTGTGTAGGTAAAAGGGTTTATTGTTCATATTAATGAGGTGCAGACTTCATCATAAATTAAAGCCTAAAACTAAGCAAAGAGCCGATCGAGAATAAATGAGATTATTCTTGATCCTTCAAACGTTAACAAGGTTAAGGCGTTTATTAGGGTTTTGAAGTGTTTAAATGACGAACGCGGTTCCTCGGGACTCGTGTGTTGAATCAAAGGGTGCGCAGTGTGAACCGTTGACCCCCCCAGCCCAGCTCCATACTTTACCTTCATTTGAGTTCGTCGGTTTTGGAACCAGAACTTGACCTGGCGTGGCTTCAGTCCCAGCTCCTGGCTCAGTTTTAGCCTCTGCTTGTCGTCTGGGTGAGGACACTCCTTAAACAAACTGTATGTGTTTATATAAGAACGTGTTGTTAAACACAAATTAACACGGTTGTTAGAGAGAGAGAGAGAGAGAGAGAGAGAGAGAGAGAGAGAGAGAGAGAGAGATGATATATACTTCTCCATTTCTTGGATCTGATGAGCAGTGTGGCGATGATAGCGTTTCTTCTTAGGAGGCTGTTGAAGTTGATCAGCCTCTTGCTCGTTTCCAGACTTTTCTTCAACTTGTTCACTCCCAGAACCACTCTCCATCATCTCCTCCTTGCCTCTCATGAGCAGCCCGTTTTCTTCTTTCTGTTCATTTTTTCCATTAAATAAAAAATACTTAGAGAAAAGAAGAAGAAGAAGAAAAAGAAGAAGAAGAATTAGTAGCTTACAGGATTGATGATGGAAGAGAAAGGTTGGAAAGGGAGCTGGGAAGGCATGAAGTTGAAGTTAGGGTTTTGGATCGGCGAAGAAAAGAGGGTTTCCGAGGTGACTACGTTCCCACCTCCCATGGTTGACATTACTTGGCAATCCCCATACATTTTCGCTTGCTTCCAAAAATACAACTTTTTAAAAGAGATATATGGACTTGTGGAAAATAGATATGTCAAAGTTTGTCAGATATAGGCTTTGCCTTCACTTCACTTCCACTTCACCCCAGAACTGACTGTAAACCTGCAAAATAAATTTGGTCACACAACAAAAAAAAAAAAAAAAAAAAAAAAAAAAACCAAAAACCAAGATCGGATTCAGAAACAATTTTCAACCCAAGGAATCTTTAACCCTAGCTCAAGCAAAAAATACTCAACTAGCATGCACTGGAAGATACTCAAAACCCAGAAGATTATGAAATCTTTAACTCTTTGAAGTGAAAAACAACAAGTAATAAATTAAAATGCTGAAATTAGAATGTACCCAAGTAATTAACAAAACTCTTTGAAGTAAAAAACAACAGAATAAATTAAAAGCTTGCAGAAAAAAGGAAAAAAAAACAACACTTCCAAGAAGAAATAAACGAAAAAAAATTCATTAAATCAGAACAAAAAAAATTAAATAAGACCTCCAAAGAACTAAAGAAAAAGAAGTGAGAGAGAGAGAGAGAGAGAGAGAAGGATCACCAGCATGGCATGCAAAGTTGAAGAATTGTCGGTGTTATTTGGAAAAAAAAATATATTAAAACAAAGCAAGAGCTCTGGCCTTTTGCTTTGCTCTGGTTTGGTTTGCTCTGCTGGCCCTGGGTTCAGACTTCAGTGTCTCTTCATCTCTCTAGGTTTTTGGATTTTCATAACACTTCGCCATAAATCCGGTAATTTATTGATTTACTGTGCGTGGTAAATAAATGCGGTTTGACAGAAACCGATCAACGCCAATTAAGTCTCGTCGGCTGTTTCGGTACACGTGTCACTCTGTCTATGGAAGAGCAGGCGTTTCTCCCAGACAGCCTCATCCCAAAGTCAAACGCCTTTCTTGCCACCTACCCTACGTGACTTCTGATCACTTGCAAAACACGCGACGCCTTGTATTGTAAATTGTAATGAGGTTTTTACTGCTTTTACTATTTTACTGGGACGGTAAAGCCAGAGCGGGTGGAAATAGGTGGACCGAATTGACTTTCAAAGGGGAGCAGAGATCTAGGTAGAATGGACTGGAGAATCGTCACCGTCCATTCATCTGACTGATTGTGGGCCCGCCATTAAGTCTATAAAAATTGTCTCCCACCACTCGAGCAGAGCCGCAGAGTTGGAGGGCGAGGCATGATTTCGATACTTCAAATCAAATCTCGTATTCCACACGCCCCTCTATTGCTCATAATAAAAAAGTGCGTGAGATAATTTAACGTGTTAAAAAAATTACTGTTCATATAATTTATAAATTATATCCACTCCTCCTTATGTATCAATATCACATGGACCATACAATCTTTCTTTTCTTATATTAATTAGTGATTGTAATAGGTCCTACCACTACCATAGCAAAAAAAAACTTACATGTAACGGAGATAGTATTGTTTTGCTATCTTCGGTCAATAATATAATTATATGTGAAAAAGTTATCCTACGTGTCATTGTGTTATTGGTCGAGAATAGCAAAAAGTGATATATCCCCATTGCATGAGAATTTTTCTCCTACCGACTGATGGCAAGTTAAGCTGCAATTATCTAAACAAAGGTCATGCATAGAAGCCAAATATGGCAACCAAAAGAACAAACTCCAAGTAAACAAGGCCTAGGTTGACAGCTCAAAAAAACACACAAGGTCTAGGTTAAATTGGGGTCGACCCAAGAGATGAGGTTGACCAATTTGGGTTCTATTGTTCCCACTTTTTGAATTCATTGACCAATATGAATTCTTTCTTGCTCATTTCTAGATTTCACCTATGTGCAATAGTGAATTCATGAATTTTTCAGTGGAGATGTAATTTTTAAAAGCTAATTGGGATTATAATAAGTCATTGGAGGTCTAAGTCCAGGGTTTGCAGAAGATTAGCCAATACTTCATCCAACTCAATGACCTCCAATTGTTTCGGACTATCTGAATTATTCAAGGAAGGATGTGAACTAGCCGGATTATTTGAAGCATGTTTTGAACTAGCCGGATTATTTGGAGGGTTGGAACTATCCAGATTATTTGAAGGAGGGTTGGAACTAACCGGATTATTTGAACTACCCGGATTATTTGAAGGATGATTGGAACTAAATGATTTTGTCACGTTGCATCTTCCTCCTCGAGTTTGCTACTGATCTTACTAATACAGAGAGATCTAAATAAGAAAATATATATTAAAAAAGGGAAAAAAAAAGAATAAACAAAATAGGCGTTTGCTCAAGAAAAAAAAAAGTGCATCCTACTTACTTTAGATTGGCATACTCAAGAAGAAGAAAAAACGCAAGATTCTTGTGATGCAAGCAGATGAAATTGGGTGATGTTAAATTGGTCCTTTATAAAAAGAATTTTCAATCCCACTTAAATAAGGAATTGTGCAAGCTCTATTAAAACCCAATTAAATAAAGAAAACTCCTAATTAAAACCCAATTAAGTAAGAAATTGTAAAAGCCCTTTTAAAAGCCTACGAAATGGCCTAACAGTTTTCCTTTTTTCTTTTTTTTCTTTTTTTTTAATAAAAAAACCCTTTATAAATTTAAAATTTAAAAAATATTTTTTTAAAAAAGCCTAGTCCAAAACGACGTCATTTTGGCAAGGCTTTGTTGAAAAAAAGAAGCACGTAGCAACCAGCAACACAGCGCCCATGCCCTTTGGGCATTTCATCAAACACCTTGCGTGCATCTCGAGTCTGAGCAGAGGTGCAACTCCTGCAGTTCTTATGGAGTTTTCCGGCAAACGGAGGAGCATGTGCACCTCCTTGTGCCTGCATAAATTCGCCATTGCATATGTGCTACATCCTACATAGATATGGGTTGGGAGAATTTTATGTACTTAATATAGAGAGGTCACCATGCTATGGATATGGACGAACTATGTTCTACCATGATATTATGATTGTTTTATGATACAATACACACGATTGGCTATTTACAATAACCTACTCATACAACATGTATGAGGAAAATAATATACACATAGGTTAGTTGGATATAACTCAGTTAGTTGAGCTCTTTCACCTCCATTCATTTGAGCAGAGGTTCGAAACCCCCAACATCCAATGAATATATGTGTAGACCCCCCCTCCTCAGCTTGTTAGTTATTCTCTCATCTGAATGTCTGTATGTTATTATGATGCAGATGTCATTGTAAACATGGAGAAAAACACTGAGGGGTAATAGAAAATACATGATGTCTGCATGATAATAACGATCGGACGTCCACATAAGAGAATTTATGTATATATATGGATGGGGATGTACAAAAAACCACACATTTATACACACATTTTCAATAGAATAATCAATTTTAATGGCTAAGATTAAATCTGGGCACTGCATTTAAACTTAATTATTAACATAATAAAAAGTTAGACTATTTCATACTCTCCTCTCTCTTCACTAATTTAGAAAAACGTAAACTTTTAATTCTTTTTTACTATCTCTTGCCAATATTTAACCGTTTGGTTTTTATGGTTCTTCTCCTCCATATTTCTCACGTCCTGCATTCTAAGCATTATTGTATTCTTCAATTTTGTTTCCTCGTCTCTTTGCCTCTTCGCTGTACTCCTTTCCTCCTCATTTCTCCCAACAATTGCTTCTTCTCCATATTATTGGTGGTTTATTCATTTACCCATTGGTTTAATTTGTTCTCAAATTAAATAATATATAAATAAATAAATAAATAAATAAATAAAACCACTTCTCAGCATTGGAGGAGGAGGATGCCATGGATTTCTTTCTTCATATGGCTTCAGTTCACCACAAAGCTTCCTGATCATTAACAAGGCTCTGTAACATAATCCCATTTGTTACTTTCATTCCTCCTATTTCTTTATATATTCTTTAAAAGACTCAATGAACCTGGAATTCGAATTGCTTTGGTCCCATTGTAGATACCTAGGTTTTAAAAACTTATAGCAACTGTAATATGAGTTTCTTTTCGACATCAAAAAGAAATGAAAAGAAAAATTAAATTGAAGATGTTATCCTTATCTTGAAAGCCATATTAGAAAGAAGACTTTATCTTGATGTAAATTTAGGTAATAGCTACATCAGTAGATTGAGACTTTCTCAAATGATTTATAGTTAGCTAGCTTTTTTTGGCAGGTCAAAAGAAAAAAGGGGTATGAAAACTCATCCTTTGAAGAAAGAAATCCATGCTGTTCATCGTCCTCCTCCAGCTTACATGGACATGAGAAGTGTTTTTCTTTATATATTTATTTTGGTAACACATTAAACCAAAGGTTTCTGGTTTGCAATTTGTGAGGAGAGAGGAGAGAGAATGGGTTATTTTCAAGGCATATTAATTATATGGTTGAGAGGGGATTGATGGCTTTTCAAATGCAATCCTAACCATCGAAACTGATTTTAAAGGTTGAAAATGTGTGTATAAATGTGGGGTTTTGTGTGTGTCTCCCGATCCTAACTCTATATATTCATAAAGTTTTCATTGAGAGACATCCTTGTATGGCTCACTCTGCATTGTATTTCGCTAATCTAAACCGTCTATTTTTTAGATAATCATTCAAAGATTATCTCTACAAAAAATCACTTAAATCTGATATCATTTGACCACTCAATTAAGTTATTGAAATTTTAGTACTTTCTTGAAGCACCGCATTCATTGATTTTGTAGGACACAATTGGATGTCGAAACGGTTTTCGATTTGTCTAAATTTTTGCAAGGATGATCTATGAATGTAGACTTAAAAAATAGATGGTTTGGATTATTGAAAAAAAATTCATAGGGGACCCCTAAACCCTAAAAGGTGTCCCTCAAATAAAATTATTTGAGAGATCCCTTAATAGAATGAGTCGTATATATATATAAGGAGCTTATTTTCCCACTCCCTTTTGCTTTTTAATATTTTTTAATCATTTTTTTTAATTTTTTCTCTTTCCTATTCTACCCTTATCCTACATTAATTTTTTTACTTCAC